GGGCGGTGAGGCCCGAATGTTTTTACAATATATTACGCAATGTCTTAAGCTTGAGACCATTAAACATCTTAAAATACAGACACTTGCACATGCTTTGCAATGAAATACCTCACTCGAGTTCAATATTTTACCAAGTTACGCTTGGCACATTGCCCGTACGATTATTTGAAATAATGGTACTCCAACATCAAAGGATGACGTCACATCTGTATTTTAATATATTGGATTTGTTGTCTTAATCAAATAATAAACAGGTATTCAAGAGCTAAATCTGTCTATTGCAGGTCTTTCTTTAGGCCTTAGATGTTATCTAAATTATTAATTAGACTTTAATTAACAAGACAAGACCATAATTAATTCTTGACGCTATGGGATGGCGCTGATTTTTTAGTAGAATAGAATGGTTCGGTCATTTAATGATTAAATTTAATAATGGATAATCAAGACTTTCTTTATCATCTTAACAACGGTAGCAATGACAATCAAGGCTACACTGTTCTTCTAACAACGCTAACTTGGCTCAGAGTGAAATTTTCTACATACACACGTATTCCCTTTTCATTATCTATTTTTTAACAATTATAATGAAAACTGTCAGCTCTTTATCCAATCCTACATAAAGCCCCTTTAAATAATTATTTTGAGTACAATGTAGTGTGTATTAAGCCGGGAAAATTTACATAATGTAAGGGAAAATAAAATGACGATCAGCGGTCTTGTCTTTTAAAAATGTTATATTTTAATACAGTAAGTTCAAGTAGTACCTCTGTTTTCAGCAAGGTGGGGTGGGTGGTCTAGTGGTTTAATGCATACGTCTTGAATCATAAGGTCTGTCATTGAGTCAAGTGGTATAGTTTCAATTTCACGCTTAGTTGTAGGTGACAAGATTTGGGATGTCTGTCCAATCTCATGGGTTTTCTCTGGGTCTTCCCATTTCCTCCCACTGATAAAGACCCCTATGCACAAGCGAATTATTGAAATAAAATTGAACCATGTTAGTTCCAATTTCCTCTCCCTGATAAAGACCCTATGCACAAGTGAATTATTGAAATAGAAATGAAATGAAATGAAATGGGGTTTAACGTCCTACTGTTCTGCTCCTAACCTGGGCTAATGAAGACGGGCATACGCCATACAGTGTGCTATGAGGGAATTTTGCCCGGACAGCGGCACTACGGCCTACTATTATATCGAATTCCAACTGCCAAGGGATCTTTTACGTGCACGCCAATGTGTACACGGGACCTTGGTTTTTCGTTCCATCCGAACGACTAGACAGCTTTCCTTGTCAGCCCCCTCCGTCCTGCATCACTGACAAGGGAGAACCACGCCGGAAAATCTGGATGAACTTTCTAGGCCAATGCAGGGATCGAACACCCGACCTCCAGGCTAGCGAGCTAGCGTCTTACCCACTTAGCCACGTGATCCCCGAATTATTGAAATAAAATTGAACTGTATGTTACTTAGTTTGGGTTGAGTGGACCTTAAACCCCCTTTCTCTCTTTCCCACTCTCTACCTCTCTCTCTTTCCCACTCTCTACCTCTCTCTCTTTCCCACTCTCTACCTCTCTCTTTCCCACTCTCTACCTCTCTCTCTTTCCCACTCTCTACCTCTCTCTTTCCCACTCTCTACCTCTCTCTCTTTCCCACTCTCTACCTCTCTCTCTTTCCCACTCTCTACCTCTCTCTCTTGCTCTCTGTTTTTAGTTTAGAAAAGAATGGTTTGAATATTTCAATTGAAAAATATTTTTTTAATTTGTTAGAACTGGTCCTCTATTGTCCATTTCTGCAATATTACTTTAGCTCAGAATGGTTCCAACATTAGCATTGAGAAATATTTATAAATTTGTTATTTTGGGGTTGTGTTTTTTTTAGCGTACCGGTAATTGAAGACAGAAGTATAAGAGAAGGAAATAGTAGTAACGTAGAAGATAATATAGAAAGGTGAGATTTCCTTTAGTTGATGAGGTGTTGGGTGCTGAATGATCTGATGCTTGCGCTTTAGATCCCAAAGTCTGTCATTGAGTCGAATTCCATGGTTTTGATTCCCAGATGGTACGTGACAAGTGGTATCGCCTGTCCAATGTCGTTGGTTTTCTTCAGGTTCTTTGGTTTCTTCCCATTGCTAAAGACCCCCCCATACACAAGTGAAAGAGTGAAATAAAATCGATTCATGTGTTAGCCTCTTACCTTTCTCTCCCCCCCACCTCCCCCACATGGGTTTTCTCTGGGTCCTACGTTTTCCTCCCACTGCCTAAGACCCTAGCGCGTAAGCGAATTAGTGAAATAAAATGGAATCATACGTTAGTCTCGATAACCTAGTTTTTGGCAAGTGGATGCTAAACCCTATGTCTCTCTTACCATACATTTCTAAAATGTCCTCAATAATTAATTATTAAACATATCAAATTCTGATTTGTTTGTTGTAGAGAATTGGAAGAAATAATTTGGACGACCGTACCTATAGAAGGATCGCGAAGAATATTGAAATCGAACATCACATCCCGATCGCGATCATCAAACAGTCATTGTCTTCTAATCACTCCTGATCTTTTGATCGATGACACGGCACCAGACACAACCTGCCAAACAATGTCTGAACTTGAAAAAATGATAGCCAAAAAATACCAGCAGAAACGAGGAGCGTCTCCGCATCATCGCAAACAACTTCATATAATTCGAAGACCCCAGAGCGTACCAGCTAAAGGCAGAGCCTTTTATTCACCTGCAGCTGCAGCAAGTCCAGTGTTGACATTCACAGAAAATAAGGGATTAAGTCTTCCGCCAGATACCAACGCAAATGAACCCCTGTATGCAAATACCATGGGGTCATGTGACGTGATCCAAAAACCACCTCGCCCCAACACAAGACGCTACGTGAAGCGGAATTCCAAATTAAATCCAGAAGCCATTGTTAATAATTCCAACTCAAAGGGATTTCAGACGTACAAACGCGATAGTGACAAAGCTGCCATGGCAGCCACCGAAAGAACTTCACGTAGGGATCACATTAAGAATATTCAACGGTTGTTTGAAGTCAGTTCAAAAGATGTCACGATTCAGACTTCCAATCCTGATATTTCAAAAAGTTTTACAGATACTAAAGACCAGTCGTCCATTACTTTAACAAAATTTGAATCAAATTCTGACGTTTCACCCATTAATACACCACCACCACCAACACCAGAAACCAAAGATGTCAATCCACATGCCAGTAACATTGAGGAAGATGATGACCCTAATGTACAGATGGATGAAATCTTCTCTCGACCAAAAACCAAATTTAAAAAATCAAAATTAAAAAATATATTGAAACATAAAAAGGGCAAATATCACCCTTCAATGGAAGATTTAAGTAATCTGAACGAAACCAAGATTCACGCTAAATTCAAATCTATGCCCAATATTTCCAGCAGCCATGTTGATTCTGAGTTCCGTCACAGTTTATCAAATCTGCCAAACGGCAAACTTAGCTTCAGTGTTGTAGATATTGGTGATATTGATAAATTGGATGATATTCTCACCAAAAACCATTTCGGAAACACCGAGTTCGATCAGTTTAGAAAAAGCAAAAATAAGAAATCTGGCGCCAAAAGTTTGGATGAAATGAAGAAATTATTCAGCTCGGAACCTTCGCTTTCAATCAGACGGCGTACTGACAACCAATTCAAAGGATCAACCAAATTTTCATCGGCTACTACAGAGTATCACACATCTCTGGTCACCGGAATTGTCAATGACGACACTTTGTCCGATATAAATCCAGATATTTTTGACAGCGATGTAGCCGGATCGACCGACGCTGGAATATTTCAGTCAAGTGATCAGCTTAGCACCGAACAGAAAAAAGATTCCAGTTTAGATGTTTCCAATAATTCACGACTAAATTTTCTTCATAGTGCATGTAACACCCCTGAACCTCGCGTAACCCCGGAAAAAATAAAAACAAAGACGTCTTCCCAGATAGATCTCGATAAAAGCGAACCTTCGGAAAGTTTTACGATAGACACAAGTCAGATAACTGCACTTAAGTCAACCTCAGTTACTAAAATAGATTTAGGTTCGTTGAACGAAGAATCTGTAGATGACATTTCCTCCATTTCTTCCTTGTCATCAGATCAGAAATCGCTTCAAAGTCGTGGTTTTGTATTTTCTGATCAACCTAATGCCGCAGTCCTCGAAACAAAAGATTGCCAAAACAATGATTCATCAGTACTCAATACAACATTTTCAGTGGACGATCAAGTCAGTTCGTGCAGCAGTATTAGCCAGTTAGAATCCATGAAAGAAAAGAGGAAGAGATTAGTCAAGATGGATTCTGTTCGATCGTCATGTTTTGGTTCATCTGTTGATCCACAAGATCAAAACTTGGAGAAAGAGATAGCCGGGTCTGAATACGATGTCGAGGAACAAAGTATGACTCTGTCCATTGAGCCACCATCTTCTTTTACTCAAATTGAAACAAGCCTTCCTGATGAAACAGAAACGACCGTAAAAGGAGATACAAACAACCAGAAACTGAAAGATGAATCGCCATTGTATGCAACAGTTCAGAAACCATTCAAAAATAAAAAAATTAATGACCCAGCTGCTGATTCTGGAGAAACAACAACAAAAACTGTGATGAGTATGACCCCTATCAAGGCCCGCTCACCGTCGACAGAGTCTATTCCTTTTTCACCACCTTATGCAACAGTACGAGATTGTGTTGATAGTCTCCCTTTAACATGTTCGCCACCGTATGCAACGATTGAAGACTGCTTAGAACCGACAAAATCTGTCTCGGCAGACACAGCTACGGATACATTAATGGACGATTCAGCGATGCAGCCGTATGCAACAATAAAGGAAAACAAAGCAGACGGGACAAATATAGCTGATACTTCCGTTGAATTTGGTTTATCGCCAACTTATGCAACTTTAGAGGAATGTAAAAACAATGGGGGGAATGAGATGGGCGAAGATACGGTACCCGCTAAACCTTCTCATGCAACGACTTCACCCCCGTATGCCGCGCTTGAAGACTGTAGAAAAAACGAATGTCTTGTCACGAAATCTCCGATAAATCGTATTTCTTCTCCCATTTATTCCACAGTGGCAGAATGTTCACGTCAAGTTAGTGCTTCATGTCTAAAAAAAGCGGAAATCGACGTTGAATCTGCATCTTCTCATTATGCTAGTGTTAGTGAAATAAATGCTCAAAGACCTGTCTTTCAACCGTCACAAACTGATGCAGACACCTCGTCAAATGTCCATCACTCGCCAACAGCTCTACCTCAAAGTTCCTCCCAATTTTCATTGTACCAGTCCATTGATCAAGTACGACACGACGCAAATCTGGATAATTATCAAAAAAGTGATTCTGGTATCCAGATGGAATCTCAGTCCGCGTCATGTGATCCTAATGATGACTCTAATCTTTCTGCGGCGACTGGCGGCAGTGAGAACAAGGAAGATTTGTATGCTAAAGTGGGTAATTTCCGTAAAAAAGGAGCTGGGGTTGAAGTTGTGTCGATGACAAGATCATCATCTGATGAAGCAGACTTGACTTTATTCTCCGATGACGAACATGGTGGTCCTCCATTACCGGCCAGAAGATACAAACAGGATAGGTAGGTTTATTAAATATTTAGAGGGGTTGGGTTCTTTAACGTGCACGTCGTTCCCACGTGGCCTCAGATTTTTGTCTGTCCAGACTTTGTTTCTTGCCATGCCCTCTGTCCTGCGCCACTGACCATGCTGGAAAATCCAAGCAACCTCTGTAGATAATTGTAAGGTCTGTCATTGAGTCAAGTCTGCCATTCGATTCCCTGCTTGTATGTGACAAGGAGTTGGACTGCCTGTCCAAAATCGTAGGTTTTCTCCTGGTTCTCCGGTTTCCTTGCACTGCTAAAGAATTATTGAAATTTAAATTGAACCATATGTTAGTCCCAAAATGACTTAGTTTGTGTTCTATGTCTCTCTTTCTATTAGATATTTTCAGTTTCATTGAAACTAAAATGGGGTCTAACGTCCCACCTAATCAACATCAAGAGAGTTAATGAAAAATGTCCCCAACGCACTGTGCTACTTGAATAATTTAAGAGCAAGACCAATATACTTTAATAACAAAGCTTCCTCATAGGAATTTCATAAAATCAGAAGTAGTATAAGCAAGGCTGGACATGAGCACCAATCACAGACTTTGTCAGACACAAATTATCGCAAGTCATATATATTATTATATATGTTGTGTGGTAATTTGTGTTCGACAAAGTCTATGACTGGTGTCTTATGTCCAGAAATCAATATACCGTACACATGTAGCTATAGGTCTGAAACTGGAGGTATTAGTTCAACAACACAAGCCCCATGTCATCCTTTGTCTCTTACTTCCCTAATAGTAATACTCTAAATTCAGCGTCGGGGGCAGCTGCTTAGGGCAGCCACTAACCCCAAACATCCATCAAAGATATGTGATATATATTCCTTTCAAAATAATGTTTTTAACCTGCATTGTTCCATCAATTTTCCGTGTAAAGTTTTTAAAAACTACCAAAATCGTTTTTTATTTCAGTACGCTAAAGTCTTCAAAAGGTTTCAGTTCATCTAAATCATCATTACTCAACAAGATGGGTGCCATCAAAAACTCAACCAAATCCAAAATCAAATCTTTCCGTAAAGCTGTCAGTTTGGAAAGAGGTCTGGATAATGTAGAAACTATTGAGACGCCAAGTAAAGCCGAAAAACTGGAGAAATCAAAGAGCAAGATGAGAAAAGCTCCATCATTGAAATCACTAACGGCCCTGTTTGGTAAAAAGTCGAAATCTAAAAAGGAGAAAACAGATCAGGTGTTGAGTGTTTTTGATGACGGTTCAGAAAGGTATGAAGGTTTCTTTTTTAACGTCCTACTTTTTTGCACGAACTAGGCTAACGAAGATAGACATACATCATTCAGTGTGCTATAAATTTGCCAAGATGGGAATAGAGAGGGTCTGCAACACTCCCTTAAAGAAATAACAGTGGCTGGACCAGCCAGTAGTTCTCTGTAGCTGCTGGATCAACGATGATGATGGCGGAGAGTAATAGAAATTTAAGAATCCCTGCACAACAGCGTGTATTTTAAACTGAAATATTATGAAGATGAATAAACCACCTCTCAAGTCTGTTTTTATACTTCTGTTGTGCCGGGATTTTTAAATTTCTATTAAATTTGTCCAGAGTCATTTCTGCCTACTCTTTATCTCATTCCAACCATCAAGGGTTCCTTTACACCAACATGGTAACTCAGCTTTCCATCCTATCCAAATAACAAGACGCTGTTCATTAACAGGTCCTCCATCCTACACCACTGCCAAGGCGTAAGGATGCCTGTCTAACCTCGTGGGTTTTCTCCGGGTCCTCTGGTTTCCTCCTACAGCTAAAAAACCCTACGCACAAGCAAATTCTTGAAGTAAAAATGAACCATATGTTAGTTCCGAAATGACCTAGTTTGCGTGAGATACATTGTTCCTTGCCAGGCCCTCCACCCTGAGGAACCTTCTTGACCAAGTTAAAGACCAAAGACTGTAATCTTGTTGAAATCATAACTACTAGAACTTTATCCAATTTTAGGTCTTGAGTAAAATTCTTTAGACCAATAAGAAAAAGCTTTTAATTGTAAATCAGCTCAACCTGTCATGAGAAAGGTAGCAATTGCTTCGTTTTGACATGCACTTGCCATATTTTACAGGCTTCCATCAAAAGGTTCTACATTATCACTATCCAAGAAGAAACTATGGAGTTCTGCTAAATCTCTGGAAACTGATAATGTTGAGGCACCGACTATGTTACGTACTATCGGCAAATTGTTGGAGATAAACCAAGATGGAAACCATATTATAGAATTAACGAAACCACCACATGGTCCGATAGGATTCTATATTGGACGTGGAACTGCTAATTACGACTATGGTAAGGTTCGGTGTAGAGATGAGCCAGTCGCAGGTTAAAGCATTGATACTATTCAGTGCTGACGTTAAAGTAAATTACACTAAATAATGATCTGTCGGCAATCATTTTGAAACATAACATAGACAACAATAACATGATATCCTTAAATGACATTAAGAAGTAGAGGTATAATATTCATAATAACACCATTTTATGGATTTACTACTTCTTGGTTTATTACATACAACTTTTCAATAATCTTACAGGTATCTTTATCAAACAATGATCGATAAGGCCATGTAAAATTGATACCTTGTTTCTTCTCGCCCGTGCGCTTAGGAATAGGGACACAAAAATCGCCCGCACAGGTTCTCAACACAAAATAAAAATATTTAAAAAATACGAATTTTTAACCGAATAAGCGATCTCCGAATGTTTAAAAGTTCATAGTATGCCGGTTCAGGTCTATAGCCATCGATTATACATAGTTAGGGCTTCGGTATACCATAGATAATGTACATTGTCTTTCATTAGCCAGAGACGTGTGTTTTTGATAATAATAATATCGTCCGATGAAAATACAGATCTTAAATCGTAAAGTTAGAATATTTTTTATTGGATGAAAGTGGCAGGAAACGTGTAATCTAACCAATGAAAAAGCGACTCTTAGGCGAGTCCTGGCTTGTGAAAAATCAGCATGGGAGATTCTGGCGGAGTATGGACTGATAGTTTCGCTCAAAATCTGTCGGAAAGCAACAACATTTCTTGACTGGACAGACATTGGCGTGCCGTATAATTTTACTTTTGACGACATTGTCAAGTCGGCGTACAGCGTGAATGATGATATAGTACCCCAAAACCAGTTTAAAAGGGATTTGCCAGCAGCCGATTGTTGCCATAAATTTTTCGTAGGTAAATCGAAGGAAGATCAAAACATCACTCAAATTGCGTCAAATTTAATAAAATGTTGGCCAGGTCACCGACAGTTTTTTTAAAACAGATTTCAGACCTGAAATTAGTTCTATATCTTGGGACAATTTAAGGTTTTAAAACTACATTAATGTAGTCTGTGGATATGTAAGTCTTTTATAAATTGTAGTTCTTTGCATGAAAAAAACTCAAGTGTATATCATATGAATTAGAAAGAATACCAAATTCATAGTGTATAAAGGTCTTGCAAAAGTTGAAAATTACAGTTTGTGTTGTGTTTACCGCACACCCTCTTAGGTTTACCCAAAGCATGGGGAGAAGAAACAAGGTATCAATTTTACACAGCCTAATGAATAACAACCTTACAGTACATCTCAACTCAAGGAGTAGGGTCACCAGTCGCACCCTGTGGGTTTTCTGCAGGTCCTCCGGTTTCCTCCCACTGCTAAAGAGCCCTACGTGCAAGCGAATTATTGAAATAAAATTGAACCATATGTTAGTCCTGAAATGACCTAGTTTGTGTCAAGTGGACCTTCAATCCCATCTCTCTTGATATTTTGGGTCTGATATGTTGTTTAATATCATTCATTACCTTTGTGTTTCAGGTATATTTGTATCACGATTTAGTGACGTAAGTTTAGAGAAATTATTCGCTGGTTTGATGAATGTTGGTGATGAAATTCTTGAAATTAATCAACGACCAGTCCGAGATTTATCGTTGGATGATGCATACGAATTAATGGCTGCTAGAAATAAATTAGTGCTCAAAGTATTCCCGCTGTCTTCCCGTAGAGACTTATAGCGTAGAGTAGATTACAGTACGATAGAGATTAAAAATTCTGTGTGGCTTAACATCTGCTTCCCCAAAAGTTGTAGCTCCATGGCAGCAACTTGATGAAGTTCGCTGGAAACCACAGGATTATTCTACAAGAAGTTGAACTTGTTTGACTTAAGTCCCTTGAGATTAAAACTTCTGTGTGATAAAAGAATATATTTTATACACTGTGGTACTACTAGCATCAGTAGCACTAATAGCCACTCACGTTCTACACTTCAGTCAACATTTCATGACTGCACTCATAGGATTATTCTAATCGAACTTGTCTCTTGAGATTAAAACTTGTGTGTGATGACAGAAAATATTTTATACGTGATTCTAGAACCATACTTGGTCTAATTGCTGCTAGCTAGTGTTCTCTTCTTTCTTGTCTTGAGGTAGTTCGTTTGTGACCAGAATTTGATAAAGCTTGCTGGAAACCACAGGGTTTGTTCTAGATAATCTTGAACTTGTTCGACTTGCTATTGAAGCAGGAGTTCCAGGTCGGTCATGACCAATTTATAAAAAAAATGACAGAAACATTTTGGAACTGACAGTGAAAATTTTGAAGTAGAAGCCCTGTATTGAAGTCCTATGAGAGGTAACTGACTTGCACTGCTTTATTAAGTAGTCACACGTGTAGCAGTAAGTTAAAGAATGGGGGTGGGGGGGGAGTGATTATAAGGTCTGTTATTGAGTCAAGTGTTGTTTCTATCCCAGGCTGGTACCTGACAAACAGTAGAGTCATCTGCCTTAACCTTGTGGGTTTTCTCCAGATCATTCAGTTCCCTCCCTAAAGACTCTGATGAGCAAGTGAATTATTAGTCCCAAAATGACCTAGTTTGTGTTGAGTGAACTTAAACTCTCTCTCTCCCCCTCTCTCTCACACACAAAAGCTTACATGTACATATAAAATTTTGTATATTTATAATATATACATGTTGTCTCCCAGTCCCATATCTTGTTTATGTATACCGGTTATATTATTTATGATTGTATATAAATTATATATTTGTATATTTATTAAGAGAATTGTTTATAGTTAAAGTATTTTTGTAACCTTCAGTATAATATACATTTATGTACATTTTTACTTTTTATATAATAGTCATGTATATCTCATCTGTCATTATCATCACATCAGGCATTTCTTTATCTAAAAGGGTAACAAGTGATCCAAACCTTGGACTATAGATTCTAAACAATTATTCATTTACTGAATGTCTCTGAGTTGTTTTTTCTTCTTCTGAAAATGTATGATTTCTGGTCATGAATATGTGATATTTGTGGCAAAAATCAGAAATTTGGGAGCAGACATCAAGATCAATCTGATTAAAACACGGATCCTATTTCGTTTCGTTTTTTATAGTTCAAAATTTCGATTTACTTGTCTTTACTACACTAGGATCTGGAAGAGTTCTTATCATTGACTGTTCTGGATGATTTGAGGGTTTAGGCAATAAAACGGTCTGTAGTATTTTAGAGAGTAGTTTTTGAAAGACGAAGGCCGATGTAAGATGTGCATTTATTTCTATTTAAGGTTGTACTTTTCTAGACTTGTGTAATATTATACAAAATATGTGTTCTTTTAATTAATATTGTATAGGTGTGCATTTAATGTCATATTTATACTGGGGACTCCGGCCCCCTAGCATATAGAGGGGGTGGGGTTAGGTAGGTGTGAACTCCTACAAACCCCACCCCCCATAACTCCAGCCAATAAAAAGCTCAAATTTACATGTTTCGTAGAAAACGAATAATAAGTGAATTTTTTATAGTGTTGTTTTAGGGTATGGAGCGAAGGATGGAGGTGGGTTTGATCCCCAACAAACCCCACTCCCATCACCCCAACCAATAAAATGCTCAAATTTACAAACAATATTATAAGTGAAATTTAGGGTCCCCAGGCCCTTAGGGGTATGAAGGGGGATGGGGGTAGGGGTTTAGGCCACTGAGAATATGTGTTAGTGGTGTTTATGAATAGTCTTTTTGTGATATATATATATTTTTATATACATAATATACTGTAGTATTGTACAATATTTTTTGTATTATTAAGTCTAGTTTTCTTTTTGAAATTCCACGATGTGCAGTATTTAAGATTTATTTATTGTATCTTTAAAGTGCAGTTTACACTTTTTTATAAATCATGCATAATATTTATCAGTCATTAATTATGTCATACATGTTCGTTGTCAAAATTTTAAACAAGAGCTTTAAGGTCTTAACCAGATGCAATTCTATTTAATCTCAATGATATATATATAGCTGTTTTTGGTCAATATATTTAAAAATGGCTTTAATGCCATAACCAGATGATATTTATTCTTAATGATATAGTCCTTCAGTTTCTGATAAACAATTAGTCCACAAATACACAAGATGTAATTCTGTGGAATACAATATACTGTTTATTACTGAGCATAAAGACTGTATAATTATAGTCAAAAACATCCCTCATTAATAAACAGTATTCCATACAATTGTAGCTCTGTGTAATAAACAGTATTCCATACAATTGTAGCTCTGTGTAATAAACAGTATTCCAAACAATTGTAGCTCTGTGTAATAAACAGTATTCCATACAATTGTAGCTCTGTGTAATAAACATTAATTATATTCCATAGAATCATATGTGTTATTTACAGTTTAATTACTAATCACCATGGAAACAACTAGTTGAGTCAGGAATAACTTAGATCATTATTTCCACGCTTGTGTTTGAGTATTTTTATCAATTGTCCATGCTCTTCATTCAAATTTCATTTGATTATAGACGTTTTCATTGATGATTAGCCAAAGTGATTTAATTAAATATTCATCTTTAACATCCATTTAATTCAAATCGATTACCCTAATCAACGAATTTATCAACACTGATTTCTAAAACGGTTACCACAAATCGCCTCTAGGTGCGATTTGATCGGATGATCACATGTTTTATTCAACTGTATCCAGCCACAAGAATTGTTTACAGCTGATTGGCACATTTAAAAAACTCGTCAAAGTACTTGAAATCGACTAAACTGTCACATGACATCTCCACTAAATACAAATTGATAAAAAAGTCTTATTTAATAGTAGACGGGTTGGTTGGACTATGTTTTGGTGTTGAAATAGACTTTTTTGTGGGATCTGTGCTTCATACACCATGCATTTATATTAAAAAAAAAATCTCATTTTCTGTTTAATAATATATTTTATTTATTAAACACACAGACAAACTATTATAAAAACGTCACATCTTTTTTTTAAAACAATATTTTATTCAGATATTAAATCACTCTCCCATGAATGCAGAAGCTTTATAAAATATAACTTTTCTCGGCTACTTTAATTAACCCCTGGTAAACATAAAGATATAGCTGTCATATTATTACCATAGTTGATCAAGACTACTTGTACACTGTTACAAACATATGTTAAAAATTTTAGAACAATCCTCTATAGAACTTCCAGTCTGGCGTCAATCAGATAAAATTGAAATGAAATGGGGGACTTTAAACAATTTGCCATAGAACTTGCGGTCTGGCGGCAATCAGCTAGAATATTGAAGACGGATCAGCTGAACAGTTTGTCTCGATCTCAATATGCCGATTATAAATCTATGTTTACCAAGGGTAGATTGTAAATCTGGTGGACTAATGGGAAGGCCCATGTAAAAAGCGTGTTATATTAAAGTTATACAAAATACATCATTATTTATTATGTATACTAAAGTTAATTACTTTACTTTTCGATGTTACTCAGCTTTAAAATTAAATATATACAAAATGTATCATAGTCGCTAATCGTCATTTGCAAAATTTTCAATTCATCATAGCTTTGTAAATACTGAATGGAACGGAATCATTTTGGACTGATATTTCTTTTAGAGATTCAATCTGTGTGGTTTAATGGCCGAGAGCGAGACGTTAAGTAATAATATAGTATGCAATGTCTTAAGCTCAAAATAATGGTAAGCCAACATCAAAGGATGACGTCACATCTGTACTAATATTTGTGACTGTCATTTGTCTGTTCGGGGTTGGCGATTGTCCAGAGACTGAAATCAGGCTGGGAAGTAACATAGGCTAGGTGGCGTTGGCCTACCGCTGCCAGTTTCGGAGATACGGGCACAACCCAGGCAGCGCCAGGTTATCCGCTAATATTACAATATTTATAATTAGCTTCCAAGAGAATCAAAATCCCTCATTTGATGATTAGCAGCTTTGACAATATTATATTTATAGGTAATATATAGCCTTTTATAAAATGTATTTCTACAAAGTTTGTGAGCTTTATAATAAAATGATTATAAAATTAACATAACAATTCCCAATACAAACATTCCTATAATAAAATATTATAATAAAATGATTATAAAACTAACATATCAATTCCCAATACAAACATTCCATTTTTGATAGCATTTATATCTTAATTAACATTTCATACTCAAGTAAAAATCAAGATGAAGAACTCTTGTCCAAAATAAAATAAACATCATTCCGATCATTACTGTATTTGAGAAGAATAAGTCAAACTTTTGTTTTAAAAACTTTGACATATTTCTAAACATGCTTCTGAAACATTTATCGATCAGCTTCTATGTATTTCCCCATACAACATATATTTATGTGATCTGTGACAGCAAAATGAGTGGGTAGCACAAGTCATTGTCTTACGATTTAAACAAAAATGTTGAAATAGGCTATAAATATCAGATTTAACAGATAAATAAAACTAAATATAGAGAATATATTTTTCTTTAAATTTTTAGCTTATTTAAACATTGTTGTTTACATCGGAAAACAATGACTTCCAACGTATTTTGCTATCAAGGGTCACCTACTACTTGAACATTTTTTTTGGATTCTGGAATTGTCTAAAGAGAAAAATCAATATGAAATGAAATGAGGTTTAATGTCCTACTGTTCTGCTACGACGGGCTGATGCAGACGGATGGGGTGGGGGGAGATTTATAACAAGAATATCAAGTAAAAACACCCCTGAGAATTATTGTGAACACACAGATAATCTCTGTGTGGTGTGTCAACTGATTTTAACAGGACTCTTAGCTTTACCTTGTTCATTCCTGTATCAGGGGGGTTGGATGGACGAATGGTTAGCATGTGCGTGCTTATCATAAGGCCTGTCATTGAGTCAACTGGCGTGGTTTCGAATCCTCGGTTGTACGTGACAAGGTGTGGGGTCACCTGTCCAACCTCATGGGTTTCCTCAGGGTCCTCCGGTTTCCTCCCACTGCTAAAGCGAATTATTGAAATAAAATTAAACCATATGTTAGTCCTGAAATGACCTAGTTTGTGTTGAGTGGATGTTAAACCCCATTTCTCTCTCTCTCTCATTCCTGTATCAATTTATTTTGTAATATATAATTGTGATCTCGTTAAACCTTGTACATCGAAAACAAATTTTTTTATTTGATTATGTCACAACTATTTATGTCATTGAGATTATAAATTGCTATGTAGTCTTTTCTAGAATACCAAAGACATTATATTTGGGTGAGGGGGTGAGTGGGGGGTGTTGACCGGTAAGGGCACTGGACTCTTGTACAGAATGTCCAGGATTTAAATCCCAGTGTCGGCTGAGAAGAGTGTGTGTTTGTCTTTCAAGATGAGACAAAAAACTGAGGTCCACCCGTACGTGATGATTTTGAAACAAGTTTTTAGTCCCATCCAAGAAACTAGATAGTATCTCTGACTATTGGGAACAAGGTTTGAAAGATCCAAATGGTCCTTCTAAGCTCATGCCTGGATTCAAACCCAAAACATTTGAATCAAGAATTTAGTGCCCTGACCCCTCCACGACCAGTGACCCCCATCTTGGAAGACATTATTTTATGGTATAAAACATTTGAACAATGTGAAATATTAATATTGATTAACCTAGCTACCATGTGAAATATTGATTAACCTAGCTACCATGTGAAATATTGATTAACCTAGCTACCATGTGAAATATTAATTAAGCTTATTATGTGAAATATTAACCTACCATGTGAAATATTAACCTACCATGTGAAATATTAATTAACCTTACCATGTGAAATATTAATTAAACTATCATGTGAAATATTAATTAACCTTACCACCTAAAATATAAACTACCATATTAAATATTAATTAACTTTACCATGTGAAATATTAATTAAACTAACAATGTGAACATTAATTAACCTACCATGTGAAACATTAATTAACCTCACCCTGTGAACTAATAACTTTACCATGTGAAATATTAATAAAACTGATTTTGTACTTTATTTTAAAAAAAAAAAATAACATGTCCCAGTATTAAAGATATGTGATATTTTCAGATATAAATCTTTAATCACATATTGTATTCAAATTCTTATGGAAATATTAAATATTTACAAAACGCGACTCAATAATAATACTTTGAACTGCTCTATACTTATTAACTTATTCCAGACGTCCATCAGTATTGAAGTTCAATACTTTCTGATTAAAATATAACTTTTCATTAGAATGTAAACGATGGCAGTAATAATAGAATATTCCACCAGATGAACATATCAGATATCTGTAAAATCTGCTATTTTTAATTGATCTGGGAGAATTGTTGTAAAATGTTGAAGAAAGATGCATAGTCACATTGTTATTGTATGGTTATCTGTGCTCTAGAGATAGTCATTTATCTCATAGTGGCGATAACAGAAGGTGTAGACTATATGTTTCTGTCTAACAAATACATGACTGTATTATTTAAAGGACAATGTTGGTGTCTACCAATTTTATATAAGTGATAGATATGGTTAAACACATTCCAAATTTTATTTTAACATAGAGATAGGTGCTATTGGTGATCTGTAATAATGATTTAAAGAATCCAGAATCCAGAGTGACACAATAAAGCAAAGCAGTTATTGTAACAACTGAAAAGACGACTTTCAGCTCACTGACAAATCCAGGAAAGATGAAGAGATGTTTGCGGATATCAAAAGAACTGACTGCCGAGAGATCAGAAAAAGTGAGAAAGATGGAAAAAGCAAACCTTGTGTCACCTAATTTTTTAATCATTCTCTACTTGAATTTTAAACGATAGTTACAATTTATTCAGGCAGCCCAATTATCTTTGTAATGTGTTTAACTAGTTCTGTCACATATATAAAATTAATGAACACTAATATTGTCCTTTAAGCTTTTTGTATTATCTGATTGATGTGATTTTTTGTTTTGTAATACAAGTTTTAGGTGTATAAAACCTCTATATTGACAGAATTATATCAAATTATTATTAATATCGCCCCTTCAAGTAACTAATTATCTTGATATTAATTAACAAATAATAAAAAATATAAAATAAACTGTATTTAATTCTTTTTTTTTTTTATGAATCATAGTCTTTAAAAGTCATTTGATAGATAAAGGAATCTCTTGCAAACAACAATAAGGTGGAACTTGAATCTGCAGTATACCTTACAGTCAAATCAGTGGTGCATTCTCATCGAGTACCTGTTTATTCACTTTTGACTGTATGTGTGTGTGTGTGTGTGGGGGGGGGGGGGTAGCATGTGCGCGCTGTATCAGAAGGTCTGACATTGAGTCAACTGGCGTGGTTTCGAATCCCCGGGTGAATGTGACAAGGAGTAGTGGCATCTGTCCTCAGGGTTCCTCCCACTGCTAAAGACCCCTACTCGCAAGCGAATTATTGAAATATGTTAGTCGAGTGGACATTAAACTCTCTCTCTCTCTTTTGACTGTATGTGTATTTGGTGCTTTAGTGTAGTTTAATGATCTAGAGTGAGACATTTAGAAATATATTGAAACTGCACGAGGACGTTGTTGTGTATCAATATATTATATTATGTCTTTCTTGAGATCTTTAAACAACTTAAAATAAAGTTACACTATCCAGCAAGTGCATTTCAACGAAATGCCATTTGAGTACTATAAATCCTTCATCGGGCATAAATGCAATACGATATTCATGTTGCCTGTACTATTATTGTTAAATGATGGTACACCAACATCAAAGGATGACGTCACATCTGTATTTTAACCATAATTATTGTACATTGGTCTCGAATCTGTATATGACTGAGATCTTATTTTCTTTCAGTTCATTGTATGAGGTAGGTAGGGTATACACAAGTACTCTCCAGCCAGTGCCTTATTCACAAACATTTTAAGAATCCAGCCCTTTCATTGGCTAAGACCTACAATTTGTTGTATAATTTTAACTCTCACCCAATGAAATGACTTTGTTTTTTTAAATATTTTAGTGTAAGTTTTTTGTGAATTAGGTCCCAGATTTTTACATCACCATGGTTAACCATGAAGCCAACAAGAATAGTCCACCACTGTACATTGCGGTGGCTAAAAACTTTGAATGTCGTGACTTGATTCGTACATAATAAAGACCTTCATAATAACAACTACCTGACAGTAATACCAACCCTGTTAACATCAACGATCCAACCTATAATAATAATTATATAATACTTGATATGAAATGAAATGGGGTTTAACATCCTACTTTTCTGCTCCGTCTGGGCTAATGAAGCCGGGTATACTTCATACGGTGTGATGTGGTGGAAATTTTGCCTGCACAGTGGCGCTACTGCCTACTCTTATTTCGAATTCCAACTGACTAGGTTTTTCTTAGGTGCTCATCAATGTGTACACAGGACCTCAGTTTTCTGTCCCATCCGAATAACTATACATTGTCAGTCGCCAGGCCCTCTGTTCTACACCAATGACAAAGGGAACTATGGCAGAAAATTCTGATGAGCTTTCTCGGACAACACCAGGTTCGCATACAGGACCTCCAGGTTAGCGAACCAATGTATTACTAACTGAGCCACTGTGGCTCCTCATGTGAAATGATCTGTGGTTTAACGTCCTACTGTTTGCTCCGACTGGGCTAATGAAAAGGGGAACTATGCCGGTAGATTCTGATGAGCTTTCTCGGCCAACACCAGGTTCGCATACAGGACCTCCAGATTAGCGAACTAATATCTTATTAACTGAGCCACCGTGGCTCCTCATGTGAAATGAATTGTGGTTTAACGTCCTACTGTTCTGCACCAACTTGTTTACATGGGACTTCCTATATCCGGCATGGCTCCATCAAATTGTCATAAAATACCTTTAATTTTGATATAAATATGTACGAAAAGTAAATGTGAAATAACCTTAAAGGCACAATACCACTCTTGTTGTAACTGAATAATATGTCCCAATCTTTATTCAGGTCAACAAATTGTACTATTTTACAATATTTAAATTAATTGATGATACAAATTTCATCTTAACACACCTAATTTAAAAAATTGGAAAAATTCAACTAAATGATTTGAAAAGCCTGACGTAAAGCTTTTCAAATGTGACTTGGATTTAAAAATATTTTTGAACCCCCTGGACAAGTAAAATAGGATTTAATGGATAATTTACACAACAGGTGAGACACTAACACATCTAGTACTTAGAATAAGGCTATTTTTTATTTTCTGGAGCTGTCAAGCCAGCAAGAGTGTTATTGTCCCTTTAAATAACTATAAAGAATATATTATGTCTGTAAAACTTACTAAATAAGGCATTCTGGTTAATGGTATAGCTAATAAGGCTACGGTGTGAAAAAGATGAAGTTTGAATCCAAGGTCATAAATATACATCTAAAAAAAAAGATAAAAAGATAATCTTTCATCATAAACTCTTTTATTTTTGGTTACTATGGTCACCAGCTTAATTACTGTACCTATTTCTATCTTAGGAAATGTACACTTTTGATATGTATCGGCCAAAAACACATCGACACATGCATGGATTCAACATACATTATGGAAGCGCTAAATCTGCCTATTGCAGGTCTTTCTTTAGGCCTGAAATGTTATCTGAATTATTAATTAAACATTAATTAACTTATCCATGTCAACGCTAGCTTGCAATATTTATTGGATTAGGATTCGATTTGCTGTTTAACTTTCATTCATGATTTAATCATGAAATGGATAATCGAGGCTATATTTTTTATCGTACCGACTTCAGTAATGATGATCGAGGCTAGGCTGAAATTTCAATAGCTTAATTCTCGGTTCATAGTGAATCAATTCAACTGAAATTTTCAGCAAATTGCCTTTACATTATCTAGTTTTTAGCTACTATAGTGAGAACTGCCAGCTCTTCATATAATCTCCCATAATGTATCTTTAAGTTTTGGGCGACTTAAAAATTAAAAAAAAAAAAAAAAAATATTCACCCGTTTCATGAGATCAACATCAACTACTCGTCCTTTTCTAATCTCTCCTTTTTTACCTGTACTAGCAACAGGTAACTCATCATTTTCTACTTTTGCTTTGAATACTGTAAAATTACAGAGAAGTAAGAGCATAAACAAAATATTTTATCTTATCATTTTGTTCCATTTATATGGTTGGTGATTCTTTAAACATGAGTGGTCAAACTTGTGCAGTTTGGATCATAACTCATAAGGGGTATAGGAGTAGGTTCGCCTGTCCAAACTCATGGGTTTTATCCGGGTCCTCTGGTTTCCTCCCACTGCTCAAGACCCCTATGCGTAAACGAAATACTGAAATAAAATTGAACTATATGTTAGTCCCGAAATGGCCTAGTTTCTGTCGAGTGGATGTTAAACACCATTTCGTTCTCTCTCTCTATTAAAATGAATTGTCTGACTTGTACTCTCTGGATTATAAATCATAAGGGGTGTCACTGCATCAATCCCTTGTCATGTACAAGCTTGGGATCGAAACCACTTGACTCAATGTTAGACCTTATGATCTGAAGTGTATGCTTGAGACACCGTGGTCACAGACAGGAAGATAAATAATTATTGTAATCAAATCAAAACCATGCCACTTGACTCAATGACAGATCTCATCTTCTGAAGCCCAAGTAATTAGACTACTCGAAAAAATTGGTTTTAGCACTTTAGGTCCCCAGACTTCATATAAAAATAAAAACCTGTAGGATAGTATCAAAAAAAACATCAAAAACTTACTGTAAATGCCATATGTTCCCATAGCAACAGCCAAGACACCTGATATGCCAGCTGCTCTCACAAAGATATATCCAGGAATAAATCTGGTAAAATTCATACTGTATTTATCTACTTTCAATTTACCATCAGGTTTCAACTGCTTAAATAATGCGTCAAGTAACGGGTGTGATCGCATGCTCTATTCTTATGTCTGAAAAAATATAAAAATCAATGAAATTTATATTTAAAATGACATTTTTGTGTTAAAATTCCCCCTCAAATTGTAACTTCCAGGCAAGTTTGGAAGTTGTAACCAAGGAACATAACTGGTGTATTGCACAAAATCGCTCACTTGGGAATTCCATTTTGAAAGACATTTTTGAAACAAAAACATTACACTTTTAAATTAAAAATGACAATTTACCATATAAGAACATATATAATCAAATATATATATAAATTATTATTATATGAGTTCAAATAATGGTAGATTTGGGTAAATCATGCCACTGTATTCATCACCCCGATGGAGGCTCAAGGACACCAGAGTTACCCAGCCCGCCCCTGTATAAAGTTATGATGTAATACATCAGTAGCATTACATGTACTTAAAAATGTTTTACACAATCCTAACATTAGATAAACATGTTTTACTGGGCTGTTTTAGTTTGTCAGTGAGCTTTGTTGTTCTTCTGTAAAAAATATAAGGCGTCCATATGGAATTTTATCGAGTGACAGCTGACACCTAGTATTTCTTCCGTCAAAAAAGTCTAGCAAGTTATGTGTGCAGGTTTCCTTGATGGAACCCAGATTCCACCTCTAGTGGAATAAAATATAATAGAATTGTATTGCATCGAAAAAAAACGTCCTTTGAGGAAAGCATACAATATATAAAGTATTAAATACAAAAATTTTGGGCAGGTACAAAAATATGGACGGGCATAAATTCAGGGCACTCAATAAATAGACAGTATAAAACCTGCACATGCATACATGCGGTGCATAATGAAAACGTATGCAATTACTAAATTAACAGTACTTGCTTCGTTATGGTCCTGACGTGGTTTAGCACACTCTCATCAAGAGGTCGAGACATCTGATCAAGTGCAATCGTTTCATTTTTTTATAATTCAAAATTTTTTTACACTAGTATCTGGAAGAGTTGTTATATAATCTGCATTCTGGTTGATGTGAGGGATTAGCCAATGAAACAGTCTGTTAGCGAGTTCTTGGCGTGCGATGCACGGAACTGTAGGTATCCCCACTAGAAACATCAAGTCTGATTGGTTTATCAAATGTCTGATATCATATAGGGTCTGACCCCTGACACGACCTTCAACTACAACTGGTCAGATTTTCATGTGGTGCAGACGGTTTGTGCTAAATGATAAGGTTGATCAGCTCACTATTTCGTAATAGGTCACAAGATGTAAACAGGGCTAGCGCTAATCCCAAACCCTAACCCTGGAACTAGCCCCGATGCTAACCCTAACCTACAATCTCGCCAACAATCACGTGCCCAGACCTTATTTACATCTTAACGACCTTGACACAAATTGAGCTGGCCTAATAACAAATAGATTTTGCCATTGCAGGCCATCGAAAGTATAAAAAAAACGAAACGAAATATATAATAAATATAGTTTTGTATTTTTTTAGTCATATTGGATCAAGTGTTGCTTTACAAGATTGCTTCAACTTCAAACGAGCACTTGTCTGTTTTGACACTTTGTAAAATTAATACACAAACGAAATCTTACGTAAATTATTTGTCCTGCAATAAACATAGAGAACTTTCATATACGAAATAGTTGTAAATGCAAGTAAGGCTTCTAGCTTCGAAGAAAACCATGTTGTTTATAATATTATAGACTAAATGTAACTTCTTCATTAGAGATTCAAAATTATATATTACCTCCCATTTTAACTCTTTGCTGTTTGGAAACAGTAAGGGCTGTCCATATAAACAACTATGGAAATTTTTGTGTTAAAGAAATAATTTACTAACTAATTTAAAACCAGATATATAACGGTACAGCATTTATTTGCATTAGTACTTTTAGCTACGAAATTTTAGCTAAAAACGTTAGGATATCTCTGATGTGTTTGTTTTGTGCTTCGGTTTGATCTGATTAATAAGTTTCACCTTGCAAAACTAATAAATAGTGTCAAATGTGTAGGCTAAAATAGTTTATAATATCAACTTAAACCTACCCAGCTCAGTGTAGAGATACAACTTTGCCATAACTGTAAAAATTGTCGGTCAAATTAATTACCTGCATGGCCTCCAGATGAGTTACTTCATCTATAGCATTTTTTACTCTAGTTTGTTTACTCTACTGTAGGGGGGTTGGATGGCCGAATGGTTAGCAAGCGCGCGCTGTATCATACGGTCTGTCATTGAGTCAACTGGCGGGGTTTCGATTCCCCAGTTGTACGTGACAAGGAGTCCCACATAACAAACTGATGATAATTTTACGTAAAGTTTACGTAAAAATGGTCAGTCAGTTTACCATCATTTTGCTCATCTTTTTAACGATAAGTTTACGTCAGGAAATGACGTAAATCTAACGTAAAGTTTACGTCATTTTTACGTTATATTTACGTCATTTTCTGATGCAAATCTAACGTAAAGTTTACGTCATTTTCTGACGTAAATCTAACGTAAAGTTTACGTCATTTTTACGTTATATTTACGTCATTTTCTGATGCAAATCTAACGTAAAGTTTACGTCATTTTCTGACGTAAATCTAACGTAAAATTTGCGTAAAGTTTACGTCACTTACGTTACATTTACGTCAGAAAATGACGTAACCTTTACGTTAGAATTGCGTCAGAAAATGACGTAAATATAACGCAAATACGACGTAAACTTTACATTAGATTTACGTCATTTGCTGACGTTAAATTATCGTTAAACAGATGAGCAAAATGATCTATAGCATTTTTTACTCTAGTTTGTTTACTCTACTGTAGGGGGGTTGGATGGCCGAATGGTTAGCAAGCGCGCGCTGTATCATACGGTCTGTCATTGAGTCAACTGGCGGGGTTTCGATTCCCCAGTTGTACGTGACAAGGAGTACGTAGGGTCACCTGTCCAACCTCGCGGGTTTACTCCGGGTCCTCCGGTTACCTCCCACTGCTAAAGACCCCTACGCGCAAGCGAATTATTGAAATAAAATTAAACCATATGTTTGTCCTGAAATGACTTAGTTTGTGTCGAGTGGATGTTAAACCCCATTTCTCTCTCTCTATCTCTCTCTTTGTTTACTGTAACACCTCAGGGATCCATGATCATGGTGGCTCTGTGTATGAGATGCTGGCTCACTGACCAGCGAAGGTCTTGAGTTCTCTACGTACCATTGTTGATCTAGAGAGCTACTCAAGATTGTCCGGAGTGGTTTCTCCTTGTCAGGGGTACAGGCCTGGAATTCTAAATATGAGTAGCCTGCAATGCCGCTATCCAGGCAAAATTAACCTCTTAGCACACTATGCCCATCTTCATTAGCCCAGTCAGTGCAGAAAAGTAGGAATTTATGGTTATGTAAAAAGTTTATACCAGGATGCATTTGTTTTTTTAACTGTTTATTGATAAACAAAATATTTTGTCTGTTTAGCAAGATGTGCAAATATTCAATCTGATGAGGTCTTGATCATGGAGTTGAGTGAAGAGGAAGATAATAATACCAGGAGAAATGAAAACAATGATGAGGTACAGGATTTGATATAAATCTCGATGTTTTAAATCCCAGCCCTAACCCTGACCTTACACAGTAGTTCCTATTAGCATCAATTACATGTCTGTCTTCATTAGCGCATTCGGTGCAGAAAAATGGGAAGTTAAAGCCCATTTCCATTACATGTAGGCTACCATCTACTTGACCTCTGTGATTGAAGCCTCTGTAGTGAAAACTCTAATTCTGAAATTGGTTGGCTAGCAAAATAAAGTTTAATTACAGTAACATATAAGTGCAGGAGGACTGCAAACAAAACCCATTAGACAGACAATGGGACACACAAATTACACAGACATCACAAGCATTAAACAACAACCATACATATAAAATCAAGTGAATGGATCCATGGGCCTGCCGTTGTTGTCATCCACTGCGCTGAACAGTCCTGGGTCTGTAATGATACAGATATAATGAGAAATAATATACAATTAAGGTTATTCAAGAATATAGCAAGTACCAGAGCTTATAATTTATAAGTTTGATTAAAGATACATTATCTAAGATTTAGATAAAGAGCTGACCAGTTTTTCTATAATAGCTCAAAAATAGATCATGTAAAATGAAAATATTGAAAATTTCATTCAAATTACTTCATTCTGAGCCAAGTTATCACTGTTTGTAGTTTTGACAAGATGTGTGCATGGTGGTAACCAGGGCACTGGTATATTCAAGACTTAGCCTCACTTTCCCATTTTTAAATTAAATTTTTAAATGGCGAACTGTTCTAATCTAGTTTAAAAAATCTTGAGTATCCGATGCCATTGAGAGTTGATTAAGTGTCCTATCATGTTAATTAATGTCTACTTAATAGTTTTTATAACATTTCCGGCCTAAAGAAAGACCAGCAATAGGCAGATTTAGCTCTTGCATAATGTATGTTTAACATCTGATTAATGATGAAAAATTATTTCTAGCTCATGGCTGCTTTAAGGAAAGATGCATATATTTATTTTATGACCATTCTGATAATTTTTATGTTTTTAAGGAAAACGATTCACTACAAACTTCGACCAGAAAGAGCAGAAGACAGAAACGTCAAAGACAATATTTTACACCAGATGATGAGAGTCAATCAAAAAGAGCTAATCTATTGAATAAGAAGAAAGCCATTTCAGGAAATAGAAATAGATTCATTAACAAACGGAAATTAAAACCAGGTGGGTTTACGTTCTTCAAATGTTTTGTTTCTTCTTGAAGATAAGAATGGAAATCTTGCATCTTGGAAATCGAAATAAGAGTAGCCTGTAAGGCCACTGCCTGGCAAAATTGCTCCTTAGTGCACTGCATGGTTTATGACGATCTTCAATAACCTGGCTGGTGTAGAAAAGTGGGATGTCAGGCTTCATTTCAGGTTTTTTTTACAAACAGTATTTTACTCACAGAAAAGGGTAGGGGAATAGGGTAGGTAATATAGGCCTAGCCTGTTCTTCAATCATTTTCTGTGAATGAAATACATTTTATATTAAAAAACCATCTTTTCAAAATTCATTACAAAAAGAACTTTTGTCTGCTCTGTGAGCTGGCTTAGTGGATTTGGTGTGATAAAAATGGACATATTATATGATGACTATTATTATTATAACAAAAATAAAAATGGTCGTTGGTTCCAAAAAGTAGTAAGGGGTTTAATATATTTAGGTACGAGACCAGATCGTGATCGATCAGTGTCACCTGAAATTGAACAATCGTGACCATACCTCATCCAAACGCATCAAGTCGTACCCAAACGTAATGACTCAAAATAATGGACACTTGCAGTTCAATCGAAACGATCAGTTGTCAAACCTCTGTACAAACATGGTAAGCAAGCTACCGACCCCGGTAAACCAAGAGGCCAACACCGGTAACTCCGCCAATTAGTAACCATTGAAACCCAACTGGGGTTTCGGAATAGTATAAATAAAAAAGCCTGCCAGGTGAACCAATCAGTTTGAAGAATTCAGTACAAATGAAACGTCACTGACACCCGGGATAACCAGGTCTTCATTGCCACTCTTAGACTATATAAATATGTTATTAACATTAATCCCTGTTTCAGGGGGTTGGATGGCTGAATGGTTAGCATGTGTGCGCTGTATCATAAGATCTGTCTCTCATATTTTATTTGTATTATTATTCTGTATATTTTATTTTTATTATTATTCTGTATATTTTATTTGTATTATTCTGTATATTTTATTTTTATTATTATTCTGTATATTTTATTTTTATTATTATTCTGTATATTTTATTTTTATTATTATTCTGTATATTTTATTTTTATTATTATTCTGTATATTTTATTTGTATTATTATTCTGTGTATTTTATTTGTATTATTCTGTATATTTTATTTGTATTATTCTGTATATTATATTTGTATTATTATTCTATTTGTATTATTATTCTGTATATTTTTTTGTATTATTATTCTGTATAATTTGTATTATTATTCTGTATAATTATTCTGTATAATTTGTATTATGATTCTGTATATTTTATTTGTATTATGATTCTGTATATTTTATTAACAGTGTGGAGTTGTGGTGTCTGTAGATCACCTTATGTATCGGATCCAAGGAAGAGGAAAAAAGTCAGCAAAAATAAACAAAGTCGTCATAATCCATGTCCTAAAGTTCATTTAGATTCATTCTCTAATAAATATATCGAGATTTGTAACGCTTGCGGTTAGTTTCAAAATTATAGTTTTTATTTTTTTTCTGAATTATTTCGTTGACAGGTTGAAGTAAAGTTGTTGCAATAAATTATGTTTATCGGTAATATTGATTATTCACTATGAAATTTCTGTTTGAAGGGTAGAAGTAAAATTATTGCAAATTCTCAACATCATCAAAACTAATTAGGAATTGTTTCTTCAATAAGTATGTGTTATAGTGTATTCCTTTATCCAGTTACTAAATGCCTCTAAAAGATTAAAGTCAATGCATTTGCCTTTTATGGTATTTAAATTGATCTCTAACACCAGCAATATGAGGTTGTCAATTTTGATTTACATTTTTTTAATGTCTGGAGGTTCTATGTTTGATCCCTGTGTTGGCCGAGAAAATTCATCAGGATTTTTGAGCAGGGTTCCTCCTTGTCACTGGTGTAGGACAGAGGGCCTGGCAAGGGGCAACGTATAGTCATTCGAGGTCTCGTGTATACATTGGCTAGCACGTAAAATATCCCTTGGCAGTTGGAATTTGATATAAGAGTAGACCGTAGCGTCGCTGTCCTGGAAAATTTCACTCACGGCACCCATGCCCATCTTCATTAGCCCAGTCGGAGCAGAACAGTAGGACCATAACCCTGTTTCATTTCATTTCATTTTTTCAAATATGCAAGTTTAAACATGCATTATGCAAGAGCTAAATCTGTCTATTGCAGGTTTTTCTTTTGGCCTGAAATGTTATCCAAATTATTAATTAGACATTAATTAACTTATACAGACCATAACCAACTCTTGATGTCATCGTTAGCTTGCAATGTTTACTGGATTAGGATCTGATGCTCATTCATGATTAAATCAAGAAATGGATAATCGAGACTATGTTTTTTATTGTACCGACTTTAGTAATCATGATCGAGGCTACGTCCAAAATTCAATCGCTAAATTCTCGGTTCAGATTGGATCTATTTGACTGAAATTTTCAGCAAATTGTCTTTACATTATCTAGTTTTTAACTATTATAGTGAGAACTGTCAACTCTTTGTCTAATCTCCCATAATGTATCTTTAAATGTTTTACTCATAAACACTGTTAATATTCTAATTTTATGGCATTGACTGACAGATAAATTCTTTACCAGTCATTTAAAACTGGCAGATATGTCTAAAATGAAAGCCCTGAGAACAACAACAAATCTAGCATGTACATGTAAAAAAGATGGAATAATTCCTTCTGATAAACAAAACATGTTTTATATCCACAGATTTAATATTGAATCCAGTAAAGAAACCAGACCCAGCCCCTCCACTGCTCAAACCAGAAGATAAAACTAGAATGCTCCATGAAGCCAAGGATTTTGCAACAAATCTCGCTGATGAACTGAATGATAGAGATGGTAAACAAATAGACAAATGTATTAAAATTGGTGTGTTTATGATGTTGTTAGAGGATTGCTGTAGGAGTGGCAAGGTCTTTTCTTTCACCAAAAAGTTTGAATTAACTTCATTTTAAACTTTACATAGTAAAGCCTTGACATAAATAAGGTAGTCTCTGTCACCCAAAACCTCCTAGTCTTCAACATACGGAGGAACTGGGACCGTCGTTGTCAATATTTGACGAAAAGTCCATTGCCCATGCGTAACCGGGAGTTTGGTTTTTAATGTGGTTGATTATCCAGTATCTTCTGGCCAAGTCAAGTCAGAGTTGTGCCCCTTCTCACAATAAATCCCATAATTCTTGCATTAATATAAACAAACATGAATCGTGATGACGAATTAGGATAAATTTATAAAAAAACATAGATATGGCCCATGGATAGAGAAAATTTTACAACAAAAAAAAAAAATAAAAGTGTTGGATATTGAACTGGCATGCAATTAAATGGATTTTTTAGAAATAGTTACCTACCTCCCTTATGATAATGTAAAAGACCGGGTAATCTAGCCAATGACCTATTATTCCCAAATGTTGACAATGCATCTAGACTAATATTAGTAGAATATGTTTCTGGATGATACAGACTATAAAAAAAGGAGAGCAAGGGAAGTGATGGCTTGTCTACGATATCACCTTAGGTGGAAGTGGACGTAAAACCCCAGAAACGAACGAACGAACGGAAGTGATGGCTATTCAATTGATCATTTGATTGTATATAGATCAAGTAGTGCCTTTTAAAACTTTAAGAATTAAAGTCAAATCGTTTTTATGTGCTCGCTGCCTCTAACCTTAGAACTAGCCCCTCTATAGTTTTCAGTTTGATTTGTACATTTATTAATTTGTTGTACTTGAATACTATTTTACAGCTGAACGTTTGTTTTGTGGCCATTTTAAGAGTATTACAATATGTGGATGTTTACAGACATATCTTAACGAAGTTCCTGGTAAAATTAATCTTCATTTTCCTTAAAACCATTCTTAATCTTTCTTAACCCTTTAGCACTTGGTACATATATTGACTATACTAGTTCCTTGAAGAAAATTAGAGAAAAGTAAAATCTTGATACCAGTACATCCTTTGACAGTCAACTGACCGCGCTATGTGAATAGTTTTCCATGCAGCAGGACGTTGGGTCTGACAAGGACAGCTGTCTAGTCGTTTGGATGGGATGAAAAACCAAGGTCCCATGTACACATTGGCGTGCACATAAAAGATCCCTTGACAGTTGGAATTCGATATAAGAGTATGCCGTAGTGCCGCTGTCCGGGCAAAATTTCCCTCATAGCACACTGTATGGCATATGCCCGTCTTCATTAGCCCAGTTCAGAGCAGAACAGTAGGACGTTAAACCCCATTTCATTTCATTTGCTATCATATCGCTAAAGACCCTATGCACAAGCATATTATTAAATACAATTGAACCTTATGTTAGTCCCGAATTTGTCTGGTTTGTTTTGAGTGGATGTTAAACCCTCATTTCGCTCTCTCTATTTATCCAAATTACATCGTGATTGTAATGACATTCACTTTTGATTTCAGACAATCGTGTGGAAAAAGCTAAAGAATTTTTACAGTTTATGAAGGAAGCTAGACGGCTATCAAAACAGAAATTTTACAAAAAAGATCCTCAAAAGAAGTATGAATTATGACATTTTATTTTATAGTTAACTGTAAAAATGATCCTGATGTTGTCTGATGAAATTCAACGAGATTGTGGTTCCCCCTTGTCAATGGTGCAGGACAGAGGGTCTGACAAGGAGTCGTGCCTTTTCATTCAGATGGAATAAAAACTTTTGGAGTTGGAATTTAATGATGAGTTGGCGGCAACGCCACTCTCCGAACTAAATTTTTCTCATAGCAAATAATGCTGGGTATTGCCACTGTAGTCACGATAACCGGATCAATATTTACCAAGAAAACAACAGGATAAATGAATAATCAATATTTTTAGTCCTGCCGATGTCGAAGAAATAAAACTGCTTTATATCATGATATTCATCAAAATAATGACCAAAACAATTTAAGAGTGTTTGTGTACCTATAGCTAATGTGTGACGACCTGGTTAATTAAGAGTGATAATTAAGGTTATTTGCTGAAGGGACCAAAAAAAAATCGCAATACAGTGATTCAGCGTCTTGCGATTCAATACGTAAATCGTGAGAAGGTGAATCGCGATACACCGATTCAATGATATATCGTGCCAGCACTAATAACGAACTGTATAGCATATATTCCCGTCTATTTAGTCTGATGCAGAAAATATGCTTCCAAGTTGAACAGTTGTAATACTAATTGTTAGGATGATATTTAGTAGGCTTGAATGAAAATTCAGTATTTCATCTTCCCAAAGCTTGTGTTTAGTCAACACCAAAACATGAATTCTTTGTGTTACAGGATTTTTGTTGGATTAGGAAATGGTCAGAAGAAATCAAGAGAATTTGAAAATTATATATTTGAAAAGCGACAATATATTCGACAAGATCTGAAACTATGTGAGACAGCGTGTAAACAAATATTACTCTATTCCAATAATTTCCTTCATAAAAACATTAAAACAGAAATGGTTGGTTATATTTCCTTCTTATTTATAATTTTGAATTTCTAATTTACATAAAGTAAAACATGTGATACATCAACCTGCTATTGTTCCATCTGTCCCGAGACTGCGGTCAGAAACAGAGGCTGCTGAGAAGAGTATTTTTGATGTATTTTAATGATTGCCATATTTTTATTATCAAAAGAGATCTACATTTATTTAAAGCATCGAAGGCCAGCCTTGCCTTTAATGGCCTATGTTCAGATTTTGGGCAGAGGAGAATCATCTGCTATTCTATAGCGTGGTGTTTTTCTTGTTCAAGTCTGATCCCGATCACCACGATTAGATACAATCTGTGATCTGAAGCGATGATAACGATTGATGATTAATCGCGTTGATGGTAGAAAATATTTGAACCATTCAAAACTTTTCTATGGTCGACATGATTGTTACAACTAACTTCAAGATCTGACCTCAAGATATGATAAGACTTGATAAGATTACTCCATGATTTCAGTTTTAGTGTGAATAGTGATAGTGGGAGCCTAGCATAAAGGGTAATAAAATTCTATGAATTATGTTTAAAACATGAATTATTGTATATTTTTTATAGAGACGTCGTATGACGAGAACTAAATGTAAAGGAAAGTTGAATATTTTACCAAATATCGACACTCTACATCAACGAACCTGCTGTTTCTATAACTGTGTTAATGTACGTATTATTAATATACTTACAGACGGAAGTGCTGGGGGTGGGGGGGGCTCTTCAGATCATCATAAGGTCTTTCTATTACTGAAGCTTTGGATGGTCTAGTGATCTATAACAAGTACACTTTAGATCATTGGATCTGTCAGTGATTCAAGAGCTGTGGTTTAGATTCCCGGCTTGTACGAGTCAAATAGTCCTCCATTCTCCTCTCTCTGCTGAAGACGCCTATGTGCTAGAAAGTTGATGTAAATGGAGTTGAGTGGATTTTACACCCAATTTCTCTCTCTCTTTAATGTGTAAGTCAGTACGTGTTACGACAGAAGACATTTAGATTCTTTTTTTATTATTATAGATGGCACAATCTCACAGTTATTTACTGTATGAATGGAGAAGTCGTGCTCAGACCTGTCAGGCAGAAGCAAGACGTGTTTTAGCAGAAATGTTGACTCCTTCAGGTAAACTTGGGTTCTGTAATGTCCAAATTAAATTTACCGTTGAGAATAACTGACCTTAAGAACAGGGTTCTTCATCCATTTTGAAATGAACTGGCCTAGGAAATAGGGTAATTAAAGCTCCCATTCCCTTTGATATATCAACTCTTTAACAAAAATAATTCTTGGTAATTTGTTATGTAGAATGTTGTATTCTATATAGGCTAATAGTAATATATATATTATTACCCGAAAAATAAAGAAAATTGGGTACACCTGCTCGGTAAGTTAAGTTAAGATGTCTGCATGTATATAATTATCCTGATTACAAGTTACCATTAACTTTATATAAGGCTGAGAAGAGTCTCAAGATTTTCCAATCTCAAATCTTAAGTCCTGGTCATTCAGATGGGACAAAAAAGCGGTTGCCATGTTAGATACATTCACATATTGCAAGAGATGGACAGAGAACGACCTAAAAAACGATTTAATGTACAATGTGGGGCCATAATCCAGAATGTTATTGTTATAGAAACCAAGATCTTTGGGATATAAGCATATATTTTAGAGGCTCCACAACCTTGGAATTGCATACTTTTATATTATTTGCATACAGGGAGTTGTCATTTTTTCGGCAGTTTTGGTTTGATATACTTAACGGTTTTTAAGATCGTATAAAAATTGTGACTTCTAGAGGGTTCACAATCTAAAAACGCAATTTTCAGTAAAATCGGGGGCCATAATCCAGGTATGATATGCCCGAATATTGAGAGGAACCCAAATATTTTAAGTTTTAGCCAAAATCGGATAAAAATTGTGACCTCTGGACGGACATGAGCGACACCTGTATACGTCTACATGAAATTGTGGGGGTATAAAAATCAAGTTTAATGTGCTCCGAAGTGATAAATATTTGAAGGACATTTCTGGAGACAATGATGAAATTCACTCTGTTAGTTTAGGGGGATTGGCAGAAATTGCTTTTGTTAAAGAAAAAGGGAAATGACAGAAATGCCTGAGAGTTCAGGTGATCAGCCAAAATGCCTGAGAGATCTGGGAAACAGCCAAAATGTCCGGGCGATCCATAAACAGCCAAAATGACTCAGAGTTTAGTGAAGCAGCCAAATTGCCTGGGAGATTGGGAAACATGCAAAATGCCTGAAACAACAAAATGCCAGGGGAATCATGGAAATTGCCTGAAAAATTTCAAGGGTAGAACAGCAAAATGCCAGGATAATTGGTGCACATCAAATTGCCTTTGTCAGATGCCCATCCCTAACAAGTTCCTTCCTTAAACATACATTACGCAAGGGCTAAATCTGCCTATTGCAGGTCTTTCTTTAAGCCTGAAATGTTATCTAAATTATTAATTAGACATTAATTAACTTATCCAGGCCATAATCATCTCTCGATGGCATCGCTAGCCTGCAATCTTGGGTGGATTATGTTTCGATTTACTGCATAACTTTTCTTCACAATTTAATTATTAAATGGATAATCAAGACTATGCTTTTTTTTTTTACCGACTTTAGTAATGATGATCAATTAGGCTAGGTAGAAATTTCAATAGCTTAATTCTCGGTTCATAGTTGATCAATTTGACTTAAATTTTCAGCAAATTGCCTTTACATTATCTAGTTTTAACTATTATAGTGAGAACTGCCAACTCGTTATCGAATCTCCCATAATGTATCTTTAACTAAAATGAGGACAAATTTTGAATGTCATTGATGTATTGTTTGATTACAGGTGGTTATAGATGTAATTGTAACAGGTTCATTCATTGGATAACTGGCTGTAGTAGCGGTACAATACAGCGTGTCAACAGACAGATGAGGGAGACACGAGGTAATCGGGAACCACCACAACATGGTTTACGGAAGAACTGGGAAGCATGTAATACAACTACAGATAGAGGTAAATTAGAATACATTTCAACCCTTTGCACTTAGCCCTCCCTGTCCTGTCACATGCACAGCTATGGCGCTCGCTTGAACTAATAAATGATCTTATTATACTGAAAACTATTTAAATATCTTGGGTAGTTTGAGACAATCTAAGGAACAGCAGTTTTGGATTGTTTCATTGCGTTTAGGGATGTTCCGGTATTAATGAATAACTTTTTTCTCTAAAAACTTAACCAAGAATTGTTGATAAGTATAACATGTCTGTGGTTTCTATCATCACAGATTCCCTGGTTGTACGTGACAGGGAGTAGGGTCGCCTGTCCAACCTTGTGGGTTTTCTCCGGGTCCTCCGGTTTCCTCCCACTGCTAAAGACCCCTACGCGCAAGCGAATTATTGACATGTTAGTCCCGAAATGACCTAGTTTGTGTTGAGTGGATGTTAAACCCCATTTCTCTCTCTCTCTATCATCACAGATCTATTTCATGTGGTGGGGGAAGGGGGGTTTTGGACTGAATGATCTAACACATGCACCTTAGGTCATAAGGTTTATTTCGATCCTAGGAGTAGGATTTTCAGCCCTAACGCCCTAACCATGTGGGCTTTCTTCGGGTCCTCAGGTTTCCAGGTAAAGACTCATATTAGCATGCTAATCATTAATTAAACTTGTAACATATGTTATTCCTAAAATTGGGGGGTTGGATGGCTGAATGGTTAGCGTGCGCGCGCTGTATCATAAAGTCTGTCATTGAGTCGACTGGCGTGGTTTCGAATCCCCGGTTGTAAGTGACAAGGAGTAGGGTCGCCTGTCCAACCTCGTGGGTTTTCTCCGGGTCCTCCGGTTTCCTCCCACTGCTAAAGACCCCTACGCGCAAGCAAATTATTGAAATAAAATTAAACCATATGTTAGTCCCGAAATGACCTAGTTTGTGTCGAGTGGACGTAAAACCCCATTTCTCTCTCTCTCTCTCTTATTCCTAAAATTAACTTGTTTGTGTCATCTCTCTCAATCTCTCTCTTTATTTTATTGTAGATTTAGATACAGGTAGCCAATCAACTGACATTATCGAAAACACTGTGCTGACTGAAGATGCTCTTCCAGTAGTCTCTAACATCACAACATTAATACCGGTAAGTAACGCTTTCAGTGGTCTTTAATATCACAACATTAATACTGGTAAGTAACGCTTACAGTAGTCTTTAATATCACAACATTAATACCGGTAAGTAACGCTTACAGTAGTCTTTAATATCACAACATTAATACTGGTAAGTAACGCTTACAGTAATCTTTAATATCACAACATTAATACCGGTAAGTAACGCTTACAGTAGTCTTTAATATCACAACATTAATACCGGTAAGTAATGCTTACAGTTGTAGTTGGTTTATAATGGGAGCCACTCTTTAAATTTCTGCAAGGGGTAGTCAATATTTACATATGTGAATAGCTTTCTGACAATTTGCTAGTTCGTGTGGGCGTGAAGGTTGTGCACATGACGGGGCAGTTTGGGGTGGTCTAAGTGCTAGAGGTTTAAAGGGTTAATAATGTGATATGCATCTGTGAAACAATATTTGAATGTATTTTTATGATGTTTGTTTGTAGTTTACTCCACAGCAACAATCATTGCAACAACAGTTATTACAGAAACAACATCCATCCACAGTACAGCAACAATATCAGTCCAGGATACAGCAACAACATCAGTCCACAATACAGCAACAATATCAATCCACAGTACAGCAACAACATCAGTCCACAATACAGCAACAGCATCTGTCCACAATACAGCAACTACATCAATCAACATTACAGCAACATCACCAGCCCACAGTACAGCAACATCAATCCATGATACAGCAACCACATCAGTTCACATTACAGCAACAACATCCGTCAACAATACACCATCAATCCACAATACAGCAACAACATCAGTCCACAGTACAGCATCTGCATCAACAACAGCACCCCACAGAAGAAAAACATCAACAAACAATGCCCACAGATGCACAACATCATCAGTCTACAGAACATCAATATGAACAACAACAACATTTTGCAGTACAACATCAACCAGCAGTAGAAAAACAACAAACTCAACCATCTACAGTGCAACAACAGTATGCAGTAACAAAACAACAACTGCCCACAGTAGAACATCCAGTGACATCACAGGTTACTTTTCTTCTCTTTTGTAGATAATGGGAGCATAAAAAACTGATCAAGAGTAACAACCTATGAAATAATTATCAGAAATAGATAAAATTTGAAAGGCTTTTAACTCTGCCCACAACAATATATGACTACATTGCAATGTTGTCATTTCAAAATGAAGATATGAAATATAACTCCTGCTTAATTTTAGCAGGAGGTCACGGGTTTGCTTCTATTGTTGACCAAGAAAGTTTCTCTGGATTTTTAGGTGCGGTTTCTCCTTGTCAGTGGTTCAGGAAAGAGTGCCTAGCAAGGACAGTGTCTAGTGGATCAGAAGGGATTAATAGCCGAGGTCCATTGGCATGCATGTAAAAGACACCATGACAGTTGGAATTTGAAATAAGAGTAGGCCACGGATCTGTTGTCCAGGCAACATTTCCCTAATAGCATACTGTATGGCGTAAGCCCGTCTTCCATAGCGGGGTCAGCATTAGTCGGCACACTTTCATTCTATAGTATTACGGCAACACATAATTTTGTAGGAATATTACTGACATAAATTTGAATAGCGCATGGGAATTAAATATGAAAATTAACAAGGTACACATATTTTTTATTACGTACGAATTTGAATATTTTGTTGACACATGATTTTTGTGTGTGGTCTGAAACTGCCTGCTTTTTTCGGTAAAAAAATCTGACAAGGCTGGCCCAGTTGGTGCAGAAAAGTAGACAGTTAAAGCCCATTTCATTTTTTTCTAACAAAGTCTACTGAGTGGGAAATATTTTTAACATTAACTATGGATTAAACATCTTTTTTTTTCTTTCAGAATATGGCTGTTACCAATCTTCAGCTGGTTTTAGATCAAGTGTCTCAGCTACAACAAGCTGTTCAAAATGTATCAATAGATTCAACCAATGAAGCAGCAACATCCCATAACATACCTGCTTCCCCCAGCAGCTACCAGCAGGTCCTGACCAATGATCAACTTCTTGGATGCAATATGATTAACCCAAACATGGATTTATCAGAAGAGAATCGCTCCTTACTCAGCAACATCCTCAAGTTGGACAACTATAATACTCAGCTTCTTCAGGGTAATTCTGAGATCATCAAAGCCAGTTCAAACAACATTCAACGAACGGTTCAACCTGAGAATCAGCATCAAAGAGTTGAAAACACCACAGTGAAACACCTGTCTTGGAATTCTCAAGAACAACCATCACCAGAAAGTAGTCCACCAAATCAATTTGTAAATATCAGTCCATTAGTAAAAGCAAAGAGAAGCTCTAGACCTAGAATACAAAAAATGTCAACAAGAACAAAAGGCAGACCTGTTAAAGAGAAGAAAACAATTCTAAAATCCATCCTAAATTCTGATGCATCTGCTTCACCACCATATAAAAGCACAATCACAAATTCATCTTCAGCTTCTATGAAGAATCCCAGTAGCCAATTAGGAGTGTTCTTAGCTTCGCAAGAGGCACCTATAAATTCATATGGAAACAACATGATGACCCCATCAACCAGCCCAATGAAAACCAGCAATTTCAACATGCAAAAAACGTCGCCTGCTTCATCAGTACCTCATTCGATAATATCACCAACTTATCCAGAGCAAAGTATTTCCACAATTACTTCAACTGTCCTTGCTGAAGCAAAATATCTGAGTAACCAATTAAAGAACAAAACAGTATCATCAACTGCTCCACGACTCCACATTAATATGGCACAACATTCAAGAACTTCAACCACAAATCCACATCAAAGAATCACATCGTCTAACATTCAGACAAAAAAGAAAAATCTTAACAATAAAATATCACTGTCTGCTTATCCACAAGTTCCAGTCACTTCATCAGCAACTTTAGCTTCTCATTCTATGGTAACATCACAATTGAATTCTGAAAATACAGGAGAGGCTTCTTATAAACATGTTTCAGCTCCTAAAGAAACTCCTAAAACTTTAGAAACATGTCAGTTCCAAGTGTCTAATGGAAATCAACAGATAAAAGGTACTCAAAAGGAAGCACAAATTGTTCAATTCCAAGACTCAAGTCCAAATGTAGTTGGTGTCAGTCAACCTATATTAGATCCTCAAAGGACTACATCAGCATTTCAGTTCCCTGTAGGGAGTCAGATTCAATCTATTGTTGGTCAGCTACCTCCAGTTCTTCCCAATACTCCAATACAAGGTTTTGTTGGTGAGGATGGCATCCTGAACTTTATTACTCCATTTACAACAGTACCCATAGAACCTCAACCATGTACTATTGTCAGCTCTAACACTTCTTACGGAGGAAGAAGTTACCCCAATTTAGCTCCAAAACCACCTCCACCACCCCCAAGAGCTGTCCAGATTCTTCCCATTCAGCAATATCAGAATCTTCAGCAAAATCCTCCAAACTTTTCTGAGCAGCAAACTTACATTCTATCCTCTACACCAGCGGGTCAGTTGATGCCATACACTAGTCCATTACAATCAGATTCACAGCAAGGACAAACAATAATATACCAACTTCCTCAAAGCTTCCAGACGATCACAGTTCAGCCGGAGGTCACTGGATTGGGAAATGTTGACCAAAACATATATGGAAACATTCAACAATTACCTCAGCAGATGGCTGTCTCAAACCAAGATCAAAATGTCATGGAAATTCCCCAACATGTCAGTCTTGCAGGATCAATAAATGATTCCAAAAACGTTATCATTCATTCAACACCAATTTCTTATCCACAATCAACAACAACATATAGTTTGACCACTATGCAGCCTCAGTCAGTATCATCAACACCACCACCAACACCACTCTCTTACGCCTGCAGAGGCAATCAAAGAGTCACCTACACCAAAACAGATGAATCTAGGAGAACACAGTGGAAAGAAGATGTAACAGCTGCTCAAAGCTGTGCTTCAGCCTCACAGGAACTCATCACAGACTCTATCGTGGGCAAAAGTAAAACCATTCGAGTTACAACTCACAGGAACAGAAACCCTCTTTCAAAGGAAGGAATGAGATTTATGGAAAATGGAAAAAGTCAAAGCAGCAGTAATGTGTCCACGAAAACAATAGCATCTGTTGACTCTGGGACTAAGCCTTTGAAAAAAGCAAATGTTTTAAGATCTACAAAAACTTCTGCGAAAGCTTCTTATTCAGATTCCTCAGAACACCCAGCGGCATTATCTGTGCAAGGATCTGTGGCAGACAAGAGTAATAAGTCAACCAAGACTAATAAAAGTCGTAGGATCAAAAACAATGCTACTTTAGTTTTTCATAACTCGGATCCAGTTTCTATAGCTGCAGCAGCTCCAGGTCCTGTTACGACGAAGCATGTGACTCGTTCAACTAGGAAACAATATTTGACAGGAAATAAAATTTCGCCGGTGAATTCTCCAGTGACAGTTCCACCTGTAAAAATGTCAGTCGAGCAGCCCTTAAAAATACGCCATAAGTCAGGAAATCGGCTGCAAGCATCTTCAGCACCAACTGTTTCTTACGCTGGAGAAACATCCAGGTCGCGTAGTGGTTCCATCACGCCAACAGTATCCAGTGGTCAAATTAATCAACCGACGAACCAGTTCTCAGCCAACTCATTATTAAGTTTTCCTGTGCTTTTATCGAGTCCCGATAATGATCAAGTGATATCCTTCATTAATTCTGACCCTGATCTCAGTAGTATGCGTAGCCGTAACTGTAGTGGGGAGATAACCCTGGACCCAAATTTTACGTCTTTATCAGCCAATGATCTGCTACAGATGTTATCTTCACAGCAGGATTCAAATATGAAATCCTAGCAAACCCTCTGACATAAAGTAATAATTTAGATAAAGACAATTGCCTCTGAAAACTTGATTATAACCTGAAATTTGTCTTCAGACCTGTAAATAATTGTTATTAAATAACTGTGTTTCTATTCAATAAATCATAATTTTCTCTCATTTTTGGGTAGTATTGGCCGATTATTTTACAAAAATGAATAGAATATGGGTTAATATAATCAAGGGAGCTATTTGAAGTATTCTGTCAGTTTTTTCACAATATTGAGGTAGTACATGTATATATGTGGTAGTATTTGGTAATATTGAGTTCCTATTGGGTAAATTCTCCTGCTCATTAAAGTTGCACTTGACAATATGTTGAACTAGTATATGACACTTTGAACTTTGTGCCTGTAATATTATCAATGAAAATAAAAACGAGAACTAGAAAAAGTGAAGGATACCAGCGGGATTATGGCTGACAAAGCCTGAATTTGTGCCTGACAATGTGTGTAACATGTGCCTTGTTTAAAATAATGATAATGATAATAATACCGTCATTTATAAAATGTGTTAATACTGAAGAAGAGTTTCTGATGCACTGTTAACAGATTATTGAAAGCTCAGGGTTTTGAAACCAGAATGTTTTGAGCTGAGACTTTTATTTCCTGTGTTCTTAACCTACAAATTTAGATTATCTTTATCAAAAACATTTAAAACAAGGCCTGGGGGTGTTATTCATGAATACTTAAACATTTTATTATTTCTGCATTTTCATTGGCTGGGAATTAAACTTCCATTACAAATTTTAGCTTTTAACCAATGAAAAGGGATTAGTCTTAAAATATTTTGTTTTAAGATTAGATGAATTCACCCATGGTCTGTAGGTTATTGTGAATACTTCAAGAATCAATTTGACAAAAACATAAGTTTGTTGGGGGGTGTATGTGACAAAAATAGTGTGTATGTGTGTGTGTTTAGAGACCTGAGACTAGGTTTTTGACTTGTGAATATTTTGGTGCTGATTATGAATATGTCTTTGTGTATAATTTCATGTGATATACATACCATAAGTGCTTTATCATATCAACTTAATAGTTTTATTTCCCTGACATTTATTGATTAGAAAGTATAATTCTTATAAAAAAAAATAATATCTTTGGCGATACTTTAAAAGAAATTGTATCGCTGTTAGTAAACTTGGACGAGCGTTAATGTATAAGTGAGTACCGTAAATGTCACTGCGCTGTACCATCCTGAATCTGTAGTGATAAAGGCTTCACTCAAAATAAAAACAAACTCACAACAAAGCAAACAATCCACAGAAAATTGCGGGGTGGGGGGGGGAGTTGGATGGCCGAATGGATAGCATGTGCGCGCTGTATCATAAGGCCTGTCATTGAGTCAACTGGCGTGGTTTCAAATCCCTGGTTGTACGTGAAAAGGATTAGGGTCGCATGTCCAACCTCGTGGGTTTTCTCTGGGTTCTCCGGTTTCCTCCCACTGTTAAAGACCCCTACGCGCAAGTGAATTATAGAAATAAAATTAAACCATATGTTAGTCCTGAAATGACCTAGTTTGTGTCGAGTGGACGTTAAACCCCATTTCTCTCTCTCTCACAAAAAATTGAGAATACAGAAATGAAAAACATAAACTTTCACTTAATGCAAACATTCATAGTTGTATTAAACCTCAGATCAAATAGATATTTTTAGTCCTACCATTTTACTCATTGTTGTTTGGTAGAATGAACCTTAAGTTGTTGACAGTGTGTTAAAAGACAAAGGAATAAATGTGATACATATAAAACTGTTTATAATATATATATATATTATTTTTAATCAACTTTATAAATATATATATGTTAATTTTTAATCAACTCTGTAAGATGGTAAAAGTGTTTAAATATTCATACTATTTTTCAATCAACTCTGTAAAACTGTTACATATAATAGGGCCTATATAGTATTTACAGTTTATGATATTTATACATGTATATGTATAGTATTTTTCAATTAACTCTGTTAATTTGTATATTTATTACTCTTTGTTAATTGTATTTTACTTGCATGTAGGGCGACTTCTGATATTAAAACAATAATTAATTTAAAAAATGGGAAATTGATTTTATTTTGGTTTAGCAATTTCTAAAACAAGTACAAGGGTACGACCATGATGTCGTAGCAGTCATCTTTGAATTGTGATGTCATATCAAGAATTGAAGTCGGTCAGTCCAGCAATGCGCATTTGTCCAAAGAACAAGCTTGCCGAGTATCATGTTGATCATATTCGAATTGGCAAAGATCTAGACTTTTTTGATGACTGTGGTCAAAAGAACAGTATCAAGATGTTTACCAAGTTCCTGCTTCAAAAATATACACTACAGCTTCATGATAGTTGATCTTGGTTGGTTTTACTGACCACACTCACCTTATATTAGTAATATATTATATATGTTCCACGTTGGTCCACTAACCAGGAATCCCCTTGTTCAATACCAGTATTGGCCAATAAAGGTCCACAGAATTTTACTGCATGGCGTGGTTTCTATTTCCCCGCTTGTACGTGACAAGGAGTAGGGTTGTTTGTCCAACTTTGTGGGTTTTCTCCAGGTTCTCTTGTTTCCTCCCTAGTTGTGTCGAGTGGACATTAAACTCCATTTCTCTTTCTCAGAAGATAATCTAGTAACCTGGACTGAACTGGACATTGACAAATGGGTAGCCGGGTGTTTAATTAGGAACCATGACCATCTCTCTGTGTGTGCAGACATTTTAATTAATGATATCTGATAAAGATGATATCTAATCCCCATTGTTGTTTGAATTGCATTAAAACTTGGTATGTATATAAGACCCTGAACACATCAGGAGCTGCAGTTGCTAAATAAAACGAGGTTGGCTCGCTAACATGGAGGTATCCTGTTCGATTCAGGTGTTGGTCGAGAAAGTTCATTGGGATTTTCCGGCATTGTTCCCCTTGTCAGTAGTGCAGGACAGAGTGCCTGGCAAAAGACAGCATGTAGTTGTTTGTACGGTACTAAAAGCCGAAATCCCGTACACATTGGCGTGCATGTAAAAGAACCCATGACGGTTGGAATTCGAAATAAGAGTAGGCCAGATTGAACCAGTGATTCCCAGTTAGTGAACCAGCACTTTATTCTAAACTTCCACCATTTTGATGGCAACAGCAGACAATTACATTTATTATGACACTAATACCAATGTAAACGAATTTCAATGTATTATTTCATTCAAGCATTGAAGGAAAGCAAATGGCTTCATATCGAATGATAGGTGACCCATTTTTCAATTTTCCAAATCTATAACAGAAAAAATGTTATGAAGATTGATATTGATTTGTGCATCTCTACTGTTCTGCACCAAACTGGGCTAATGAAGACGGGCATACGCCATCCAGTGTGCTATGAGGGAAATTTTGCCCGGACAGCAACACTACGGCCTACTCTTATATTGAATTCAAACTGTCAAGGGATCTTTTACATGCACGCCAATGTGTACATGGGGCTTTGGTTTTTCGTCCCATCCGAACGACTAGACAGCTGTCCTTGTCAGGCCCTCCATCCTGCATCACTGACAAGGGAAAACCACACCGAAAATTCTGGATGAACTTTCACGGCCAATGCAGGCTAACGAGCCAGCGGCTTACCCACTTAGCCACCGTGATCCACAGACATCTGAAAAAGATCATATCTAATCCCCTTTGTTGTTTGAATGTAAGTATAGCTCAATATGTTTACCAGATCCTTGATGCAGAGAGGGACTGGGTGTTGAGATACAGAATTCACATCTCAAGGGTTGTTGTATACTATTCAAAAAAAGTAGGGGATATTTGATTTTTAAGTGTTATTAAAGTCACCTAATGAAACTGACGAAGAAACAAATGACAAAATGAAATGAAGTTCACATTCATCGATTTATTCCAAATGATCGTTAGACTAAGTAAGGCACAGACTGACCATTATAAGGGTAAAATGATACCCGGGGTCAAACAGCAAAGTTACCACAGCATCACAACCAAGTCAGTAACGGGTAAATCCTCCTCTGTTTGCCAAACAAGCATTGATCCGACGTGGCATACTCCTAATGAGACGTCTAAGGTCATTTTGGTCCAGATTGTCCCATTCCTGTTGCAACGCAGCAGCAAGTTCTTGGACATTGGCAGGACGTTGTTGACGTTGACGTAACCTCTGTCCAAGCATGTCCCAGACATGCTCAATGGGGGAGAGGTCGGGACTCAGTGCTGGCCAAGGTAATGTGGTGATGTTCTGTTGTTGGAGGTAACCTGTAACGATCCTGGCCCTGTGACATCTTGCGTTGTCATCCTGGAAGATGAAACGGCGGCCATGACGTCGTGCGAACGGCACAACATGGACTGCCAAGATGTTGTCCCGGTAGTACTGGCCTGTAACACGCCCTGCAACAACATGTAAAGCCGTTCTTCCAGCAACAGTGATGCCTCCCCACACCATATCAGAACCACCCCCAAATTGATCATGTCTGATGACGTTAACGTCTTGGAAGCGCTCGTTTCGACGACGCCACACCCTCCTACGTCTGTCCAAAAAATCAACAGTGAACCTTGACTCATCTGAAAACATCACATTGCTCCAGCGTCGATTATCCCAGTGTTGACGATCCCTACACCAACGACGTCTTGCCTGAATGTGATGATCTCTCAAACAAGGGATCACGCGAGGACGTCGGGCGCGAAGGTGACCCCTATGCAGTCGATTCCGAATCGTCTGGCCACTCACTCTCACACCAGTGTCTGTTTGAAGACGAGCGCTGATCTGATTTGCTGTGATGACACGATTTCTCAAGGCCAAAGTACGGATTAATCGATCCTGGGCTTGAGTTGTCGCCCTTGGTCGACCTGAGCGTGGTCTGTCCTGTACAGATTGTGTATCACGGTATCTGGACCATAGCCTGCTTATAACAGACTGAGAAACATTCATCGTCCGCGCCACAACCGCCTGTGTTGTGCCGATCTGTAGCATGCCAAGGGCACGTAACCTTTCATTTTGGGTAAGCCGACGCATATCAAAATTTGTTTTCTGGTCACTAAAACAATTAAACTGATGTTTCCACCCTGGAATTCAATGCCACAATGACTGTAACATCCAAAGTCAGAGTCGTGCAAATCTTGGGTTGGACCCCCATGATGATCCCAAGCATCACCTGCATTCCATGCGGTAGCTATTGGTGCGTTTGGGCGTCACATGTAACTGGAAATGTTTCTTCTGTTAGGTTCTATAGTGACTTTTTTCGTAGTCATTTGGATATTTTAGTATTATGCCCCCAAAATCAAATATCCCCTACTTTTTTTGAATAGTATATTTCCATGGACCTTAGTGGGTTTTATTACTTCAACTTGTTCCTGATGTAAATAAAGTTGATATTTATAATGCTGGTCATCTTTTTAAAATATAATAGTGTTACACCAATGATGGGAGTAGATTTATGACACTACATGGATGTCACACTTCCAAAGGCAACAAAGTCCACCAGTGCTGATGGAATCACAAGGCTCTAAAACAAAGTCTACTAGTTCAGTTATGATGAAATCACAAGGTTGTAATGGAACAAAGTCCACTAGGGCAGTCATGATGGAATCAAGGGGTTGCCTTGGAACAAAGTCTACATTCATGATGGAATCACTGTATTGTAATGAAACAAAGTCTATCACTGGATGGAAATATCCTGGCTTTAGGGAGATGGAATCTAACTAAACAAACCCTTGAACAAAAATTTATCATTAACAGTTTTATTTACAACCAAACATTATCATTATACTTTGTATAAGTCTGTTCGTATCAAAACCAAATGTACATACATTGTATTAGGCCATAGAAAAAAAAATATCCTGGTTCTCGAACTGATCCTTCCAAGAATTCTGTAAGTGGGAGGTTTTTGTTTATTTGAAATAATCACAACTGGGCTAAATGATTTCTCATATACATCACATTTCAAGGCAATACATTTATCTTGAGTGCTGTTTAAAGGAATGGATGATTATCCAGTATCATTTATGATTTCCAATAACATTTATCAGACTTAAAGACTAGATAATTGAGCCTATGGGGGAAAATATATAAATGAGATTATCAATCAATCTGTTTTTATTTTTTCAAATAAATACGAGTCATACAGCTTTTTATAAGCGACACAGGAGTATCTGAGAAACATAAAAAAATTTTTTACATGGCCTTATTGAAGATTTTCTGTCTTTTTTTACTTCTATAAACAGCAACAATAATAATAACAACAAAATAAATCTGAATATTGAAATTTGGAATAAGTTTGTAAAATATTCCTTGAACTCCTGGGTCTAGGGCCCAACAAACTTTCCTTTCATTTATCACATGACACAATTATATGGAAAACAAGTTCCTTAAAACAATCAAGAAATTTAGGTGAGATTTAAAGATTACATAATGGCCATTAAAAGTTTTTATTTTTTAAATTTAAAGTCTCTGATCGTCATTCCAAGGACCATATCCTGTTTATATCATCTACAGAGGATTTCAGAATGTTGACAAATTTTTAATTCATATTTTTGTGAATACTGAATGGAATTTAACCGTTTTGGACATATCGTCGACGAATCTGTAATATTTAAGTATTGAGAATTATGCGTTTGAAATTTGCGTTCTGTTGTTATCTCTGTAGCCATCAAATATTAACATTTATTTATGATTTAATATTCAATATACATCAGGACATGGAAGGCCATTTACATAAACGTTGTTATTTGATGGACATAGAGATAACAACAGAGCGCAAATTCTCAATACTTAAATATTTCAGATTCATCGGTTCGCCAGAAAAGCGACGATATATTCCAATTAGAGATTCAACTTTATCACTCAATAACACATTCTACAGTAGATATCGCTTGTGTGATAACTTTCATATTCTACTGAGCCATATCTCCTAGGAGATATCACTTTCAATCTATACCAAAGAATTATATTTATTTATTTGTGCGTGTAAGAAAGGTTTGGGTGATAAATTTTAACTTCTACTCGTAGGAGATTCTCTATTACACAATGTAGTTCGCAAGAGATTTCTAGTTCACTTAAATGATGACCATCGACTTTAAATGTGAATAGAGTAATGAACAGAATACAAACAGCAAAAATAACATCTTGCATAAATTATACAGATGACCATAAGGATTTATCGGTTTTAATACTCTTTGAATCAATATGCTTTCTGGTTAGCCTTTTTTTTCTGAAAGCTTATATCTGCCATTGATTCTGAAATTTTTGGCACCGAGATATTCCCATATTAAAATGTGACAATTAAGATTTCTTAATGTGATAACTACGGATGCAATTCAACACTTGCATCCAACACGACTAAAACTTATTGCAACTATATTTAGCAACAGCTTGTAGCTTGGATCATTACATGAGCTCTTTTTAGTCAAACTGTCAGCAACACACAATTCCGAATTCGGTTATATCGGCCATTTGTGCATGAGTATTCCGTCATGCTGGATAATCCAACATATCTTAACAATGTCAAAAGTGACAAGATTCCACTATCAACCTAAATAAAGCACTGATTTATAAAATTTATGACTAACAAAAAAGAACAATATAGGGAGAGTATTTACCAAAACCGTTTCTTGTTTTTGGGTGGGATGGGTGGCGGAAAATTATCGACACAAATAGTAATATCAATCATTGTTATTGTACAAGAAAAATATTTGCTAATATCATTTTGTCCAACATAATCATATGTACACAGGGAAAGTCATCTGAGTAGTTCATCTAAACGTATAGTCACTACAATTTTACAAATATCACATGATGAAATACTTTTGTGTGATAGATGAGTTGGCAAAATTATTTTATACAGTGTGACTTCAATCTTCCATAGCAAGACCTATGAAGCACTATTTCTCTTTATGTTCGTCTGTATGGCTTGTATAAGAATGATCACGCGTCACTGACATATCATCCTTATTTGTCTTCAAAGTTGGTCTGTATGGTTTGTATAAGAATGACCATGCTTCACTGACATTAGCATCCTTATTTCTCCTGTATGATTCGTATATATACCAAATCAAGGGAATGTACAGCCCTGTAAAAATGATCACGCTTCATTGACCTTATCAATTGTTTCACTATGATGATTCTTCAGCATCTAAATCTACAATATCGTCAACATCTATGATTTTATCTACATCCATGGCATCATCTTGCCCATCATCTACATCAATGACGTTATCTACAGCATCAACATCCGTGACATTGTCTACTTCAACAACATTATCTATAGCATCAACATCTACAGCTTTATCCATAGCATTTACAACATTATTCACAATATCGTCTACATCAATAACATTATCCGTTTCTGTGACATCGCCTGTCTGCTCTACATCAGCTGCCATACCACTATAATCACAAGCTTCTTTACCGGGTGTGAATGCAGAACGTAAACCTTTTACTAGTTCTTGTGTAGCATTAGTGACGATCTTGTATACGGCTTTTCGATATCGAGTTTCTGACGATGTTTTTTTAGGTCCTGGAGTGTGGTAATCTTTTTTCTCACAGTGTCGTGTGGAAATAACCGTTTCCTCTGTGTATGATTTCTTCTCCGTGTGGCGAGAAGACTGTCGTCGATTTGACATATCGCCTATTTTAGTTTTCGATCCTCTAGGTCGACCCTTCTTGCGTGGTTGGTGGTCACCTTCCTGGTCTAACGTCACACTGTCATTCACTGAGCTATCAGCCACAGACGTATCTAAGACAGAATTATCTCCCTTTGATGTGCTTAGAATACAGTTGTCTCCTCCTGAAGTAATCGTTTCTGCTCCACCATCAGTTTCCGTGGGAACATCTCCTAAAATGAAATAAAAATGAAATGGATTTTAACGTCCTACTGTTCTGCTTCGACTCGGCTAATGAAGAGTCAGGGACGCTATGATCTACTCTTATATCGAATTCAAATTGCCAAGGGATCTTTTACATACATGGCAATGTGTACATGGGACCTTGGTTTTTCGTACCATTCGAACGACTAGACAGCTGTCTTTCTCAGGTCCTCCATACTACAGCACTGACAACGGGAAACCACGCCAGAAAATAGCAATGAATTTTCTCAGCCAACACCAGGATCAAATGCGCGACCTCCAGGGCGACCTTCGGTTGCACGGATTTTGGTACTATAGTCGAACTATCTGCATGCGAATGACATTTAGTTCAACCAGTGGTCGTGTCCAGCCGTACCATGCGATAAAGCACGGTCAGGATAGTTCAAAGATGGCTGACAAAACTGACACTTGAAAAGATTTTCTGAAAAATATCATAAAATTGTGGATTGCCGTTGAGTTATTTACACCTTGGTCGGTATTATAGGGTCCATGTTAACACCTGAAAGTTAGTGAATGGGCATTGGAGTATAGATGTTAGGTTTGAATTTTTTTTTTTTAGTCTTTTTTTTATGAATTTGACAGATTAGGATCTTCTTATTCGAATATATATAGGCCCACGACAAAAAACTACATGTGAAATGATCTAGTTGGTTGGGTGGCATTAATCCAATGAAAAATATTCTGATATTGACTAATCCTATTTGTAACCTATTTTAAGCTTGCTTTCACATTGCAGTATGGAAAATTAACCAGTTTTTAAAAATACATGAGTAAATAGGAGAAAATATAGCAGGCGGAACAACTGACATGGTCGCCACCATATTGAATAGTCAATGGCTAGGGCCATTTGCGTTCGGGTGCTGGTTCAAACTGTAGTCTCGACCATAGTCTACATCCGAAGGTCGCCCAGGCTAGCGAGCCAGCGGCTTACTCATTACTTGTTTAGCCACCATGGCTCCCTCCTAAAATGAAATAAAAATGATCTTACATATGTGTGTGCATCCTCTAGTGGCTAGCGTGATATATTTCACTAAACCACATCGAAATGGAATGTGGTTTTATATCCTACTGTTTTGCCCTGACTCGCTAATGAAGACGGGCATACACCATAGAGTGTGCTATAAGAGAAATTTTGCCCGAACAGGGGCACTACGGCCTACTCTTACATTGAATTCCACTGACAAGGGGGAACTACGCCAGAAAATCCAGATAAACTTTCTCAGCAACAAGTAGCCTTGGTGATTCAGAGAGTATGTCTCCCTAACTACACAGGTTTTCTCCTTATGGGACTAACATTTTATTCCAATTTAGCTGTGGAAGGAAATTGGAGCACCAAGAGAAAAAACACAACGTTGGACAGGCGACCATACTCCTTGGGGAATCTAAACCACCCCTCTTGAATCAATGACAGACTAACACGCACACATTAAACCATTTGGCCACCCAACCACCCTTGTAAAATTTTGAATTGAAAGTCCTGTACAAAAAACACTGACGTTTACCTTGTAATTTTCGTTTTTTTGATTCACGAGCTAGAGCCAGGATGCTTTCTTTTTCTTTTTTATTTTTAGCCACATACTTATAATACTTGGATGATCTTGAACAGGGAAACCTGAATAAGAAAACAAAAAACAACTTTTATAAAACAGATTATTACCCCTAATTATGCTGAGTAAATGAATCCATTAGTACCTATAATTTTAGACCCTAGACCTAAGTCTCAACCCAAATAAAGCTATTATCATTATTAAGCATTGACAATACTGGATCCCTGAACGAATTTTAAGACAAAGGTGATCTTTTTAACACCCCCACTAGGACAATTAAACCTTTAAAGTTGTCATTTAATAACAGAAAAGGAAAAAATAAGATAGTCTATTAAAAACATTTAAAAAACATAATTACAAACTTAATAACGTTTTCTTTATGTTATCACTAGCGGATAACCCAGTACTACGCGGGTTGTACCCGTGACTCTGAAACCGGAAGAGGTAGGCCAACGACACCTAGCCTATGTTACTCCCCAGACCGAACTACCCCTATACACCAAATTTCAGCTTCGGGACAGCCCTAATGCAGCCGCCAACCCTGAACAGGCAGACAGACAGACAGACAACAGTCGCAAATAGATTGACTCATTTCTTTTGATAATACTAAACTTTATGCTAACATTAATTAATTTTTTTTAATAAACTTGATAAGGGAGGGTGGCAATCTGCTCCCATTTTAAAACGGACCTGTTTTTACGCCTTTTCCTTTTCTCTTTAGGACTTGGCACCGTCTTATCCGCCTTCTCCTTCTCCTCTTCCTCATTTTGAATATATAAAGATGATAATAACGCTGGCCAGATAAATATTGATTGGAACCTGGCTTTCAACATTTTATAATCGTGAGATTGTCGGATTTTATCCAGTACACTTTCCTCCTCCTGCAAAAATAGAATCAAAATATAAATGGGGTTTAATGTCCTACTATTCTGCATCTGACAGACAGAGAGAGAAATGGGGCTTGCGCGTAGGGGTCTTTAGTAGTGGGAGTAAACCGGAGGACCTGGAGAACATCCACGAGGTTGGACAGGCGACCCTACTCCTTGTCCCGCACAACTGGGGAATCGAAACCCCACCAATTGACTCAATGACAGACTTTATGATACAGTGCGCACGTGCTAACCATTCGGCCATCCAACCCCCCTATATTCTGCACCTACTGGGCTAATAAAGACAGGCATATGCCACTGTACACTCATTGAAATGTTTATGTAGTTTGTTGTCCGCTGGTTTGTCTTGTCATTTTTGTTTTGCAGTAGTGCGGTCTTCCTTTCTTTTACTACTATGAGGGGACTTTTGTCCGAACAGCGGCACTACAGCCTACATGTACTCTTATTTTAAATTGTCATGGGTTCTTTTTAGTGCACACCAATGTGTTCATGGGACACTTCATTGTCAGGCTCTCCGTCCTGCACCACTGACAATGGGAATTTACGCTGGAAAATACATGAGAACTTTCTTGGGCAACCAACACCGGTATCGAACCTGAGACCTCCAGGTTAGTGAGCCAGCGTCTTACTCAGTGAGCCACTGCTACTCCCACTACTAATAAAACATGACTTGTCACACAAGTCACCTGTCACCGACAATATCACGCATTTTATCCATCACTGATTCATATTTTCTCTGTTATTTAGTGTAAATTTCACCTCCTAATTAAACGCGCATGTTCAACCATTCGGCCACCCAACCCCGCTGAAAAAAAGAGCCCTGATTTTACACCAAGTGTATTTTTGTACACATAAAAACTATACACTGTATATATAGCTGTTACTTGTGTTTTAATTCTAATTTGATGGCATTTAAATTCCATTAAGTCAGGAATGGCATATATGAGTGAAACACAAGCCCTAATTTTAAGCCCAGTGTAAATAAATATAAACTTACTGTTTCCTCGGTTTGAGTTTGTTGAGATTGAGATGTATATCTGTTATCACTATTCATTTCGTTAGCTACACCACTACCACCACGAATATTCTGTGACGTGACAGACGACGTTTCACTCTGATTATTCTCACAATCTCCATCAGAAACTGAAGTAGATGCCATGGCCGCCTCGCTGGTGTTCCTTTTAACAATATTTCCACTTTGATTTGAACTTGATTGTTTGTTAAACAATTGTTCAGCAAGTTTTTTTGAGACAAGATTATTGACTAGCGCTGGAACGCGTGCCACTTTATCGATAGTTCCTGATTCTGTCTTGACAATCGTTTCAGGATATTTACGCGGAAGCACCACTGATAGTTCTGTGGTACTTGTAGGTTCATCATTGTCCAGGATATTCATGCCAAGAGAAGATTCACTGTTATTTTCATGTACATCTGCTCTAGAAACTGTAGAAACCAGATAATTATTTGCATCTTTACCATCATCTTGATTAGAAGAAGTGGCCGTGTCAGAGTTTGACGATTTTTGAACATTCTTGGGAAAGACATAGACATACTGACAGCTTGCATTCTGCGTACTTCCTCCCATTTCTGACAACGTAAACAACTTATTCCTTTTTGCACGATCTATTAATTTACGTAAGTGAATATACGCGCCTCCCGCTTGCTTCATCATGTCTTTCCTCGAGACTAGGAGTTTTTTAAAAGCTTTTAAACTAGAATGATTGGGCGGCAGAAATGGCATTTCATCCACAGGGCCATTTTTTACTTCAACAGGTCTTTTGGATTTAAGAATTGTTTGAGATGGTGATTCTGATGATGGTGATTGTGTTGGATTCAGATGCTGTGACAATACTGGTTGTTGTGATGATGCTGGTTGTTGTGATGATGTTGGTTGTTGTGATGATACTGGTGTTTGTGACGATGCTGGTTGTTGAGATGATGTTGGTGGTTGTGACGATACTGGTTGTTGTGATGATACTGGTGTTTGTGATGATACTGGCTGTTGAGATGATGTTGGTGTTTGTGACGATACTGGCTGTTGTGCACAGGCTTGTTGTGACAATGCTGGTTGTTGTGATAATGTTGGTGGTAGTGACAATGTTGGCTGTTTGGATGATGTTGGCTGTTGGTGGGCAGAAGTCGTTTGATTTGACGATGTTGACTGTTCTGCATTTTTCTGCTGTGAATTGGACGAACAGTCGTCATTTTGTATATGTTGTGCAGTCGTTGGATTCTCAATTCGCGTTCCTGGTGTTACATCTCTCAGTGGCACTGATGATATAATCTCACTTGTACTTGGTTGCCCTGGCGATGTAGAAACTTCCGGGTCATTTTGTACACCTGTTGCAGATTGTTCATTGCTATTTTGTTCATCAGGCTTTCTTCTCTTTCGTGCTCGTTTGGGCGGCGGATTAACATGTTTCACAATCAAACGCCGTTTGTTTTTAGTCGGTGCGTTTGTTTCGATTGATTGTGCTTGTACAGGCACACCTGTATAACTTTTATCTTTTAAGACAACTTCTCTGAAAATGGCTGCCTCGGTTTTTTGGCTCACTGACATATTTTCCTTATTTGGACGTTTATCAATATTTTCCAAAATGGCTTCACCATCTAACTCCAAGGCCTATAATATAAAAAAAAGTATTTGGAATTTACAGTTTATTAATTATCTATTCCTCAGAAAATAGACGTAAAATTGTTTAAACTGAGAGAAAGATCAGATGCTCAAACAAATTGTCAATATGCTATAACCCATTCTTACGGCAAGTTGATATGAATTAAAATCTACCAGCTACGTTACAATTACATCTGAATTAAATATCGCATTCACACATAATTGTCATTCTGGCCTAGATGTCTACTGTTACAAATGAATGAAATCGAAATATATGGTTTGTCAGCTCCAACCGGGCTATAGTGTGCCAAACATAATATGGTGTTTTATACGAGTAACTTGACGTACTGCGATCATCAGAATAATAATGGCGGATCATAACAAGCAGCTATTCTTTATCAATGTCAATATTTTAATAAAGAGAGAGCACAAACTAGGTCCTTTTGGGACTAACATATAGTAGTGGTCTTTAGCTGTGGGAGGAAACTGGAGGACAGGGAGAAAACCCCTGAGGTTGAACAGGCCAATATTCCAAGAGAACTGACATTTTAGGGACTGTGCACTAAAAATGAGAGAAACAGGGGCATGATATCTCTTTGTATGACATTTATATTATGTGGTACGATGAGAGTCACTAGTCTACAATTCCTATTTGCTTCTTTGTATTCAGTTTTGTTTGTTTTTGTGACGGGTGGAACATGTGCCCTAAATGTATTCAATATATCTCGATTCTATTGAATCCCTAAACGTTTCTTGAATGATTTAGAGCATTCAGTTTTAGACTACTTTTTTTAAAACATTTCACCGATTTGGTTACTTGTATAGTTGAATTTTACTACAATATGCTTACATTCGTATTTCTTGTAGCATATAGCAGATAATGACTCATACTGGCCTAACACAATGGTTTCTTTGGGCTGTATTCCTGATTGTTTTCAAATTTGAGTGAAGTCTGTGTCACTACAGGCCCGGAACTGTACAGCGCAGTGGACGCTTACGACTAGCCCCCCTGATCCATTCACTTATTTTGAATTGTTTGTTTATTTGTGGTTTCTGAGTATGTAAATTATGTGTGGTGCAGTTCCCTGCACTTACTATTTGAGTGAGAAGTAGTATCAATTGTTCTAGAATAATCAGCATGCCCTGCTTCATGTATGACATCAGTCTCACTACTTGGATTCAGTGTTCTGCCCGTTTTCTGTTTGCGCTTCCAATTCACGCGATAAATTTGGTCAAATGCAAATATAATGGGACCCTTTCCATGCAGCCAGTAAAAATGTGCGCAGAAACGCTGTAAAACGTGTACATGGAAAACAGGCTAAAGGTAGTTGCCATACTTATAATAAAATCAGTTCTTACCGATGAGAATAATGAAAGAATAGAAACAGATAATTTTCTCTGCTCAACTTCCGATATTTCTTCAAGTGCTAAAATATATATACATACTAATTAATTTTCCACCAGTTAGTTTTTCACAATAATTAGATAGTATGTGGTGGTATTTTGTAGTATTTAGTTTGTATTTGGTGGTTTTGGGTAAATTGTCCCGCCACCGGGAAAACCTTAGGAACTGTTTCAACTAACACAGGGAGCCACCCCAAGACCTCCAGGCTAGCAAGACACCACCTTACCCACTGAGTGGTCGTTGCTCCCCAGTGGGAACTACATTTATAGCTCTTCTCTATTGGTACTTATTCATTTTAATTTAATTTTAAAATCCTTTAAAAATGTTACCAAAGAATTTTGCCAGTAGTGAGTCGAGCAACCCCAAGACCTTCTGGCTAGCAAGCCAGTGCCTTACCCACTGAGCGCTCGTTACTCCCCAGTGGGAACTACATTTATAGCTCTTCTCAATTGGTACTTATTCATTTTAATCTAATTTCTAAAATCCTTCAAAAATCTTACCGAAGTATTTTGTAGGCCTGCCAGTAGTGAGTCGAGGTTTTATAGACGAGCCTAAAATTGTTCTACGTAGATCGAGAATAGTCCTGTGTCTTTCCTTGTTTGTCGTGACACGTTTTCGGTGAAGTTCTTTGGCAGCTTCTTTAGCTTCTTTGATTAATTTCTGTACTGATGAGCTGTAAAGACTTTCATTTCGCTCCTCTAAACGACGTAATATTTCTTTCTTTCTATTCTCCTGAAAGACAGGTTAAAAAAAGTGAGAACGTTAATAAAGGCCAAAAGTCAGACTAACATATCGAAAAATTTCTCTCTTTCTATTCCCCTCAAAAAGATTTTGGGTACAAAAAGGAAGGATATTATCATGATAAAGTGATCGTAACTGAATAGAATAGGGTTTTTAAAGAAAATCTGGTGAACACGATACTCTGGTCATTTAGAGACTTTCACATATGGTAATAATTCTCTTTAAATATTCTCCTCAAAAATATTTTGGATGAAAAAAAGCAAGAATATTATCATGACACAGTGATTTTAATTGAATGAAATGATGACACCGTGATTTTAACTGAATGGAATGATGACACCGTGATTTTAACTGAATGGAATGATGACACAGTGATTTTAACGGAATGGAATGATCGAGGCATTTGTCATTTAATGATGACAAAGTGATTTTAACTGAATGGAATGATGACACAGTAATTTTAACTGAATGGAATGATGACACAGTGATTTTAACTGAATGGAATGATGACACAGTAATTTTAACTGAATGGAATGATGACACAGTGATTTTAACTGAATGGAATGGGTTCTTGTGAACACAATACTTTGATCATTTAGAGACCAGTATAAGGTATTATTTTCTCTTTCTATTCTCCTTAAAGAAATTTTGGGTCAATTATCAATGACCAATATTGTTTCAATGTAAATGAATTAGGCTCCAAGCTTTGTCAAGACAACATTTTGGTCCATTTGCGACCAGCATATAACAATATTTGTCTCCTTCTATATTCTCTTGATTAAAACAAGCCAACAGTGAGGCTAATGTTACCGCTGAAATCCCAAAATAAATAGATGACACATACTAATGAATTGTCAATTGCACATTTATCTTTTTTGAAAAGTATCAAACTGAGTATCTATACTTAGTCTAAGCAGAAAATTTTAACGATCAAACTCGGTCAAGATTTTAGCAGAAAATGTTAATCATTGAACTCAATCAAGACATTCACCTAATGGACATCTCAACCAATTTTAAACATTCTATCTCAATTAAAAGCAGAGTTGTTGTGTTCCAAAGTCTTGACCAATCAAATTAGCCTTAGCAGAAAATTCTCATCATCGAACATAGTCTAGATATTGATTATAATGATTAATTTTTTAACAGTGGTCAGGAAATTGAAATTTTGGTCATTTTAAATGATTTTTACGAATTTCCAAACAATGATTTGATACTGAATTATTTGAATGAATGTTAACGAAATTAATGCTAAATACCCTGGGTTAAATGAAACCTGGGTTACGGTGTAGTAAAACCCCCACATAACACCTGCTTTATTGTGTGTATGTCATATTTATCCCTCAGCCCTTATCGCTACTCACAAGATCCTCTACATCTTGGGAGACATATCAGCAGCTCCTGAAGATCACATGACCTATAGGTTAGCAGGTGACATAAGTTTACCTGACATTACTTACCATTTCATTGGGTGGAAGTTGTATCACATGATCTTCTAATAATGAATCAATATGACGAGACACAGCTAAACTCTCTCGATGACGATCGAGAACTTTCTTGTGGGTACCTTTTAACGGAACTTTTATCAAGGGAGGTAACGGCACTACAAACTCAGACTCTTCAAAAAACAAATCAACAGTTTGAGTATTTATAAAACAAATAAGAGCATGATGTCATTGCAACCATATTGGAATTATGATATCAGGGGATCAAACTCAAAGGTAACTTATCTATATTCCAATCTCCTCAGAAATGCAATCAAATGGGAGTCCAAACGACTGGCTTAATGAAGACAGGTATATGGCAAACAGTGTGCTCTGAGGGCATTTTTTCCCGGACAGCTGTGCTACGGCCTACTCTTATTTCGATTCCAACTGTCAAGGGTTCTTCTACGCCATTATGTACACAGGACCTTTTTTTTTCGTATCATCCCAATGACTAGACACTGTCCTTGCCAGGCCCTCTGACAAGGGTAAACCACACTGGCAACCATCTCGGTGAAACTCCTGGTTAAAGAGCTAGCGCCTTACTCACTGAGCCAGTGAAGCTCTCGATTCTCCTCAGTCCACATGAGGTAACAAATCTATATTCAAATCACCTGAGTCAACCAAATAAAACTAAGGACCATGTTGGGTCTCCACTTACCTCCATTTTCTTGAATATCTTCTGCTTGTTGTTGATAGTGTTCTGGTCTTAAACCATAATCTTTATAATATGTATCCCAGTTAACTGATGGTTTCTCATTCTTCTTCTTCTTATATAACGGTAGACCTTGCATAGCTCTCTGTACGTCTGTCTATAATTATATATTTTGATTAGACCTAATCTCACTAAACACTGCCAGATTCACAGCAAATTTCTGTTCCAAATTATGACTGGTTAAAATTCCGGTCAACAACCAATACATTACAGGGTAACAAATCAATCAGGATTTACCAGAGTGCTATTATGTTAATATAAAAGTATATAATGACAATCATGGATTTTATGGATAAATATTATTGAATACATAACAAAGGTACACAGGGAGTAATTGGTACAAACAGACAAGTTTACAGAATTTATACTGGAGGCTTATAACAGAGACTTGAGTCAAAGAATTTTCGTTCCAATAGCTCAGTTTTTTAAAACCAATTGGCTGTTTTTGAACTAGTTAGCTGAGTATTAAAGTGACTTACTAACTGTTTTTTTTTATCCAATTAGCTGGGTAATAAATTGACTTACTATTCTTTTTTTAAATCAATTAGCTGAGTATTAAACTGACTAACTGGCTGTTTTTAAACTAATTAGCTGAGTGCTTTTTTAAAAAAATTAATCCAATTAGCTGAGTAATACATTGACTTACTGACTGCTTTTTTAAAACCAAATAGCTGAGTATTAAATTGACTTACTGGTTGTTTTTAAACTAATTAGCTGAGTATTAAATTGACTTACTGGCTGTTTTAAACCATTTAGCTGAGTATTAATAAAATTGACTTACTGGCTGTTTTTTAAACCAATTAGCTGAGTATCTCCACTGCATCAAACGTTTGTATCTAGTTGATACCATCTGATCTGTTCTTCCCTCTAAACATGCAGCAACCTTCGCCCAATTACCTGAAGAAAAGATACCGATATTTACTTTTGGATCAGGAATCAAGTATGCAATCTTGGGATTGTGATATATAAAATATTGAAGTCCGTTTGTTGATGCGCAACTGTCCATGGAACATACTCAAATTGGCAGACCATCAATTTGAACAACTTGAGGAGTTGTATTTTGGGACCATTTCCTGTCCCCAAAATGTGTACGCCAATGTGTACACAGGACCTCGGTTTTTCATTAAATCTGAATGACTAGACAGCTGTCCTTGTCAGGCCCTCCGTCCTGCACCACTGACAAGGAAAAACCACGCCAGAAAATCCAGATGAAGTTTCTCTGCCAACACTGGGAGTGAACCGCGACCTCCAGGCTAGCGCGCTAGCGTCTTGTTCACTTAGCCACCATGTCCCAACAATAGAGATGACAATGTGACCAGCGATTAGACATGGGGTTAAATCTAAATCATATAAAGACTTACCAATACCAATTTGTTTAACTAAAGTTAATAATTGTTTATCCTCTTGATAGGTAAAACCACAACCAACTTTTAAAGATGGGTCCAGATAATTACAATATCTAAGAAATAGAGAGAAATTTGGTTTTAAGTCCACTTGAAACAAACTAGGACACTTTGGGACTAACATATGGTACAATTTTAATTCAATAATTCGCTTGTGTGTAGGGGTCTTTAGCAGTGGGAGGAAACCAGAGGACCTGGAGAAAACCCACAAGGTTGGACAGAATATCCTACTCCTTGTCACCTACAAGCCTGGAATATAAAACACACCACAAGACTCAATGTGTAAAGTTTAAAGATACATTATGTAAGATTTAGATAAAGAGCTGACCATTCTTGCTATAATAGCTCAAAAATAGATAATGTAAAATGAAAATATTGAAAATTTCATTCAAATTACTTCATTCTGAGCCAAATTATCACTATTTGTAGTGTTGACAAGGTGTGTGCATAGTTGTAACCAGGGCACTGGTATATTCAAGCCTTGGCCTCACTTTCCCATTTTTAAATTAAATTTTTAAATGGCGAACCGTTCTAATCTGGTTAAAATCTCGAGTATCCGATGCCATCTAGAGTTGATCATGGTCTTGTTTTGTTAATAAATGTCTAATTAATAGTTTATCTATCATTTCAGGCCTAAAGAAATACCTGCAATAAGCAGATTTAGCTCATGCATAATGTATGTTTAAAATCTCTCAACATAAAATCTTTATTTCAATCATTTTCTCTGATTCATCCAACTTTAATTTTGTCCAATCCCTACTGTATAACCATTTCTATAGGGCCTATTTCTAACTACTGCATATCAACACTAATATTAACACTATATTACCTTTCTCTACATTGTGCTGGATGTCGGTGTGGAATATATCTAGACACTTTTATCCAGTCTTTTGATCCTATCAGTTTAACAGCTAACATCAATCTCTAAAAATATTACATAATACATGTACCCAAAATCTTATGAAAAGTAAATGTGGCTTACAATCTGGCCTAGTTAGTGATATGAAACGGAGATTTAGTGACCTATTGTTCTAAATCAACTGGGCTAATGAAGCTGTGTACTTATCATGCAGTGTGCTATGGGGCAAATTTTTCCTGGACAGCGACGCGACAGCCTACTCTTATATCGAATTCCAACTGCCAAGGAATCTTTTACCTGCACGCCAATGCAGGCCACGAAATTTCAAATTTTGGCGTAACCAGAAAAATGGTTGCGGGTTTATGCTCTGCGTAACCATTTTCTTTGGTTAAGTCAGATGACCATTGCGTAACCAATTGGTTACATAAAATGGTTGCGCTGTTTTCATGTTTTATCCAGATTTAAATGGTGCTATTATTCATTTCCACTTGCAGTGAATGTATTTTTTAAAGAAAAAACTTGACTAATTTATATTCTTTTATATTTAATATTATATTTTGAGGTTAAGTGTTTATGACTTAAATCCCACTGTGTCTCCATTTAAAAAATAAAACGTTAGAAAAAAAATGTTCAACTTCACTAAATCCCTATACATTTTAATAATGAGGGGAATCGGTTCTAAAAAGTACTAATGGATTTTCGTTTTTGTATCATATCTGACCTTCAAACACCAGGAATGATAGCTACCACATTGTTTTTGGTCACTGAAGACTACATGCGTACTTCATATTACACTTGTCACTTGCAATCATTCATCCAAGCACGTAGCATGAGATAGCCTCACTCATAGGTAGCGAATGATTGATTTATAAACCTCGGCACTCTATACACAAAGTCTCAAAAGGAAACAGAATAGTTTGATGTCATGAAATAATATTAAAATAGACAGGGTAGTAAAATCGTTTACATTATCGCTCGAGCAATGCCGGTGAGGGGGTCAAAGTTGACGACATACATACGGGTCATTGGTACTACAGCATGGCTATAGTGAAAATTGAAAGGAACACGTGTAGTATATTCTTTGGAAATATAGCCGACATGTTAAAAAGTCAAACTCATTTCTCATTTTGTGTTTGAAAATCCAAAGGTACGCTTTCAAATATTTATGGCATAACTAATCATTTAAAGAATTAGGGGTGAGGGGCATTTTTAAATCAACCTGCTTGCAACTGGTCAATAGCCTACGTGGTGTCAAAATACGTAATCTGTCCAAGTACCGGTAAGATGGAGAAATGAAATGCCAAGAATGAATGAATGGAGTTTGTGCTATAATAAAAATAATTTAGACCTGTGTCACAAGTCATCCTGTATAAAAATTGATCAAATGTGAATAAATCTGTTAATGAAATTTGTTAACGTAACCGATATTTCAATTTGCGTAACTAGGAAATCGGTCGCGTGTTTTTGAGGTGGCAAGACCGCATGTAACCGATTGGTACCGTTAGCGTGAAATTTCGTGGCCTGCAATGTGTTCACAGGTCCACGGGTTTTTCATCCCATCCATACGACTAGACAGCTGACCTTCTCATTCCCTAGGTCCTCCACCATTGACAAGGGAAAACCACGCAGGAACATCCCGATGAACTTTCTTGGCCAACACCGAAAGCGAACCTGCAACCTCCAGTCTAGAGAGCCAGCGTCTTACTCACTTAGCCACTGTGGCTCCCCAGAATTACAATGAAGTATTAGAATAAATGTACATACCACATCTTCTTCAGCCTTCCATTTTAATCTACTTATATCTGGATCTATCTGATACCAACGTTTACGACACTGTTCCGCACTTCTTGCTTCCATCATATATGATACTATAATTACAAATATACATTATCATACTATAAAATTACAATAAATAAATACATATCTTATGTCGCAAATCAAAGGTGGTTTAACCCAGATATTCTCTATGAAGAGAGAGAGAAATGGGGTTTAATGTCCACTCAAAACAAACTAGGTCATTTCGGGACTAATATATGGCTCATTTTTATTTCAATAATTCGCTTGCACGTTGGGGCCTTTAGCAGTGGGAGGAAACAGGAGGACCTGGAGAACACCCACAAGGTTGGACAGACGACCCTACTCCTTGTCACGTACAACCCCATTGTCGAAACCATGTCAGTTGACTCAATGACAGACCTTATACGCTCTAACATTTGGGCCATCCAACCCCCCTTATTCACTATGGACTACCTGACCTTATCAGTATGTTCCCTACACATCTGAGTAATTTTTTGTTATACATGTACTTTTATAAAAAATCTCTGTAGATAATTTACCTTTCTTCCATTTTATTCTCTCTGATGGGATATTACAAACAAATTTAACACATTCTCCCAATTTCTCATCTTCATCTTCTGTCCAAGGTCTGTAATTATTCAAATAATATCAAATGTGAAATCCTATTGTAACTTGTAAAGTTTGAGTGAAGGAGGTGTACTTGTATAATAATCAAATAATGGGACAATCAAAACTTCTTTAACCAAGTTAAACCAATAACAATAACTCTCTAACTAGGCAAGTGGGTTACAAGTGGCTCCTTGCTTTCATTAACCCATTTAACCCTAGACCCAATTAAAAGATTAGCCACCGCCAAACGACAGGTACGAACTGATTCACATTCGTCAAAAATGGGTTAAAAAGTACTTCATCCTGTAGTTAATAAAGAAGTGAAATGAATCGAGAGCTAATGAAAATGGGAATACATCATACAGTGTGCTATGAGAGAAATTCTGCTGCGGCAGTGTAGCTATTGCCTACTATCATTTCAATCACTCCAACTGTCATCGGGATCTTTAAGAGTTAATACAGTCAGTGAGACATAACATCTAAATATCTAAGATGATTAACTGAAAAGTCGAGATATTTTCATGAGTGACTCACAAGCTATGGTGGCTCAGTGTGTGGGATGCTGGCTTGCTAACATGGAGGTCCTGTGTTTGATTAAGTGGATTTTTCAGCGTGATCCCCCTCCCTTTTCAGTAGTGCAGGGCAGAGGGCCTGGTGAGGGACAATGTATAGCCGGGATGGGATGAAAAAACGAGTTCCTGTGTACACATGGGCGTGCATGTAAATGAACCCTTGATAGTTGGAATTCGATATAAGAGTATACCAGAGTGGGCTGTCTGGGCAAAATTTCCCTCATAGAAAACTGTATGGCGTAAGCCTATCTTCATTAGCCCAGTAGGACCTTGAAACCCATTTCATAAGTGACTTACTTTTGACGTAATCCAAAATTAAGATTAGCTTGGTAAAACTGCATGGCTTGAAAAGGTGTACGATTTGTCTGAAAAAAATTTTTATAAAGAATTTGAAATTTTACATTTAATTTTTGTTCAATGATTCGTATTTGTCCTTTTTAACTTTTTGTCACTGGTCGCTAGTGACCAATTCTATTGTACAGTGTTCTAATCATAGAATGTGGCCCAGTAACACGGTGTCATATAGAAGGTTTGAAGTCTCTGATAGTCTTTTGAGAAATTTTTAATCTCATACAAACTACAATATTGAGAAAGTTGAATCTCTAAGAAGAATATCCATCCAAAATCTTATCCTTAATTCATCCAAAATTTTGGATTTTCACACAGTCAATTTTTTGTATTAGACGATCTTACCCAAATTCATCCTCTACAATTTGGGAATATTACAAAGTTTATTTCTGTATTCCAATTCATACTTACAAATGTATTAAACAACCTTATTCTTAATTTATTCTACCTCACAATTCCTCTACAATTGGGATTTTCATATAGTTAACTTTTGTATTCTATTTTTTTTTTTTTTTTTTATTATAAACAATATTTTTATTCAGGTTGTCTTAATGGGATTGGGAAAAAGGCTTAGCCCATGTAAATCCCCTATCCCTAATTCTAATTCTTTCTTATGCCAAATTCATCTACAAATTAGGATATTTATATAGTCGACTTTTATATTTTAATTCTTTCTTAGACCAAAATCATCTACAAAGTAGGATATTTCTATATTCAACTTTTGTACTCTTTCCTACCCCAAATTATGATATTTAAACTGCTAATTTTTGTATATCAATTCCTTCCTACAAATTCTGTAAAGTATTTAGATGATCTTCCTACAAATTTTGTAAAGTATTTAGATGATCTTCCTACAAATTCTGTAAAGTATTTAGATGATCTTCCTACAAATTCTGTAAAGTATTTAGATGATCTTCCTACAAATTTTGTAAAGTATTTAGATGATCTTCCTACAAATTCTGTAAAGTATTTAGATGATCTTCCTACAAATTCTGTAAAGTATTTAGATGATCTTCCTACAAATTTTGTAAAGTATTTAGATGATCTTCCTACAAATTCTGTAAAGTATTTAGATGATCTTCCTACAAATTTTGTAAAGTATTTAGATGATCTTCCTACAAATTTTGTAATTTATTTAGACAATCTTACCCCTAATTCCTCTACAATCTGGTCCCAATGTCCTGTTTTATATTTCTCAACAAGTTGTAAAAGATTTTCTGTTTCTTCTTCTGTCCAATCTTGTTTATTTATCTCTGGGTTGACGACAACTCGCCAAATCTTCTGTAGCTCATACCATTCTCTCTTACCATCAAACTTTTAATACAAATACACTATTGCTATTCTCACTTAGCATCAAACTTTTAATACAAATACAATATATATTCTCTCTTACCATCAAACTTTTAATATAAATACAATATCTTTCACCTAAAATTCAATGATTTGCCTAGGAAAGGACTGGTCTATTTCTGGTACAAATGGCACATTGCACCTCCTGATCAAGATAAATGGGGTTTAACGTCCTACTGTTCTGAACTGAGTTTAACATCTACTCGACACAAACTAGGTCATTTCGGGACTAACATATAGTTTAATTTTTATTTCAATAATTTGCTTGTGCTTAGGGGTCTTTAGCCGTGGCAGCAAACCAGAGGACCCAAAGAAAATCCACGAGGTTGGACAAGCGACGTACTCCTTGTCACGTTCAAGCGGGAAATCGAAACCATACCACTTTTCTCAATGTCAGACCTTGCGATTTCACGAACACGCATTAAACTAGATTACCCAACCATATTTGATGTTGTACAGATAATATTTAGCACATGGAGCGTAAACGGTAAATTCCATATAAATTTAGTTACCATGCAACATAGATGTAAACAGATGTAAACACAGTAAAATTAACATACCTCTATTTTAGCAATTCTCATCCAGTCAACTTTCTCCTCATCAACATTTTTCAATAAATACTCTTCAGTTGTTGTCCTAAAAAACACAATATTATTTTATGTTGACCATAGTGTTGTTTGGAAAAGAAGGGAAGGGATGGGAAATGGGGTTTAACATCCACTCAACACAAACTAAGTCATTTCAGGACTAACATATGGTTCAATTCTATTTCAATAATTCGCTTGCACGTAGGGGTCTTTAGCAGTGGGAGGAAACCGGAGGACCCGGAGAAAACGTACAACCGGGGAATCGAAACCACGTCAGTTGCCTCATGACAGACCTTATGATACAACACGCAAACGCTAACCATTCGACCATCCAATCCCCCATTTGGAATAGAAACAGAGATTAGAAAGGTTTTTATACCAAACTTGTTTTATTTTTAAAGAACATTTTATAAATTTACTATTCCTTCTCACATCTAGAAAATTCATTGAATGAAACAAAGATCACATGTCTTCAACACCAAATAAAATAAAAAGTTTTATAAGTAGCTAAGTCTCTAACTCAATATTATCCAAAGTCTTCCACATTGAAAACACCAATTATTTGTCAATTTAAATCAACATGGATGTAGTGATCTTACTGGGAAAAGATCGGCTTCTGATATCCAATATTTAAGACAAAATAAACATTTTACCATTGGTATACGAATTGTGTAACATATTGCCTTTCAACACCATTTGTAACAAAAGAACTCAAAGAACAAGGCTAGACATATTCCATAAGTCATGTCAAAAGGTGACGCCATATTCTTATCTGGAGAGCCTGCACAATAAATACTATCGGTGTAGACTGGAATAACCAGACGCTAGAGATTGCCATTCGATTGAGACTTCTGGTGTATTTCGCCGAACATAAATGATTAGAAATTACAGTATAAACGGAAAGGATTGAATGTAAATCAGTTTATATACATTCATATTACATTAATAAATGCGTTGCGACCCATTTGTGTCAATTTCTAGGTCCCAAATAGTAACAATTTAGCTCCTTTAAGTGCAGTGAGATCGCACTACACAATGGAGATCAATCTGTTTCACACTATGTAAAAGATGACTGACATTTTAGTTCACATGCTTTATACATGTAGGTCTATGTGTGACGTCACATCATTCGCCTTGATAGCACATGTGTTGTTTACATCGGACATAATTAACACAAACTGATCTGAGCAGAATTAGTCCTTTTACTAATTTTATGCCCTTGTGCACTATTTTATATACCCATTTACACTAAATAGGAAATATTCTTTATCCAGGTATACTTACAACATATTTATTGCTTTTCTTAATGTTTTAAAAAATGCTTTCAAAATTCAATTTGCGGAAGAAAAAAGGTTAATATTGAGAGCTAATTAACTCACACCGACATCATCCCTGTCAGTGATAGTAGCGACCAAGCGAATATTTACTGCTGATCATTTTGATATGAGATATGTTCAGGTAAGCTAAAAAAAAACCTGTTTAAGCATTGTTAAAAATCTACTCACTTTTTGAGAGAAATTTCTTGATCAAGTTCTTCAATTTTTTTTTCTAGAGCTTCCTTTTCTACACCAAATGCTTTCAGTTTTTTATTTTCTAAAATTTCTCTCCTATTCATAAGGGGTTGGAGTAATTTCTGGAGTGAATCTTTACTAACAGCTGATATTAACTGACGCTGTGCTTTAGCTGGCCCTGTCAATAAAAATAAAACATACAGATTTCAAATGAAATTAAATGTGGTTTAATGTCTTAAAGAGAGAGAGAGAGTTTAACCTCTGCTGACACAAACTGGGTCATTTCGGGATTAACATATAGTTCAATTATATTTCAATAATTCCCGTTCACGTAGGGGTCTTTAGCAGTGGGGCGAAACCAGAGGACCCGGAGAAAACCTACTCCTTGTCACGTCCAAGCAGAGAATTGAAACCACGCCACTTCACTCGGTGAAAGATCTTATAGTTTCACATGTACGCGTTTTCAATTCGGCTAACATAAATCTGGTTTATTGCTTTATTACTATTTTATTAAAACAAAATAAAAAAATGTACTTACAGCCTAACATTATCTTAGCTTCCTGTTTTTTCTCATTCAATAATCCTTTTAACTTGACATCTTCATTTGGTGGCGGAGGCTTAAATTAAATACGGAATATCTGTCAGTAAACTTTACAAGTAAGAAATATCTTTCAGTATATTCAGAAATCTAAATTTTGTGTTCATAAAACTATAAATCAGACAATTATTGTAAACTGATATCTGGCAGTAAAAGTTCTTGAATATCTTATTTAATGGAAAATATAAACTATTTGTATTGAAAACACACTCATAGACAGCCATTTTGTTATCTGGTTGACATGGGATTTAATTGATTTCAAATCATTACCAATCCTGTAGAATTTCTGAAGTATGGAAGATTGAGATATCTATGTTCTTTAGAAGTCGAAGGTTTGAATTCTGTTTTAACTCCTCCTTCTAATTCAGCTTCTAACATACGCTGAAAAACAGTTCAGAGATAATAACGTATAATAATTTAATGAAGCCCTTGACTGGAGAAAAACTGATAAAAACTAAACAGTGAGGTAGGTGGAAGAATTCTGTGTAACAACTGCTTTCCCGAGGATCTAAGATGTTAGGCGATCAGTAAGTAATCTTGAACGAATAAGTAAAGGATCCCCTAACCCAAGAGCCTGAGTTGATAAGACAGGATTTAATGATAAAGCTTTGGTTTTACCAGGTATCCGTACTGACTGGGCTAATGAAGACAGGCATAGGCCATACAGGGAGCTATGAAGGAAATTTTGCCCGCACAGCAGCACTTCGGCCTATTCTTACTTTAAATTCCAACTGTCAAGGGTTCTATTATGTGCACGCCAACTTGGTTTTTGGAATGACTAGACACTATTCTCTATGTCCTGCACCACTAATAAGGGGAAACCACGTCATAAAATCCTCGTAAATTTTCTCTGCCAACACTGGAAGCGAACTCAAGGCCTCCTGGTTAGCGAGCAAGCATCTTACTCACTTAGCCACTGTGGCTCCATTGTAAGTGATGATGATGATCGTGAAGATAATATTGATAATAATACTACTGACCTGTTTTTCTCTATTTTCGTTTATAGCAACTTGAATACTTTGTATATGTTCTGAGATGATTTCCTGGTAAGCTCTGTTTAAAGCCAGACAAGTCTCTACATTTATAGGAAGTTCCGCCATAACATTATCTTCTCCATCTTCATCAATTGATCCCAGCCGACTTCTAGAATCCTCATCCAAACCCAATGACTACAAACAAATAATAACCATTCTGAAACATTAATGTGTCTAACCAGGTATAATGTCTCGGTCATAACTGCTGGACATGTCCTACTTGGATTGGCAAATGTCTGATATGGAATATACCCAAGAGGACATTAAGATATGTGAATCATATTTAAAATTCCAAAATATATTGAGTGTACTGAGGGTATATAACTATTACACTAATACCTCATATCGCAATCAACTAAAAGCACATAAAAGATGAAATTAAAAAAATGTCTACAAATGTGCAAAATCTTAAGTCACTGAACATGATTGTGTATTTTTCCGAGCAAAATGTAATTTATTTTTCACGGTTTAATGAACGCTAAAATGTTTGTTTATTTAATATTTAATTAAGAAAACAAATCAAAATACCAACACAAGATGATCATATAATTAACTCATTTTAAATATGTTTGATTCCATGTGCAAGAAATTAGAATAAAATAATGTTTAATGTTACCCCTTCATAGTAAGTCAAACCAGAGGCTGAAGATGCTGAAAAATAAAAGGTTTTTATTTCAATGCTACAACTTCATAGATAATGCATTGGTTTCCAGCAAATGCCTGAACAATCAACAAGATCAATACAAGAAGGCTCAGGCACCAATATCCCAAGATGCATGTATGCAAAAATTAAATCAAATAAGTTTACATGGAAATACAGAATCTTGAATCTTAGAAAGAAACATGTGCCCATAGTATCATTAAGATAGGTACATGTAGAACAGTTTATGAGATATGCTCCGGAAACAAAAGCGAGGCGGGCAAAGTCCATTTCAATATTCTTCCTGTAGACCTAACTGTGTTTTACAAGGATATTGCTAGGATATTTGATAAATTTTTGAGCCTGTAAATAAACAACACATTCCCTTTTTCTGAATGATTTCAAAAACGCTTTTACATATCAATCCTTGTTGTGAAGCAAAAGTGATAGTTTTTGCTCAGTGAATACTGTTGTGATTCACGAAGCATCTGCACGATAGAACTACATGTACATGTATATACACATGTAGTAGGCTATATTTCATTCCTAATCTCAAGACAATAGAGGGTTGAGAGAGGAGTTATTTTAATTATCTAGGGAATACTCGATTGAACGTTCAGGGAATTGAATTCTCTCAATCTAAAAAATTGTGAGAATCATGAGAAAAGGGGGACTTCGGGCTACAACACATGCGCCAACTGCATAAGACAATATCTCAAGCAACCATGACTGCTGAAACATATTTGTTGTGTTTAATTGCATCATGATTCTACTCATACCACCTCAGTTGTCAGAACTGACAAAAGTGTGACAGGACTGAATTCTGAGTCACTTGGTTACAATTCTGTCAATTTGGGTGGTTGCGGACTGACATGCTTCTCCATCTCGTTCGTATAAGAAATGAAATGAAATGGGGTTTAACGTCCTACTGTTCTGCTCCTAACCTGGGGTAATGAAGACGGGCATACGCCATACAGTGTGCTATGAGGGAAATTTTGCCCGGGCAGCGGCGCTACGGCCTACTCTTATATTGAATTCCAACTGCCAAGGGATCTTTTACGTGCACGCCAATGTGTACACGGGACCTCGGTTTTTCGTCCCATCCGAACGACTAGACAGCTGTCCTTGTCAGGCCCTCCATCCTGTATCACTGACAAGAGGAAACCACGTCAGAAAATCAGGATGAACTTTCTCGGCCAATCGTTCGTATAAGTCAGTAGAATGTGGGTGATATCTTGTTAAAACATCCCAATACGTGAATAGTATATAGGGGTGTCTGAGATATAAAACATTAGTTTGGACTCTAATTTTACCATCAACATTGGTGCTTTCTTTATCCTTGTTACTGTTTGTGTGACTGAGGCCCAAATCAATGTACAACTGACTATCCGATTCGTCGCTGTCATAATTTTCATCTTCACCATAGTCGTCATCACCCAAAACATCCTTAATTTTTTCAATTTCATCTTTCAGAACAGATGCTTCGTCCGCCATTCCGAATGATTCCTGCAATTATCAGATATTTGGAATCTAATTATTGCCGGATTTCGCGCTAACAACGATTTTCGGCTTGTTCTTCCATTACAATTTTGGACTATCTTATTTTAAGGCTTAAAGGGTTGATAGGCTGGTGTCAATATTTGCTGCTTCCTCCATATTTGTATTGATATCACTTTTTTATTCATTAAACAATAAATGTGTATTTTATTGAAGTTTTATGAATCTTTTCTGATTTGAATTAATTGAACTAAAGCTACCAATTATATCTATTTAGTAATGACTGGAGCCCCTTTTGTCCAGTATGGGATTTCCAGGAAGCGGAAGTCATGAGACCAATTTGCTAGGTCAAACGGAGTTGTCTCTCGTCTATTTCCAGTATAGTTGGTGAAAACTGGGCCAAAAAAGAGATGTTTTGCATCAAAGTTATGTATAGGTTAGATTGCATTCGATAAATTGCATTTCAGACCACTTTGTTATATCAGATGAACGTATGGCATGATGAAATACGTCATTTTTCAGAGCCTGAACTACATTCATTCGTACTCGAAGCCAAAGGCATAGGACCTTCGTTTATGTCATGATCACTTGTGCCGTTGTGTTGTAATTGTATATTTGTGTGTTATGTCACTCAGACCCTTGTTTGTGTGTTCTTGCAATATCTAAAAATAAAGTTCGGAACTTTAATATATAAGCTTATATGTATGCCATCTTGTATGTCCACTGATGATGTCTCAGATATCAAAGACCTTCTACGATGATATATTTCTGCTGGGCATCAAAGTAGGAATGAATGGAACACATATTTTACATCCAGTGTGATTAATTGATATGTACATGATGAATCACTAAAGAGTAATGACAATTAGGCTAAATAGGTCTGGGAATTACAATTTTAGTTAGGTCTACATGAACTAGAAGGTCTACATGATATTTTATGCAAAACTGGACAAGACAAATCTGTAACAGACAAAATGATGGGCACCAGAGACATTTGTGCCGAACATTGTCTGTGACAGGTGCAATCCTGGACAGAAGGCACCTGTCACAGACTTTGTCAGACACAGATTTTCATATATAAATTGTGCAATAATTTGTGTCTGACAATTTTTGTGACAGATGCCTTCTGTCCAGGCTTGTATATATAGCCTACGTTGTGTAATAATTTGTAGGCCTACTGGACAAAGTCTGTGACAGCCTACAGGTGCCTTATGTCCAGGCTTGGACAGGTACCTGATTTCCAGACTTGTGTGTAGGCCCTAGCCTATATTAATAACTGACAAGCCAGTTGATAACATACATGTACATACATTTCAATGATACATTTAAATTTAGTCACAGCCAATATTCATTGCTTGTTGGGCCTCAGCCGAATGATTTAATTTAATGGCTAAATTGTATGGGAAATTGACAGCAAAGCCATGGCAAGTTAAAAAAAAATCATATAATTAATTGATCTTTTTTAATATCAATAGTTTGTCAATTTCATGATTTAAAAATTTATTATTTCTTCCAGATGACAACTTGTGAAGACCATCCTGTCCGTCCCATGATTACAAGGTCAAGATGGCTGCCAGTATTCACGGCGATAGTCGTCAGTGCCAGGTTGATGAAATGTTTACATTACTGGAGTCAGTGGACCAAGAGGCTGTTGAAGATGTGAGGAAGCTCATACTTGATGATATCAATTCTAGCGGCTGTAAGTAATGGCTTATTTAGTGGGCGACAGTTCACAGTCCATAAATTTCAAGTAGATTTGTTAAACACACAGATTTTTCTGAACAGAGATGAAAGAGTATCTTTAATATGAAAACGCATTATTAATCAGTAGTAGTCCAGATTATTGTTTTATTTTCAAAGTTTGTACATTTTTCATGAATTATTGTATGTACCAGACACAGTAGTCGTGATCTAAAGTTCTATTTTGGTCAAAGAATAACATCAAAATACACGAATATCATTTTATATCAGGCCTGTACGTTACATGTATTACAGGTATCAATAAAAAAAAACAATTATAAATCAGTGACAGGCAAAATGATAGGCTGGCATCAGCTGTGACTGAGGAAATGTCTAGCATTGTTTTTACATAATACAGAATATTTTTTATGTTATCTTTAAATAGTTTACACAATTCGAATTGCTTTAGCTAACAAAAAAAAGAGCCTGACTTCTACTATTCAGGAATTTTCTGACATTGTTTTTACATAATAGAGAATAATAATATGTTTTCTTTATAAATAGTTTGTACAATGCAAAAGGGAAAGATATCCATAGAACAGGGTGTATTTTTTTTGAAAATTTAAATCTTTTATTTCCAGACTCGGTCCTTTTAAAGATTTATTAATCTATTTTTTTTTATTTCTAGCAAAAGAATCATGGTTATTGCCCACACTGATAGATCATTATTTTACAACAAGATCTAAACAGATACAAGATCTACTTTTCGAGATACGAGATCCACAATGCAAGGTGAATATCATAGAAAATACTTTTAAAAGGGCAATTGAGTCAAGTGACATGGTTTCATTTACCTGCTTGTATGTGACGAGGAGTAGGGTCACCTGTCCAACCTCATGGCTTTTCTGCAGTTTCCTCCCACTGCTGTTAAAGAGCCCTATGTGGAAGCGAATTACTGAAATAAAATTGTACCATATGTTAGTCCCGAAAAAAAACCCCAGTTTGTGTCGCTTGGATGTTAAACCTCATTTCTCTCTATCACTTTTCAAGTATCTTTGCTTGAAGTGCTATAATATTTATAAATATTAAAGTTTGATTATCCATGAAATGTATTTATAATCATTTCTATTTTTAGTATCTTTTAGAGAGGTTAAATGACGGTGTCCGTAGTAATAATAACAAACTAGCATCTCTGGAATTATTACTATACATACTATGTAAACAACCATATTGGACTCACAGAGTTGTCGAAATGCCAGTATTTTCTACCCTGATTAAGTGCCTAAAGGTAAGTAACTCTATTTATTTTCAAGGTTATTTAAAACTGCTAATTATTTGCATTTTTCTGGAAATATCTTATATTTCACACCTTAAATGTTATATAAATTATTAATTAGACCATAATCAACTCTTGATGCCATTAGCTATTTAGTAGATTCAAAACGTTTTGTGGTGTATGCAGTTACCGTAAAAATGGATAATCAAGACTTTGTTTATTATCATAACAATCACGACCATAGTAATGACAATCGAGGCTGGGCTATTATTGTATCACTAATATTTAGGCTCAAAGTTAAGTAATTTGACTTGAAATTTTCAGTATATTCTCTTTTCATTATCTTTGATTTAACTATTATAGCACAAACTGTCAGCTCTTTATCTAATCTCACCTAATCCTGTTTTAAGTTATTTATTTAAAAGATTAGAGACTATATTACTGATATTTTAATGAATATAAAATATTGTTTTATAATATGTTAGTTTGTGTTTTATTAATAATCTGTATTCGCGTCACATTTCACGTATTTGTGATTTAATATTTCAAACATATACTTAAGGACACGCAACACCATTTACTTAAATGATATTATTTGATGGCAACAGAGATGACAACAGAGCGCAAATTTCAAACGCATAAATTATCAATGCTTAAATATATCAGATTCGTCGGTTTGCGAGAAACGCGGTATTGGCCGAGAAAGTTCATCAGGATTTTCCAGCATGGTTTCCCCTTGTCAGTGGTGTAGGATGGAGGACCTGATAAGGACAGCTGTCTAGTCATTCGGATAGTCCCGTGTACACATTGGCTTGCACGTAAAAGTTCCCTTGGCAGTTGGAATTTGATATAAGAGTAGGCAAAATTTCCCTCATAGCACACTGTATAGCATATGCCTGTCTTCATTAGCCCAGTCAGAGCAGAACAGTAAGATGTTAAACTCCATTTCATTTCAATTTGCGAGAAATGTGATAATATTCGTAATTTATCTTCTTTCTTTTTTTCTTTCTTTGTTTTAATGAAATATTAATATCGTGACAATATTTGTAATTTATCATTTTTTTTTTTCTTCATTTTAATGGAATATTAATTTCAACATCTAATCTCAGAAAACAACTGTAGATTGTCACTTGCCAGCCCCTCTGTCCTGCACCACTGAACTTTCTCAGCCAAATTGTATTACAATGTTTATCTGTATGTTTTATTGATATCTATATTCGTGTTGATCTATTATGTGCTATTTATTTTTTTTTTTCATTTTAATGAAATATTAAATATACATTATGTAAGATTTAGATAAAGAGCTGACCATTCTTGCCATAATAGCTCAAAAATAGAGAATGCAAAATGAATATATATTAATTTTATTCAAATTACTCTATTCTGTTTTTAGTTTTGACAAGATATGTGCATTGTGATAACTCGCTTTCCCATTTTTAAATTTAATTTTTAAATGGCAAACCGTTCATATCTAGTTAAAATCTCGAGTATCCGATGACATCGAGAGTTGATTATGGTCTGGATAAGTTAATTAATGTCTAATTAATAATTTAGATAACATTTCAGGCCTAAAGAAAGACCTGCAATAGGTAAATTTAGCTCTTACACTATGTATGTTTAAGTTGGTTGTATAGTGAAATGAATTGATATATTACAGAATATGACAGATATACCCGTACTGATGACAGGTGTGATGATATTAACTCTATTATTACCTATAGTTCCTGTTAGCATAGCTCGTCATCTTAACGATATACTGGATATATTTACACGTTTGACTTCCTTCTGTGTACGAAAACCAGGTAAATATACTGTGGGATATAAGTCATGTCCAGAAGAAATTAATATATGGATAATAAAATGTTTGATGTGTTTCTACTTTGTCTACTTCATGTCTCATAATAAATCTACAAGAATGTTTCAATTTCTGATATTTGAAATATAAAACTTTTGGTATTTTTTTAAAATTATTTTACAGCCAATACGCCTGATGTGTTTTTACTTCATCTACATGTAGCCCTGTACAGTTTGTTTCACCGTCTATATGGAATGTACCCGCACTACTTTCTTCATTATATCCAGACACAGTTCTCCAAAAAAGATCTTATTCCTGTCTATGATGAAATTGTTAAAGTGAGACTTTATTTAATTTTCTTTTTATATGCCCACCCGTGTGGCTGGCAAGCCAATGTCCTTAATTTCTTGTGAACACTCTACAAACTACAAGATAGGGGTCTTTAGCAGTAGGAGAAAACAGGACAGTTGCCTCAATGGCAGACATTAAAGACAAACCTATATCTTGTTTCAATAACTGATTCTCTGATTCTTTTGTCAAGGGATTTAAAGTTCTTCACATGACCATCACCATAAATGATTGTGTTTTTCAGCCAATGTTTGAAAGAGTTCGACTACATCCTCAGTTGATAGCTGGATCTAAAGAGAGTGAGACAAGTACTAGCAGGTATTTATACTATTCTTATACAACAATATAAAAACTTGCGTTAGTCATATTCCTGTCATTTTATTCAATCTGATGATCTAGAGAGTTGATTATAGGCTTGTTATGTTAATAAATGTCTAAATAATCATTTATATAACACTTAAAGCCAAAATACTGACCTGCAATTGGCAGATCTAGCTTTTACATTATGTATCTTTAAATAGTCAGGTGCTAGCTCATGTACGAGGAGATCTTGATTATGATACCAGTGTTCCTTGGGGTTGTTCCGTCTAGTTTCCCCCTGTCAGTGGTGCAGGATGTAGCGTCTGGCAAGAAACAGCGTCTGATAGATCCAATGGGTCAAGACACCACGATCCCATGATCACTTGAGCGTCCATTTAAAAAAAATGCCATTACAATCAGAATTCAATAAAGGGTACGTGGAAATGCTGCTCTCCAAGCAAAATTTCCTTCATAGCCCACTATATGATGTTTGACAATCTTCATGAGCCTGGTTGGTGTAGAAAAAGTAGGACATTCAACTTCATTTCATTTATCAGGGATGATCGAGTAATAAACACTACAACTTGGGTATTGTGTGTATTTGTACTGTTTGAGTGTTTACTTTCTAGAGCGATGTTGAGTAATTAACAGACTAATTAATTACTAAACACCGCTCGGGAAAGTAAACAGTGTAAACCTGATACTCATTATATATCTAATCTAGACGGACCATTTTAAACTATGCGACAGTAGGAACACAATATTTTTACGATTCTCAACAAATTTGAACAATTTGCCATCAATGATTTGAAAGTAAACATTAAATACAGAAACTCCCACTAAAACAGCACAACTACAAGAAACTCAAGTTTTAGTGAAAAATCAAAATATCTTTTTTTCAGGTGGAAGAATTTAGAAACACAGGATATAGTAATAGAATGTGCCAAGTTATCATTGGATATGGTGGAAGGCACATGGGATGACGATCCATGTCCAGCTTTTACTAAACGTTATCAGGCCATACAGGAAGCTGTGAAAAGTCGACACAATTCAGGTTCCACTAGTCAGGGTGTGTAGAATGTCTGAATTAGAGGATGGAAGATGTATGTCCTGTCATCTAGCCAAAGTTGGAATGAAAAATAAAATGAAACTAGTGGTTGACTTGGTGTAGCTCGGCTATACCCATGAACAAGCATAACTCCGAAATCGGAAGTGGTAGGCCATTGCCACCAGGCCTATGTTACTCCCTGTTCCGAGCTAACCCCAATACATCAAATTTCAGCCTCAGAGACAGCCCTCGTGTAGCCACCAACCCCGAACAGTCAAACAGGCAGACAAATAACAGTCACAGATATTAGTATAGTTTTAGCCGTGCTAATGTGCAGCATGCTAACTACGAGATCTAGAAGAAACCAAAGCTTGTTCCTGTATATTAGAATATGATTTGGCAATCTTTCCATTTGTTGTCTTAGGTCATGGACTTGTTTAGTGGAAAGTTCTTTCCTTTATCAAATAAAAACAGTGGAGCATTATAGTAATCCAGTCGAAATGAACAAAATATATATCTTATGTACAATCATAACATTAGTGAAAAATCTTAAAGATACATTATGGGAGGTTAGATAAAGAGCTGGCAGTTCTCACTATAATAGTTAAAAAATAGATGATGTAAAGGGAATATGCTGAAAATTTCAGTCAAATTGATCCACTATAAGCTTGAAAACCTTATTTTAAAATCTTTGTAGCCTTGATTGTCATTGTTTGCGCTGTCACGATAAATAACAAAGTCTTGATTATCCATTTTTGTGTTGAACAGCAGATGGGATTCAAATCCAATGAAAATCGAACAGATAAGATGGCATCGAGAGTCTTTTATGGTCTTTTCGTGTTAATATATGTCTAATTAATAGTTTATATAACATTTCAGGCCAAAGAAAGACCTGCAATAGGTAGATTTGGCTCTTGCATAATGCATGTTTAATTAATGAGAACGGATTGATTAAATGATCAAGTCAGTGTTTGATATATTTTTTATTTATTTCAGATACAAGTTTGTTTCCTAATATTCTAAGTCAAGATACCGGGTATATATTAGCATCTCTGGGACATGAACCTGGTTCAGTCTGTAGTCCTTCGGTTGTTATTGGCTTGTCCACACCACCGCAGTCACAACGCACAACTCCTGCCACAAGCTTCCTAGATACCAGCGGACATGTTCCTTCTTTTGCAGGTTTGTTCAGTATATGATTAATACTGAAGATTTTTTTTAAAAACAGATCATATATATTTTTGTCATGAACAAATTCCTATGGTACAAAAAATCATGAAAAGTCTGTATGGAATTTTACATCGACTTATTCAACCCTGGATTCAGTAGGACGATTAAAAAAATGAAATGACATGAGGTTTAACATCCTACTGTTCTGCTCCGACTAGTCTAATGAAGACGGGCATATGCCATAGTGTGCTATGAGGGGGAATTTGCCCAGGCAGCGGCACTATGGCCTACTCTTCTATCGAATTCCAACTGCCAAGAGATCTTTTACGTGCACACCAATATATACACAGGACCTCAGGTTTTTTTTTTGTCCCATCCGAACGACTAGATAGCTGTCCTTGTCAGATGTGATGTCATCCTTTGATGTTGGCGTATCATTGTTTCAAATAATGGTACGGGCAATGTGCCTAGTGTGCATTATTTATACTAGTTAAAATTTTGGACCCGTTTGACATATTTCATTGCAAAGCACGTGCGAGCATCTGTATTTTAAGTTGTTTAATGGTCTCAAGCTTAAGACATTGCGTAATATATTGAAACAACAACTCGTGACTACGTCACTCGTGTTGTTTCAGTATATTACTTAATGTCTCGCTCTCGACCTAATTATTTTCTGTCAACTTCTTTTTCTGCTGTTTAATTGCAGAGATTGTTTTTTAACGTTGACACCCCGCAATGTTCCGAAAACCACCTAACCATTTGATCAAGAAATAACAACCACTCCCTCAGTCAAGCTAGCACACAATAAGCTGGCAGACAACAGTCGAGTTGCCAGTTAGTGTTACCCTGAAATTTTTGCTAAGGGCTTGCCCCATGGCTGTTTTCGGGTGATCCAGTATTTTTCTAGTAAGATTGGGTGTCTCTACTTACCATATATACCAAATTTGCCATGCTTTTATTGGAAATAACCACCCAATACATACTTTCGGGACAATGTATCTTTAAAGCTGGTAAATTAAATGTGAATTGAAATTTATTGCTGACTGGATAATTTACCCCATTATTTCAGGAACAATAAGATTCCTGTGGTACATAGAGAATGTAGATTTGTATTACAGTATATAGTATAGTAATGTTGCTGACTTGACGATTTATTTGTTTATTTCAGGAACAATAACAAATACACCAATGATGACACCACAGGATATAACACCAAGAGAAACACCAAATATCACACAAGATGATCCAGTAATTATTATCATATCTTACTTCATATTTATAATCCAATATTTAAGACACAATTAACATTTTATAATCAGTACACGAGTCATGTACCCTATGGTGTCTGGTGCCATTTTGTAATAAACAAATAAAAACATATCCAACAACACAATGTGAAAGTAATTAGGAAAGGCGGATTCACAAACGACAAAATAATAATTTTAAAAACATGTAGAATACACTAAACACTTGTAAATGACTGCCGTTCAATTTGAACTGTTCACTTGTTTCACCGAACATAACCGGACTGATAAAACCAAGTTCGTTCCATTATTTTATTCAATATTGTCTCAGTTATCTGTCCAACTAAAAAACCCTACTCGCAAGATAATTATTGAAATAAAATCAACCATGTGTTAGTCTCGAAATTACCTAGTTTATGTCGTTAACCCCATTTTTCTCTCTCTTTCAGTTATCCAAGAGCTCAGGCAAAGGACAGAGAAACACAGATTCAAAACGGCCAGCAATTAGTCTCAGTAGAGGTCAAAGTTCAGTTATAGATCCAAAGTTGACTCCTGGGTTACAGTTGACTCCTGGATCCAGCAACGTATTGTCGCCAATGAAAACAGAATTTACCAACGAACCGCCAAAAGGCGCTGTAAAAACACAGCCTAGAAATGCAATCAGAGCACTTGAGTTTGAGACAGATAGATCATCAATGGACTTCTCTAAAAAACCTCTGTCTACCCAGACTTCTGTGGAGAAAGGGTCAGAGGGTCAAAATAATGCAGAATTGACTTCATTGGTTACCATGGATACATTGAACCATGTTTTCGGTGAATTGTCTACACATGAAAATGGTGAGTCAGACCATCTGCGTGGCTCCCCTCTCACAACCCATCCTCCGTACTTACTTCATCGGTTCTAAATTACTTCTATTTCACTTCGTGAATTGTAATTAACTTTGTAGATTGTAATTAACTTTGTAGATTGTAATCACATATTGTAATCCATTTTACATATGGTAATTCATTTACTAAATTGTAATTCACTTCATGTATTGTAATTCACTTGTTAAATTGCAATTCATTTCATAACTTGCAATTCATTTCATAACTTGCAATTCATTTCATAACTTGCAATTCATTTCATAACTTGCAATTCATTCCATATATTGTAATTCACATCATAGATTGTAACCCATTCCATAAATTGTAACTCATTCCATAAATTGTAATTCACATCATAGATTATAATTCACTTCATAGATTGTAATTCACATCATAGATTGTAACTCATTTCATAGATTGTAATTCAGTTCATAGATTGTAATTCAGTTCATAGATTGTAATTCACTTCATTGTAATTCATGTCATAAATTGTAATTCACTTTATACACTAGAACATTACTGATCAGCTCAATATTTTAATCTGAAACTTTTAGACAAGGTAAACGGACTATTACTATATATTGTCATATTAGCTTTCACGTATTTTAACTGTTATCTATCTAAGATATCTTAAATAACCCATGGAAACCATGTAGATGCAGAAGGACCGTCTCCTTTAATACAATCTCAATTTAAATTTCAGAATGTATTGATGACGAGGTCAGCCAGATAACTCAAGAGGATGATTTAGAAGGCAGTTTTGAAACAATAGCTAGTCCCGAAACCCAGCAAGCCATGGCTGAATCAGTGAAACAGTTCATGAAAAAAGTGAATAGAATAAGATTCAACAGTCTAAATAACACGGAACGTCTTGCTGTCAACGAAAGTAAAAGATACCATGTTCGATCAAATTCGTGTCCACCATTTGAAGAAGAAGTTTCTGAGGAATCTGATTTTGTAACAAGATCGATATCTACTTCGGTGGAAGCAAATCAGTCCGGAATCAACTCCGACCCAATTACTGTTGAATCCTCCATAACTCTATGTGACAAATCAGAGAATTTGCATAAATTGAGATTAGAAAAATCAAGAAGATCGCGTAATCCAAGTGGAAACAGCGAAAATATGTCAGAGTTGCTGGCACAGATGGCTGAATCCCGACCATTCAGTATTTTATCGCAAGCTCTGTTTGCTCCTACAAGTGTACATGTTTGTTCGAGTTGTCATTCCAAATTAGTGGGAGGAAAACATACAATAAAAACGAATGAATTTAAAGGTGGGTAAAAATCATCGACGTTTGCATTTTCTAGACTATATCTCATTTTTCATGACTTTCAAGTGGCATTTGGCAGTTGAGAAACACATTAATAGAATACAATTTTTATGGGAAGCAATGAATGATTTTATTCTAAAAGTATAATGTTGCATTAAATATTCCCTTGTCGATATCAAGCACATACTTGTCAAAACGAAGAATAAACACAGTTAATGTTTTCTGTAAAAATTGTGTTCTGTTGATATTTCATGGCTTAAGCCACTCTGAGGTGTACTTAAATTGTCTTCTTACAGTAAGTGATGATAAAGAGAAATAAACATTGGCAATACACAAGAATATTGCAAGTAACAGAGCTTAAACTGTTAGAATTTCTAAATTGATGTGAATGTTCAACAATTAGTATAGTTCGTTGCTTGGGGAATATTTCTTTCACGTTATTATTTTACTCTTAGTCCCCAACTGTATCACTGAGATCTGATCTTCCCCCTTTATTGTTGGTGCAGGACGGAGGACGTGGCAATGAACAGTGTATAGTGCACGTAAAAGAACCCTTGACAGATGGAATTCGAAATAAGAGTAGGCCGTATGTAGCACCCTTGTGCAGGCAAAATTTACCTCATTAGCTTGGATGGAGCAGAAAAGTAGGAAGTTAAACCCCATTTCATTATTTTCAGAAATTCCGATGTTCTCCACATTTTCTCCACCCGAATTATTAGATAGACAGTTAATAGTAGGAGGTGACCTACATGCCAAGGAATTAAATAAAATACCATTAACCAGCAAGGAATCGGTCAACTGGACACATTTTGGAGGTAAGATGAATTAAATTTCAATAAACACAAGAACTCTATGAAAAACAATTACTGCATTTTAATCAGAGCTATGTTTGTACAATGATTCTCTTGTCGTTTTAAAGCACTAATTGTTTTCCATTGAAGTCTTGTGTTTTTGTAATATGTTTAATTACTGACTTTCTTTTAAACAGTCAATTAAATTTCACTGATCAATTAAAAGATTCCATAATTACAAATTAATGTTGATACCCCCACATTAAAAACTAAGTCATAGGTATCACAAGACTATCTTTACATGCTAAACAAGATGGAATTATGATAACCTTGACTTTGTTTTTAACCGAGGGGTTGGATGGCCGAATGGTTAGAGTGTGCGTGTTGAAGTATAAGGTCTGTCATTGAGTCAACTGGCATGGTTTCGATTCGCCGGTTTAACGTGACAAGGAGTAGGGTCGTCTGTCCAACCTTGTAGGTTTTTTCCGGGTCCTCCAGTTTCCTCCCACTGCTAAAGAACCCTATGTTCAAGCAAATTATCGAGTGGACGTTAAACCCCATTTCTCTCTTTCTCTCTCTGTTTTTAGCCACTACTCCTACTGGTGTCATTGTATCAAGTTTATTATGACTTATATTCCATCAAAGTTTATGTAGTTCAAATGGTTATTCGATTCCTCTCTTATTACGTGTTTCAGACCTTCTGTATTGTTTTCATAAGAGTTTTTATTTTTTTTAGCTGATTTTAGTCCAAGTTTGCATGCTAAAACTGCACACGGTGCAAAAACTAATCTCAGATTGCCTATATCTAAGTTATTTCTCAATGGATCTTTGTTGACTTTTCATTTTTGGATTATTTGGAAAGTTTGCTCGATTAGTTTTAGCATCAAAAATTTGGGAAGGTTTTCTTCAGCATTTTTTCGACATTCGAGATGGCGTATCTCTGTTAGTATTTGAGGAAACTTGGTAGGAATAAGGAAGACATTGATGCCTTTAAAATGGCATATAATGCATTATTTAAGAGCTAAATCTGTCTATTCCAGGTTTTTATTTTGGCCCCAAATTATAAATTACTAATTAGACATTTATTCACATGACAAGCTCATAGTAAACTCTCTAGACCATCTCTGATCCCCATTTAATATTTGGAACATTTCAAAGCCTGATATTAGGTTACCTACGTTAATTTCGTATATATGCGATTAAATTATTGTAATTTAACAAAATCTTCATGCAAGTAAAATATAAATAATGTACGATTGGCACGTTGCCAGAACATTATTTGAAATAACAGTATGCCAATATTAAAGGATGATGTTACATCTTTCCTTTAATCTCTTTTAGGTGTACCACCTGCAGATGAGGTCAACATTTTAAAAGGTCAGATAATGTTACTCCACAATCAGCTCATGTACGAACAACATAAACGTGAATTACATGCGAAGAGAAATCGGCGTTTACTGAGAAAAATAACGCAGACGAAGACTTTAGAGGAACAGAATCGAGCTATGGTAGGAATAGATATATCACAGATATAAGCTTACCATTTAAAATTACCTGGATGCACGCTGCATCATAAAGTCTGGCATTGAGTCAAGTGGCGTGGTTTCAATTCCCCGCTAAAACGTGACAAGGAGTAGGGTAGTCAAATATACAACAACTTAATATTCCAAGAACAAATCTCATACCGTTGGTGATGGGGCTTTCTCTGTTGCGACACCAGTTCTTTGGAACAACCTACCTCAATACGTGAAAGAAGAAGAAACTATTCTAGAATTCAAAAAGTAACTCAAGACTCATCGCTTTACTTCAATATAACATCATTTTCTGTGACAGACAACTCAGCACCATTGAGTGGTTTACTAGATAATAGTCGATATATAAATACATTATTATTAAATTAGATCATGTATGGTCTGTATGAGAGGCCGAATGTTGACAAATTTCCAAATCAAAAGTTGGACTCTTGTTTCTCTTTATCCTCTGGTTTCTTCACACGGCTACGAGCATGTGTATTTTTGAATAAAATTGATCCATACTTTAGTCCCGAAATGACCTGGTTTATGTTGTTGATGTTAAACTCTCTCTCTCTCTCACAAATGTAGTTTACAAGACAATAAATAAATCAGTCAAATGACAATCTGAGACATTAGCAAATTATATTATATTATTGTTTTTTTATTGAATGTTTGAAACAGGTTGAACAACGTAAACTCCATGAACAAGAAATCCAGAATTTAACAGTATCTTTACGATTAGTACAAGAAGAAAATCAGGCGTACAAACAGCAAAAGGAAAGTAATATGTATGAAGATCTGGTGAAACTTAGGTCAGTTACATTACAAAATGAAATGAAATGATATAGGGGTTAATGTCTTACTATTCTGCATACGCAATACATTTTGGGAGCCGTGATGGCTCAGTGAGTAAAACTCTGGCTCACTAGCCAGGAGGTTGCAAGTTCACTTTCGGTGTTCACTGAGAAAGTTCATCATGATTTTCCAGCATGGTTTCCCCGTGTCAGTGGTTCTGTGTACACATTGTCGTGCATGTAAAAGATCCCTTAGCAGTTGGAATTCGATATAAGAGTCAAAATGTCCCTCATAGCACACTGTATGGCGTATGCCCATCTTCATTAGCCCAGTCAGAGCAGAACAGTAGGATATTAAACCCCATTTTATATCATTTCATTTCCATAGAGTGTGCTATGAGGGAAATTTTTCACGCTTTATTCCACACTTGATTATTCAACATCTAATTAAGAAAACAAAATCAATTTCCCAGATCAAAAAGAAGGCCATCAAAAGATTTTAGAGTAGATTACATGTGTCGCTGACTTTGGATCAGATCCAGTGTATATTGGCATGAGAGGATGCTTTTTTCACTTCATTATATCTTTGTACATACCAAACAGAATTGCACTGAACTGTTAATTCTTTTAGAAATTCCACAATTTTGTATTTTACAATTGATTGATCAATTCCTCAGATGATTATATGGACCTATTTCAGGACAACTTTACAGACTAATAAAGATCTGGAAGAAGCAAATATTGGTTTAAAAAATTTACTCATTACACAAAGAGAAGACCATGATAAACTGAAAATGGTGAGATTAATTATATTAGAAAATGAAATGAAATGGGGTTTATATGCTTGATAACGACTTGTGAAATCTTGTTAAAATGTTGCAGTGTAATAAAAAGAGAATCTCCTACAAGTCTTTTTTGATATCTAAAAATATCAACACTCGACGATAAAGTAACAAAAACGAGGCTCTGCCAATTTTTTTTTTACTTTTTAGATATCAAAAAAGACGAGTAGGAGATTTTATTTATCACCCAATCCCTTATTCTTACATGCACAAATAGATAAATATAATTCTTTGCTGTAGATTTCACTTTTACTGAACTTTACGGCGTAGTGATACATCATTTTTGATAGCAATTCAACCATTGCAAAGTACTTTATATTGACCCAGTGTTTACATCAAGGTCAATTAAATAAAAATAGTTCATTTTTAATAGAAAAAAAAGTACTTTTAATAAGAAATGAACTGTTCTTTGAAAATAAAAAAAAAGGAGTTCCTTTTCAACTGACCAATCAAATTCATGTAAAGCGATATCACCTCAGAAGATATTGCAGTAGATTATGAAATATGTCACACAAGCGATATCTACTGTAGAATGTATTATTGGGTTATAAACCACAGTAATTGTTGTCTATTAAAATATTGTTTTATTTGATTTTATTTATTCATCAACCTATCTTTGTTATTAACAGCAATGGCAGGATTCTAAATCAAAGTTATCAAACACAGAGAAAGAATTAGATATATTAAAAGATGAGGTGGTTTATACACAAAAACTAAAAGAACAGGTAGTGTATACTGTTTAAACAACATTTAGTAATTAATTGAACATAGTAAAATAAACACAAGAGGTCTATGATATACAATAGACTAGCTTGTCAGTATTGTACTTGAAAACGACAAGAGAATCATTGTAGAATAATAGCTCCAATTAATTTAGGTTAATGTATGTTTGGAAGTTTTTGAACTAGGAACTGCTGTGGGATTGGGTGGCCGAATGGTTTCACATGTTAGATCACAACGTCTGTCATTGAGTCAAGTGGCATGTTTTTGATTCCCTGCTTGTACGTGACAAGGAGAATGGTCGCCTGTCCAACCTTGTTGGTTTCCTCTGGGTCCTCCGGTTTCCTCCCACTGCTAAAGACACCCAATCGCAAGCGAATTATTGAAATAAAATTGAACCATATGTTAGTAATGAAATGAACTAGATTGTATCAGTGGGCGTTAAAACATCTCTCTCTCTCTCTCTCTCTCTCTCTCTCTCTTGTTCTTGTTGCTATTCAAATAAAACCAAAGGTTCTGCCAATTGAACTATAATCGACTTGAAATATGGAATGCTTGATCATTTCCATTGATTAATTCCAAAATGGCTATGATGACATAATGGTCACATAAAACCTATCAAATTCTCTGCATTTGTTGTGTTTTGAGGTTAAGTTCTTTGAAATACAATGACAGCTGTCTTGTCATTCAGATGGGACAAAAAACCACGATCCCAGTATTGGTTGAGAAAGTTCATCTGGGTTTTCAAGTGTGGTTGCCACTTGTCAAGGTGTAGGACGGAGGACCTGGATGGAAAGGAAAATCCAGATCCTGTGTACACATAGGTGTGCACATAAAAGATCCATTGACGGTTTTGTTCGATGTAAGAGTAGAACATAGCACCACTGTCCGGGCAAAATGTCCCTTATAGCACACTGCATGGCTTATGCCCATCTTCATTAGCCCAGTTGGAGTAGAACAGTAGGACGTTAACCCACATTTCATTACAATTCCAGCTATAAGAAAGGAGAATATTTGCTTCTCATGTTTATTTCTTGTATTTATCAGGTATTCAAGTTACAGAAAGAAGTTTTATTGATGGGTGAATTACAACAAAAATATCACGAACGACTTCATAATCAGCGCAACTCTTACTCTGTCAAACTGGACCAAAATTATCTTGCTCAATCACTGAAAGCTGAGAAAAAAGGTAAAATAAACTCAATACAAAATTTCATAACTTTTTCCTTTTTCGTACTTATTGCATTTTATCCATTTAGCAACTACTTAAACAGGCATTATTCAAGAGGTAAATCTGCCTAGTGGATTTGAATACATTTTATATGTTATATAAATTATTAATTTGACATTAATTAAACATGCATTATGCAAGAGCTAAATCTGATTATTGCAAGTCTTAATTTAGGCTTCAGATGTTATAGAAATTATAAATTAGATCTTTATTTAAACAACAAGACCAAAATCAACTCTGTAGACCCACGGATGGCTCGGCTACAGCTCGGATTTAAATAGGATTTCACTAATTGATTAAATCAAATAAGGGATAACCTGATGAAAATACGTCAGTTAGATCGAGGCTAAATGATAGAGTGTACTTAGCGAGGCCGCTGTAAAGCGTTTCGGTATGCCATTGAAAACTTTACTTGATAATCGAGATATGTAGGTGGAGTTAACACCTGTCAATCAAACGATCAGCGAAGGTGAAGACACAATTCGCTACCATTTCTAGGCAAATATTACAACGATGATAACTATGTTCAGAATAAAGTAATTTGACTGAATTTTTTAATATATTCTTCTTTCATCATCTACTTTTGAACTGTTGTAGCAAGAATGGCCAACTCTCTATAAAAATCTCCCATAATGTATCTTTAACTTAAAAATACCATAATTAACTCTCAATGCCATCGTTAGTCTGAGATATTTAGTGGATTTGAATACATTTTGTGGTGGATGAAATAACAGTAAAAATGGATAATTGAGACTTTATATATTATTAACTATTATAGCGAGAACTGTCAGCTCTTTATCTAATCTTACCTATTGCCCCTTTCTTTGAAAAAATTTGGTGGAAACTACTGCTCTTTTTTTTCTTTCAAATTTTTTTTCTGACCTCCAAAATAATTTATTTTTTATTTTCTAAGGAATTTATATTAGATTTTTAATATCAAGATAAATGCACATAATATACATAATATAAGGATTTAAACAAGTATGTGTGACTATCTAGAGACTATGCTATTTTAACAGACTAAGTGAAGACATCATGGGTGGGAGTCATTGATGTATGTATGTTGGTATTTAAAGATACTTTATGGGAGATTAGATAAAGAACTGGCAGTTCTCACAATGATAGTTAAAAAACTAGATAATGTAAAGGGAATTTGCTGAAAATTTCAGTCAGATTGATCCGCTTTGAAATGAGAATTTAGTGATTGAATTTTGGGCCTAGCCTCGATCATCATTACTAAAGTCGGTACAATAAAATACATAGTCTTGATTATTCATTTTTTGATTTAATTATGATTGAGCATTGAACAACAGATCAGATCTTAATCCATTAAGTATCGTAGGCTAGCGATGGCATCGAGAGTTGATTATGATCTGGATAAGTTAATTAAAGTCTAATTAATAATTTAGATAACATTTCAGACCTAAAGAAAGTCCTGCAATAGGCAGATTTAGCTCTTACATCATGTATGTTTAATATAACATTTATAACACAACTTTAATGGATTTACTACTTCTTAGTTTATTACATGCACTGTTTCAATAATCTTACAGGTATCTTTATCAAACAATAATAAAGTATTGAAATGTTTCATGTAGTAAACCAAGAAGTAGTAAATCCATAGTGGTATTATTATGAATGTTATACTTCTAGTTTTAAATGTCATTCAAGGATAGTTGGATTGGGTGGTCTAGTGGTTTAACGCGTGCCCGTGAAATCAGAAGGTCTGGAATTGAATTAAGTGATGTGGTTTCAATTCCACACTTGAAGCCTGTACAACCTCGTGGGTTTACTCTTGTTTCCTCCCACTGCTACAGATCCCTGCACGCTACCAAATTATTTAAATAAAATTTAATCAATGTTAGTTCTGAAATGACCTAGTTTGTGTTGAATAGATGTTAATCCCCATCTCTCTCTCTCTCTCTCTCTCTCTCTCTCTCTTTCTTTCAAGGATGTTAATACCAATAATATATATGATTTATTTTAGGTTTAAAAGATAAGCTGAATAAAATGACATCACGGTTACAAGTGGTAGAAACTCAAGTTACAGAATTACAAAAACAGATTCAGATCAAGGTACATCAGTCAATATATATATATAATTTATTAAAACAGCAGGTGCCTTTGGTGCATTTAAAAAGATATGTAATATAAATAGGGGTGAGTGCCTAAATGATCTAATGCGTACTCTTTTGATGATATGATATGGTCTGTTAATGAGTCAAGTTGCTTTGTTCTGATCCCACACTTGTTTGTGACAAGAAGTAGGGTCGCCTAACCTTGTATAGGTTGTATGTCTTGCTACATTCTACAATATAATGAAATTGAATCAATAGAATTCAATATAAGGGAAGTAACTCTGTCTGATGCTGCTTATCAGTATATTATCTCCCCTTAGACCACAAATTTGTATTATTTGAGATTTTGGAACTGGCTCTGTAAGGTATTTCATTGCTTATAAATAATTAGAAAATAAGAACTCTGCTTCTAATTAAGGTAGAATGTTTAAACCTTATATAGGTGTACAATAGGTGACTGTCTTGACCGTGTGCGTTGTTTCAGACATTCTATCATTGAGTCAAGTGGCATGGTTTCGATTCCCCGCTTGTACGTAACAAGGAGTAGGGTCACCTGTCCAACCTTGTGTGTTTTCTCCAGGTCCTCCAGTTTCCTCCCATTTCTGTTTAGGCTATGCAGAGATAAACAATTTGGCTTTTATTTTATTTTTTGAACAAAAAGAATGAAGCCATAGAAGAATTAAAACATAATTTAGAAAAGGGTCGAATTATTCATGGTGATGAAGTGAAAGCTGTCAATGATAAATATGAAGCAATGGTAAAAATTAATCAACAGTTTGAAGCTGAGTTATTAACTTTACATAGTCAAGTTGATCAACTTACTCAAAAATGTCAACTGAGACAAAAAGGTAAATCAATTTTTATTAATGAGTATTTTTACAAAGCGTCATGGGACTCCGTCCAACGCTGGGTAATCAGCTAGTAGTATTTCTTTTTTGAATTTTGAATGATCTGGTTTAGTGTGCCTTTTAGGCAGGATTAATAAGGCAGACAATAAAAAAACTGAAATTTCGTAAAACAGTGAAAAATATAATTCAGACATTTATTGATAATAATATTTCTCTTTTATTAGGTTCAGTCTTTCAAAGTAATTCATGTGTATTAACTGATATATTCAAAAATATAATTTATACACATTTTTAATAATATTTCTTTTATTAGGGTCAGCCTCTCAAAGTAATTCATGTGTATTAACTGATAGTAAAACCTCCTCTGACTGGTCATCCTCGTCAGGGGGAGGTCACTCTATTAAATCGGATACAGACAGTATTAAAACCCTAAAACAAACTACAAACGATGATATTACGGATACAACTCTGATAACTGGTCCATCATTCCGTGAGGTAGAGCTCTCCGAACAACGTCCACAATCACATTCTGCTCACGCCTTAGATTCCCTCTCTCTTTCATCACAAGATGGCGCCAGTGTAAGCCACGGAGGATCGAGGTCAAGTACAATGTGTACAGACAGTGAGGATAATAGATCGTCTCATAGCAACGTAACAACAGACAGTGGATGGTGGGAAAAATCAACTGTCAGCAAATAATTTGTATCATTAGTAAAATGAACGTTTTAATTTGAAGTCCGCAAATAATTCATAAGATTAGTAAAATGAAATTTTTAATTTAAGATTGAGCATGAAATATGGGGAATTTATTGAATATTAGATTTTTTTAAACAATGAAATTATTTTTGTATGATTCGATGATTAAATTATTGTACTGTTAATTGCTACATGACCTTCAAAGATCTAAATTTTATGATGTATTATCAAGTCTAGGTTGTTTAAATCTTTTTCCCCTGTGATAGCAAAAAGAGTTGGAAATCGCAAGTCTATTACCATCTGAACAAAAATGTTTAAATAGGCTAAAAGTCTATTTTTTGTTCATGTATTATTGTTTTAAACATTGTGTGAATGACTTGCAAGTTGACCTTCATCCGAGTCATTTTGCTATCATGGGTCACTTATACGTGTAATAGCTCAATTATATGTTTGTTATGATCGTCCAGTCTTTGCATGTATTGTTTTGGTAGTCCAGTCTTTGCATGTATTGTTATGGTTGTCTAGAAACTTATTGAATATTGCAATGTTCCATTTCTGCACACAGAGAACTAATTACATCAAGAATAGATCTCTGTCATGAATGGCTACCATATCTAAAAAATAGCATACTATTTTGTAATACGATTTTACTCCATTTCACATCGGTCATGCACTCAAAGACTAAATAAACATTTTCTGTTTTATTAAATAAAAGCAAAAAAAAAACTTCTCATAATTTGCAAGGTTACTAAGAGTTTTCGACTAAAATCGTCAATGTAGGAATTAAAATGTCAGTCAACTAGCTTAGTGTCTATTCTCAAGCGGAGCTAGTTGTAGACAGACAGTGTAAGTTTAGTATTGGTATGACAATGTATGGGCATTACTCAAATATGTTGAACTTGAACTTACACTGAGTTGAAATATACCGTATAATGGTTGTCTACAAATTGTATAATCTTACAATGGGCATTATTCAGATATGTGTTTAAACTAATTTCTAAATTAATATGTGTATTGAACACGAAATTAGTGTGCACACATATTTTAGACCATGCAGTCTTCATGTTAAATATAAAAAAATATTAGCAGATGTTGTTTTCATGTTTTATATTAAAACATGTTAATTTCCAACATTATTTTTATTAGACATGAGAGATGGCCTGTGCCAAAATTATCTTAAGTAATATCTCCTATATTTTACCCTCATTACAAATAACAGTATTGTTTCAGTCTATCTGTGTGGAGTGGGGTTGTATAATGGTATAATGCACTTGGTGCAGATCATAGGGTCTTTCATTGAGTCAAATGGCAGGGTTTTGATTCCCTGCTTGTACATGACAAGGAGTAGAGTCACCTGTCCATATGTAACATTACCCTTTGATGTTGGCATACCATTATTTCAAATAATGTACTGGCAACGTCTTCATCACACATTAATTTATACTAGATGATATATTAGACTTGTGTGATGATTACATTGAAATGTACATGAGAGATAGTATCTGTTTTTTAATGGTTTCAGGCAAGTCATTGCACGACACATTGAACAACACTCGGACTGATGTCCTCGTACAGTATCAATATATAACTTAATGTCTTGCTATCGACCATTAAACCACATATACCGTAGTCAATTGATTTGTGAAATATTAATGAATTAATATTTTGTTGTATCTAGTCAATGAAATTTGTTGGATTTTTTTTTGTGAATGAATTATTTAAATTTCTGTGATTATTTTAGTGCTTTATTTAGAATTTGGAAGATGAAATATGTTAGTTGTTGTTCTTATGTCTTCCAAATATACTTCCTTAGGCCAATAAAAAATAATACCTGTGTTTATGGTTACCTGTCTGATCCCATTTTCATTCTTGTCTCATTTTCTAGGTCCTATAATTTCGGTATTATATCGGCATTATTTTACAGAAACTTACTCAGTAATTAAGCTATAAAATGCTAGGAAATAAATATTAAACACTTCACGGTATATAAAATGACGTCAAAAAGGCAATTTTCGATGAGGTTATTAAAAGATTAATTTATCAGTACAGTTAGTTCTGTCCAATCTTACCCTGCAAACCCCACGAAAAGTGGGGATGTTCCGACCAAACTACCCTATTTTTTTGTGGCCAAGTAACCATAAACACGGGTATTTTTTTATTTGGTCTTATTAAATTAGTATTTACATTTAATTTATTGAATGGAATAAGCTTTAGCACCTGCTACATGTTAATATTGGCTAAACCCATTAGAGAAAATTTACATTTTTTACATTTAGTTCTGCAGCCCAAAACTACTGCTTCAAAGATCATCTTAAATTGCCTGAGTCACAGACTAAGGTGGCTTGAGGCACTAGAAGGATCTGGCCCTGGTTTCACAAAATATTTTCAGACTAAGTTAGGCATTTACTCGAAATTGTTTGCCTTATTTTGATTAAAATATAGCCCTTTATAAAACTTTTATTGTGTTAAAGATACTTTCCCACGAAAGTATTTATCGGGTGGTTATTTCCATTAAAAGTATTGCAATGAAGTAAGGTTACAGCCATGGCATCTTACAATAGTTTATTTATAGCTTGCGGTATTTCCCGATGAATACAACGTTTTGAGAGGGATTTGAAGCAAATTTTTGATAGATTAATTAGTCCAAATATATCATCAAATCACCCAGTTTGTATCAAATACATTAATAAAAAACTATGTGCAAAGTTTTGTGTATCTGGATCAAAGATATTTCTCATAAACAGTGATTAAGTTGAGGAAATTCTTAACTTAAGTCTGAGAATGCTTTGTGAAACCAGGGCCAGTAGTTTTGGGCAGTCCAGGTATTAAAGGGTTAAGGTCTAACGTCAACCTTCAATCCTGTAACATTTTTAAATTGATTAATTGATGAATTTAGGCATTTTCGATTTCTTCTCCTCAACTGTTTGGTAGATTTTAACTTGGTATGTGTTTTACGCCAATGGTGTTAATTTAGATTTCGTCATTGGCGTGGGGCAAGGGAGATGTCTTCTTAAATGGGGGAATATCCAAGGGTGGACAGAAGGCACTTGTCACAGATTTTGTCAGACACAAATTATCACACTATGTGCCTGTGTGTAATTATATTATCTTTAAGTGTCCTTTAGAAGTGAGAAATACATTAACCACAAGACAATTTTTATTCCAAACAATCATTGGTTTATCATATTGAGGATACTCGAATGAACGTCTCAGAATTGAACTCTCTCAGTCCTCAAAATATTGACAATTGAGTGAAAGATGGGATTTTGGGCTACAACGCATGTGCCGACTGCATCAGAAAATATCTCAACCAACTATGACAGTTGAAACATATTCGTTGTATTTAATTACGTCAAGATTCTACTCACGCCACCTCCATTTTCGGGACCGATAGTACCGACTTCCGCGTCACTCGATTTCAATTCCCATCAATACAGAACCTCCTGGGCTGACAATTGAGCATCCTCATTGTCATTGTGCTTAATAATGATAAGAGGATACTTATTGAAACGTCGACATCATGGTTTCTGGGTTGACCGTATATGCCTGTCATGACTGTTTGATGAAAAAAAATGACCTAAATAATCTCGGAACACATCGGTCAATCTATACGGTGTAAAACTATCATATTTTTTCAAAACCCAATTTTCAAACATGGCTGGGATGATGGGATCGACCTCTACCATACCTCGAAATACTTATACAATGTATACTAAACCAGTGATTGTTTTCTATAAAAATTGTGTTATGTTAATGTAGTTATTTCGGCTAGTGATCATAGGAAAAGGTTGATTGTATATATAGGCAATGAATTTTATACTCTGTGTAGTTATTATATCGTATATTATTTTTGGCAGTGTGTTTTTTTGTGGCTCCATCCAATGCCTGTATATATATATATTATATATAATATATATGTATAATCATTATTTAATCTAATAAAATGTGATATTATAAAACTAAATTCAATGGTATTGTTATATATAAAGGAACAGGAGGGGGAACAGCAACATTACGTTATTAGACAGGCCAGTATATCTGTGTAGCTACTGGATCAAACAATGATGCAGGCGGAGAGAGAGTAGACACAATAAGATAATTAAAAATCCCTGCTCAGCAGCAGTACAGAAACAGGGTTTAACGTCCATTCAAAACAAATTAGGCCATTTCAGGACCAACATGTTTCAATTTTATTTCAATAATTTGCTTGCGCATAGGGGTCTTAGCAGTGTGAGGAAATCGGAGGACACCAAATTATTGAAATAAAATTGAACCATGATACTCCCAAAATGACCTGATTTTTGTCGAGTGGAAGTTACACTCTCTCAGATTAAAGATTAATTAAATTTGATAACCTCTTACTTTTCTGCACCAAATGTGTTAATAAAAACAGGCATGCACCAGGACAGCCACCCTACTACCTTCTCTTATTTAAATTTCAAACCATAACAAAAACCATAACCATAACAAAAACATGAACTTCAAATTAGACAATTTATTTAATTTTTAGTGTCTCTTCACGGTGTGACAACAACGACGTAATCTGGTTGGTTGACATGTTTATAGGTCATCAATATTAACGTCATGGTTACGTTATTTCAAACTAACCAAAAATCACTTTTTTACACAATTACACTTAAAGTCCTAGCAACATATTAATATAAATGTACACTTATATTGTAGAAATCACACTGTCTTTAATAATAGTCTTTATAATTATACTGACGAAATGGTACAGAATCTTCAAGATAACCTGTGGAATAAAACAATCAAATAATGTCTTTAATGTAATTTAAATGCATACCGGTAAATATACAAATAGAACAGGGATCCTTTGGGGCTATATCTTATCGTTAATGGCATACGAATGTTTCTGTGCAATGTTTCGATGACTGGGATACGTTTGACTTTAATGATGATAAAGAAATGAGATGAAAAGAAATGGGGTTTAATGTCCTACACCGACTGGGCTAAACAAGACAGCCATATACAGTGTACAGTGCACTATAAGGTAAATTTCTTCCCGGACAGTGGTCCTACCACCTACTCTTGCATCAAATTCTAACTGCCTAGGGACCTTTTACATGCTTGTCAATGTGTACACATGTCCACCTACTCTTGCATCAAATTCTAACTGCCTAGGGACCTTTTACATGCTTGTCAATGTGTACACATGTCCATGTTTTTTCGTTCCATCCGAACAACTATACATCATCCCTTGCCAGTCCCTTTATCCTGCACACTGGGGAACCATATCGGCAAATCACTATAGGCTGTTATCAGCCAACACCAGGAAATTTTTCCAGGACGACAACACTTTAGTCTACTCTTTGTCAAATTCTAATTACCCATGGTTTTTTTTTCCCATCCAAACTAGATGCTGCACCACTGACAAGGGGGTAACTTTGCTGGAAAATCCCCCAGAGCTTTCTCTACCAACACCTGGATCTAACCTGGTACTTCATGGTTAACGATCCTGCCCCTTGCGCACTAAGCCAGGCATAGCTCCCTGGATTAGGAGTCTAACCTTTGACCTTAAAAAAGCATCCCAACAATGATGCTTACCATAATCTCTGGCTCTGAAAATTTCCAAGATTAATTTCTTTTGCTGCGTTTGACAGACACCAGTATCCATACTATCTAAAACTTGTCCTGTGTGCGGAGATATAAATTGATTTAATAATTTCACATTCTGAAAAGAAAAAGATAGAAATTAAAATGAGAAGCCACGTATTGTTTGGCCGTGAAATCTTATAATATTTTAGAGAGTGAGAAATGGGGTTTAAATTAAACCCGTAGGGGGTCTGTAGCAGTGGGAGGTCCCGGAGAAAACCCACGAGATTAGGAAGGCTACCTTCAATGTCTTACGTCGTAGGGTCAAAACTCGCTCGTATGACCCCTGACATGACCTCCAGTACAACTGGTCAGATCTTCCTGTAGTGCAGGCCATCGGACGTATAATAAAATGAAATCATATATAGATCTGTATTTTAATCAGACTGGAACTATACTTTAGTCATTTTAATAACTTACCCTATAATCAACTAGAAGATGATCATCTCTACAGACAGGACATGGATTACCTGTAGATATTACATTAGCTCTCTAAAATAAACAAAACAACAAGACTCTGTCATTAGATCTCTAAGATATTATGTTAATCTATCTTATCTTATTAGTCAATAAGTCTGGTGTAGTGGAACAGTTCCCCACAAATATTCAGGCAGTCAAAAGAAATTCAGGAAATCATTGGACGCCCATCAAACATTCAGGGTCAAATTCAAATAAGAATCTTCAAGCCTACTATACTAATCTATAGTACCAAGAATCTTACTAATTACATAGTCAATATTTGTACCCCCCCCCCCTACTATTCTAATCTAAAGTACCAAGAATCTTACTAATTACATAGTCAATATCTGTACCCCCCCCCCCCTACTATTCTAATCTAAAGTACCAAGAATCTTACTAATTACAATTGAATAGTTCTGTACATCTAAACATATGTGGATAAGATAACCTCAAACAAAATAATAACAGGCAGTTTTATGGATAACATTCACTAGGTGTATCAGGGTGTATTAACCGCAATGTTTCAATGAGGGTACTCTATTGTGGCCTATCGTTATCATTCATGATTTAACAAAATTTCTTTAAAAACCTAAATAAAATGAAAAGAAAATGAAAAGCAAAATAAAAACCAAAAGTAAATTAAAAGCAAAAGTTCAACCAAAAGCAAAAGTTAAATCAAAACTAAAAATTAAATCAAAAGCAAAAATAAAAATAAAAGTAAAAGTAAAACCAAAATGTAAATTAAAATCAAAACACAAATGAAAACTTGAAATGTAAAGCAAAAGTTCAACCAAAAGCAAAAGTTAAATCAAAACTAAAAATTAAATCAAAAGCAAAAATAAAAATAAAAGTAAAAGTTTAACCAAAATGTAAATTAAAATCAAAACACAAATGAAAACTATAATCATTTTAAAAAGTAATTTGAAATGTAAAACAAAAGTAAAAGTAAAAAGCAAAATAAAAATATTTGGTCGGCCTATCGCTATCATTCAACGTCCTTGACCCCAATCGGTAACCGTCGGCTATTTCCGACCGCTTCGACTCGACGGTTTGTTCTCCCGCGGTACAAATAAAACTGAATCAGAACAGTATTTTCTTATGGATTTGCGAACACAATATATATATATATATATATATATATATATCCAAGCGTAAACATTACTAATCAAACCTTTTGTTTTAATAATCTCTTCAATCCATCAAGCATCATTGCCCCGATCAGTGTTGCAGAATTTGTGATTTATATGTCTACACAATATTAATTATATTACCCGTATCTATTTTATGCGCGCATGTTTTTTTGGTTTTTTTTGTTTTTTTTTTGTCCTGTTTTTATTTTCTATAGCCTATTATGTATACTGTATGTATGGTTTGTATTGTCTGTCTGTAAATTGATGCCCATGTATAACTTTTTCATCTTTACATATTGTATATGGCCGCCCTAAAAGGGCGTTCCGATGCAATCAAATTCTATTTTGTTCTTTTCTATTCTATATACACATTCGTTAGTGTAATGGTAGGCGTTACTGATTAAGCGTTGCACACCCCCCTACACTACCACCGCCTTTAGATGGGTGGCCCTCGAGACGTAACTATACCCAAGGCCAGGTTGTCGCTATCAGTTTTTTCGGAGAGAAGAAATGAAATGAAATGAAATGGGGTTTAACGTCCTACTGTTCTGCTAATGAAGACGGACATACGCCATCAATGTGCTATGAAGGAAATTTTGCCCGGACAGCTGCGCTACGGCCTACTCTTATATCGAATTCCAACTGCCAAGGGATCTTCTACGTGCACGCCAATATGTACACGGGACCTCGGTTTTTCGTCGGAGAGAAGAAGCACTCCGACGCTCATGTTGGGCAAACAATGTGACAAGATACCGCGTCAAAAACGGAACCCGCTAATCCAGGCAGCTGAAAGTTTGACGTCATATTCAAAATGGATGCCTCCGTGTCTTGCCATTTTGGCGAGACAAACTTCGATTTAAAGTAGCTAAGTCTCTAACTCAATATCATCCAAAACCTTCGACATTGAAAACACGAATTATTTGTCAATTGTAATCAATATTGGTGTTGTGATCTTACCGGGGAAAGATGGGCTTCTGATATCCAATATTTAAGACAAAATAAACATTTTACGATTGGTAAACGAATAGTGTACCATAATGCGTTTCAGTGCAATTTGTAACAAGCGACTCGAAGAACGGGGTTAGACATATTCGCCAAGTCATGTCAAACGTAGACCCCATATTCTTATCTGGAGAGCATGCGCAATAAATACTATCGGTGTAGACTGGAATAACCAGACGCTAGAGACTGCCATTCGATTGAGACTTCTGGCGTATTTCACCGAACATAACTGCTTTGAAATCAGTTTATTTACATTCATATTACATTATTATGTACGTTGCGACACATTTATGTCAATTTGTAGGTTCCAAATATTATCGATTTAGCTCCTTTAACTGAAGAATTATCGATCAAAGAGAAATTGTGCCCAGACAACGGCACTACGGCCTACTCTTATATAGAATTCCAACTGCCTGGGGATCTTTAACGTGCATGCCAATGTGAACACGGGACCTTGGGTTTTCGTCCCATCCGAACGATTGTCCCATAAGAAAATCGGATATTGATATCATCGCTACAGTCACATTGCATAACCCGTGGGTTTTCTCTGTTAACTCCCAAACTCAAAGCCCAGCTTAAACAGGGCGGGTCCCTGGATAATTCTTCAGTTAAATCGAAGTTTGTCTCGCCAAAGTGGCCAGACACGGAGTTATCCGATTTGAATATGACGTCAAACTTTCAGCTGCCTGGATTAGCGGGTTCGGTTCTTGTTTGCCCAACGTGAGCGTCGGAGTGTTTCTTCTCTCCGACGAAAAACTGAGGTCCCGTGTACATATTGGCGTGCACGTAGAAGATCCCTTGGCAGTTGGAATTCGATATAAGAGTAGGCGGTAGCGCCGCTGTCCGGGCAAAATTTCCCTCATAGCACACTGTATGGCATATGTCCGTCTTTATTAGCCCAGTTTAGGAGCAGAACAGTAGGACGTTAAACCCCATTTCATTTCATTTCATTTCTTCTCTCCGAAAAAACTGATAGCGACAACCTGGCCTTGGGTATAGCTACATGTACGTCTCGAGGGCCACCAATCTTAAGGCGGTGGTAGTGTAGGGGGATGTGCAACGCTTAATCAGTAACGTCTACCATTACCCTAACGAATGTGTAAATGTGTATAGAATAGAAAAGAACAAAATAGAATTTGATTGCATTGGAACGCCCTTTTAGGGCGGCCATATACAATATGTAAAGATGAAAAAGTTATACACAGACATCAATTTACAGACAGACAATACAAACCATACATACAGTATACATAATATAGAAAATAAAAACAGGACAAAAAAACAACATGCGCGCATAAAATAGATACGGGTAATATAATTAATATTATGTAGACATATAAATCACAAATTCTGTAACACTGATCGGGGCAATGATGCTTGATGGATTGAAGAGATTGTTAAAACAAACGGTTTGATTAGTAATGTTTACGGTTGGATATATATATATATATATATATATTGTGTTCGCAAATCCATAAGAAAATACTGTTCTGATTCAGTTTTATTTGTAGTCTACCGCGGGAGAACAAACCGTCGAGTCGAAGCGGTCGGAAATAGCCGACGGTTACCGATTTGGGTCAAGGACGTTGAATGATAGCGATAGGCCGACCAAATATTTTTATTTTACTTTTGCGTGAAAAAAAGTTGAATGATAGCGATAGGCCGACAAATATTTTTATTTTGCTTTTTACTTCTGTTTTACATTTCAAATTACTTTTAAAAATGATTTTAGTTTTCATTTGTGTTTTGATTTTAATTTACATTTTGGTTTTACTTTTACTTTTATTTTTGCTTTTGATTTAATTTTTAGTTTTGGTTTAACTTTTGCTTTTGGTTAAACTTTTGCTTTTGGTTAAACTTTTGCTTTACATTTCAAATTACTTTTAAAAATAGTTTTCATTTGTGTTTTGATTTTAATTTACATTTTGGTTTTACTTTTATTTTTATTTTTGCTTTTGATTTAATTTTTAGTTTTGGTTGAACTTTTGCTTTTGGTTGAACTTTTGCTTTTGGTTGAACTTTTGCTTTTATTTTTATTTTTGCTTTTGATTTAATTTTTAGTTTTGATTTAACTTTTGCTTTTGGTTGAACTTTTGCTTTTAATTTACTTTTGATTTTGATTTTGATTTTCATTTCATTTTATTTAGGTTTTTAAAGAAATTTTGTTAAATCCTGAATGATAACGATAGGCCACCATAGTACTCTCACCATTATATCAATCAATGATACAATTAAACATAAGCTGACTGTTATAACTGATTGCTTTCACTAAATGCCCTTTAACGATAGTATATCTTAACAAAATGAACTTTAATTTTAACTTACAATGCAGGTTTTTCTAGTTTTTGGTGCCAGTTGACCTTTAAAATTTCTTCTATAAAGTTTCCAAACAGGGTCTTCTCCGTAACACTGTTTATAAGCTAGAATACAACAAAGTTTAAAAACTAAAACATTTTACACTGGTTCATTGGATTTTGATGAGTATTTCTCAGTAAATTTTTATCTATAGAAAAGTATTTTGAAATGAAATTGGGTTTAACATCCTACAAAGGTATTCTGAGGGTTGACGAAGTGAAAGTAGTCTGCTGGGGGGGGGGGGGGCACAGGACAAAAGCAGGGAAAAGATGAGAGTCTGTGAAAAAAAGATAGCCAAGTAAAATTCACTAGGTAAAATTGTTCGTATTCAGACAATGAATTTCTGTAGATGATATTATGGTCACATTAATATGAGTTGGTGTACCATGATTTTTAATTCGAATGGTTTAATGCGTTTAGATCACATGGTCTTTCATTGAGTCAAGTGGCATGATGTCGATCCCACACTTGTCCGTCGTGATTCATCCGTCTGACCTCATGATTTTTCTTCAGATCGTTTGGTTTCTTACCACATCTAAAGACCTCTCTCTACTAGAATTACCTTTACTGTCAAGATACTGTATACTAGTTTCATGATCAACTTCAAAACGTTTTTGTTTTTCGCTTACTGGTGCCGATCCTTCTGTTTCTTCATCCTCATCTTGTAACCTTCTCACTGATTGGGTAAAATGCCTCGATACTCTATAACTTGGTTGTAACCGCACCTGAAATATCCATAAAACTTTGATCGGATTCAGCAAAGACAATTAATTAGTGAATGAAACGGAAAAGTTTTAAATTTAAAATACGCAATTAATTTCGGTTGCATATAGCTTTTCTTTGTCCTGGGCCCTTATTCACGAAAACTTAAACTAAGATACAATCGAAATTTTAAGAAATACTGCAATTCTATTGGCTGACCAGTAAAATCAATTTGCATATATCCAATGAAGTTGCAGTATTTCTTAAAATTTCGGTTGTAACTTAGTTTAAGTTTTCGTGAATAAGGCTCCAGGACTTATAGTGGCTTGGTAGGCGGATGCCAAATAGCTCTAAATGTAATGTCCATTCCCCTGGATTTGCCCACAAACACCATGTGACCATACAACTAATTTCCAACCAGGAAATTGCATACATACAAACAAACAAAAAAAACGTGCCATGGCATCTTCATGATCTTGCTGCCCTGCCTTAGAATAAGGCTCTTATTTATTTTCTGGAGCTGTCAAGCCAGCAAGAGTGTTATTGTCCCTTTAAGATAACAAAATCAGATTGGTTTTGGTCTGATTGGTCTTCAAAGAAAGCAATTGTATTAAAACAGGCACTTAAATTTGTTGGGATGAGTTGTCTTATAACTTGTCTTATAACTCTACCCATGTTTTAAAGTTGGGATAAGCAGTCTTTTATATTGGGATGAGTTGTCTTTTCTATTGGGATGAGTTGACTTTTATTGGGATGAGTTGTCTTGGGATGAGTTGTCTTAGGGATGAGTTGTCTGTATGCCCTACATACATTACATGTAAATGAAATGAAATGAAATGGGGTTTAACGTCCTACTGTTCTGCTCCTAACCTGGGCTAATGAAGACGGGCATACGCCATACAGTGTGCCATGAGGGAAATTTTGCCCGGACAGCGGCCTACTCTTATATCGAATTCCAACTGCCAAGGGATCTTTTACGTGCACGCCAATGTGTACACGGGACCTCGGTTTTTCGTCCCATCCGAACGACTAGACAGCTTTCCTTGTCAGCCCCTCCGTCCTGCATCACTGACAAGGGAGAACCACGCTGGAAAATCTGGATGAACTTTCTCGGCCAATGCAGGGATCGAACACCCGACCTCCAGGCTAGCGAGCTAGCGTCTTTCCCACTTAGCCACGTGATCCCCACATTACATGTAAGTCTGACTCTTTGACTGTTGTCAACCCCAACAAAATGACCATCAATGATCCAAAATTCTCGGGAAAAGGTCTAAGATCTATATATGTAGGCTATCATTTACCTGTGAACTGAATAGCGGTGTCTTGCATAATGATAAAACTAAACTTTTAAGTTGATTGACACTCATGTTTGTAACGCAAAATTTACAGGAAATCTTTGGACATGTGCATAGAGTTACCTCCCTTCATAACGGAGCATTCTCATTCCCACGAAAAGGTTAATAGCCAGCCAATGCAAGCCTCGCTATCCGACATTTGCTTACTTAGTCTTGAACATCGACCTAACACTGTATTTTCTTGGGAAAAGGCCTAAATGAGGTGGATGAGGATGGGAACCCTAAACATTAATAATTTTAATATTGTGTTATGATACAAAATCTTGACTAATCTTGATTGCTAAAAATAAATGAATTTTTTTTCTTTTTTTTTTTGTGCTAATTTTAGTCCTACGTACCTATTGTTCTTCACCGATAGGGTTAAGGCGAAGATGGGCATAAATTTAAATAACAGTGTGCTACGGGGGTTGGGGGGGGGGGGATTTTGCACGGACAGCGGCACTATACGTACGGCCTACTCTTAGGCCTATATCTTTTCATTTTTCATTATTATCTATTTTTAGACTATATAATTTGCAACTCGAACGGCGCTTTGTCTAAATCTTGTATAATCCATCTTTATAAAAGAGTTACACACTAAAAATAGCTCATGGTGTTGTACCCCCCAACTAAAAAAATAGTCGGGAACAAAAGTGCAGTCGGTTTCAATATTATGCGTCGGTGACTAAATGAATTAAGAAGGTAAACACACATTGCCAAAATAGAAGAGGAAAATCCCAAACACTTAATAAATGTATGGATATATATCTGACGTTTGATTGCTTTGATTGGATATCACCGAGCCAGTTTTTCAAAGCTCAATTTAGTAAAAACTGTTATGCCTTCATTAATGAAACAGGAACCCCTTCTTGCGTGTGAGCTTAACAAAATCGCCGACCGGATACGCTTGATGAAAATATTTTCATCACAACAATATATCGAAGACTTTAGGTCCATGTATATATGTAATTATTACCACTTTCAGAAGTTGTCACCGATTCACAGTACTTTGTAGGCTACGTTCTTGCAAAATTCTTAATAAATAACATGAATTCCCCATGTGCTACTCAATTTTACTCATGTTATAAGTGTTTTCTGACCATCAGAATTCTGCACAATCTCCCCCAAAGTCCAGGAAATGGCACTTCAGGGACTCTATTAGATAACAAACCTTAATCTCTCAACCCTCCGTGTTTCGAGATAAGAGATGATGCCATTACCTTCAATGTAGCACGTGCGGGAGTTATTCGCACCCGGCATTTGTAAACAAAATTGACAATATTTTTAATCAAAACAACGATTGGTTATTGTTATTTATAATATTTCTGCCACACCCAACTAAAATTAAGCATATAATTCTACCTGAAACGGGTACAAATCCCTTCTTTTTAAATCAAAGCGACAGTAGATTGCTTTTTCCGACATTTTAAATTTACGTCTGTAACACATAAAGGCGGGGCCTCGTGTGCAATAGCCAATCAAAGTACCCATCTGATCAGAGTTGCGCAGTAGTAATACGGCGTAATTATGAACGTCCGAATTAATTTTGATAAAAACAACGCTTGATTTACTTTATTGTCAATATTTGCTGATAAATGAATGTTGTTTCAGTACATTGGACTGCGTATGTGTAATAAGTACTAATAGTATAAATTAACTTATTTTTAAGATGGTACATACATTGATAAAGAAATTGAATTGCCACTTGGAACTTAAGGCATCCAATCGTAGCTAAAAACAAGCACATCTCAGCGTTTTTAGTTACGTTCTCATAGCTAGGACTCTATTAGATTCAAAAACAAATCCGGGGGAGCATCCCCTTGGACCTCTAGAAAGCTCGCACCTGATCGGCTCGTGGATGCTTCAATCGATATGTACGGCCCTCTGGATTAAACCATAAGATATTAATATGTGTCAAGCGTCTACCATTAGACTAGTAGCCTAGCTTATTAAACGTCTAATTAATTAATAATTGATTAAAAGAAACATAAGATTAATATCGAAGTCGAATGAATGAATCAATGAATTAGAAATACCTGTGGCTTGATGTCAGCGATTTAGTTTTGTTTTTGGGTTTTTTTTTTTACTTTGACAACCTGTACTATACATAAACATTAACATGGTTTTAAATCGATAAAATATTCACCGTTTCTGGTTGTCTGGGCATAGGTTAGAATAGTGAAGATGTTATATAGGCTATACATTTTAACAATTCAGCAAATTAGGCTACCAATTGCTTTCAAAAATAGTTTAGGATGACATTCTGAAACGTGCTCGACGCCCATCCCAACGTACGTGTGCACTCAAGTGAAATAATACCCAGCAGCAGCGATTTTTAACATACATATATGCTATTTGTACGGGATTAGCCTTCCCCCCCCCCCCCAAAAAAAAAAAAAAAAAAAATACAGAACCCATGAAATTTTTATTAAATCCTACTTAAAGGTCCTGCAAATTTGATGAAATTTGCTAGACTTCAATATCCGTCTGTGTACGATCATTGACAAAGTTTCGGTTATCTGAATAAGTGGCTTTGCACAAAAGTAAGTCGTCCTCGGCATTGGAGGCAAACTTAGCTCGAACAAATTCGTCCTCTGGGGATTTGTAGGATTTAATAATTTTATGGGTTCTGGTTTTTATATGGTCACCCTGAAAATTTTATATCCATGTAGGTCCTGCAACTGTAAAAAGATATAATATTGAAACCAAAAACTTAACCGAATTTGGGCCAGATATAAAAAAAATCGATTATTTCGGAAACGTCAAATTATCATAAGCTAAAAGTATAATTCAATAGGCTAACAGGGTTATGTTGTGGGTTATAGTGTGAACGATGTATTGATAAATTATTGCACGCTTGCATTCGTCGGCGATTAACAGTTACATATAGACCCGAATTCCTAGTCCTAATAACCGTATAATAAAATAAACAGTTAACTTGCAACTTGATAATGAACCATAAAATAGAATTGGACACTTGCCAAACAGATATGGCGGATAAGGAGTGGGATGCAATCGAAGGGATTTCTGAAATCCAAAGTACAATTTGCGTGTCATATTTTACTTTCTATTCAAAATTTAAGTCATATAAATCGCGTTAATATAGTGTAAAATGTATTTTTAGAAAACTGCGTTATGTATTTATGAACAATTGGCAGGAAAAACCGCGAGGTGCAAAGAGCCGAATCTCTTTGTACCCTTCGATTTTCTGGGGCTCACCTCTGACGTCATAAATACATTCCTTACCAACGCTACAGTCTCGCGCTAGATACCGATCGGAAAGCAAGGTGTATTTTCTAGACTTCGAATTTACAACAAATTCTAAGACACACCTTAGCTTTTGTGAAAATTTGAACCATTATTATTAGGATAGACGAAAAACTTTATTAGGAGACGGTTGGAAGTAAATTGACCGAGAATATTACACATCAAATAGACGAATCTGATAGAGAAAGACGGCAACTGTGCCATTTTGATTTTCTTCAATACAAAGGGCGTCGATAAGCCTCCAAAAAATATTCTATTACAACCTCGAAATTCTGTAGAAATGTTGTCGTTTACACCAATCTAGATAATATTGCATTCTATGAGAAGAAATGCGTGCAGAAAGTTGAGCACATCGTGTAAGTGAACGATTTATGAATTTCTAAACATGGCGTCTATGAACAACACTCACGCTTATTCAGTGAATCAGTCACTGCTGGGTTTACTTGTTGAACGATATTGAGCGATGAAATTGGCGTGTTTATGATAGATGATTTTTCTCAATTCTCCAATCATATTTCATTTTGTGTTTCTATCTTTCTAGCAAAGCACAGATTGTTCAATAACCTCTTACATTTTGAGGGAATTTTGGATGTGAAAATCGAGCAGGTAGGCCAAGGGCAAAAGGACGGCAAAATGGCGTCCATATTTATTTCGAAGCAAGTTCTATCATGTCTTTCTTTCATGTTTTATTTATAATCTTGTCATTGCTTTATTAAAATTTTATATTAAATAACAAATTGATGAATATTAGAATTAGATTCATATTGTGTGCTGCATGTGTTGTATGTATGAAATGGTTGCTATTCTTTGTTAATTCTTTATCCCGTGACCCAGATTAATCTATAAATAGAGGATGAGGAATCCGCCATATTGCGTTGTTGGCAGACGACAAAACTCGATGTAGGCGTGTTTGTCACGGTTGAGTTCACTTGGTCACGTGTTTTTATTGATTTCCGACGCCCCAAAAACTATTTTCCAGACCATATTACATCATGATCACGTGACTTCGTTTATAAATTATATTCTGATTGACTGAATAATAATTAACAATACCGTGCCATAGATTTCCTTTTGATTCTGTGAATGGCACGAATTATGTTCAAGGCTTTTAAATTACAAAAGTACATTCAGTTGATTTAGTGCTACTACTATAGTGCTAGTGTCAAAACTAATTTAGTCGTAATTATTCGAGATTACAGCTTTTAAAAAAAATGAAGTAGGCTACTGCCAGCGCCCAATTTTTTTATTATTTTTTTTTTATGTGTGTATTGAAATGATATACCATACTGGGTACTAAAATGGATGGGCAAAAAAAAAATGTATATATTTTTTTTTAAAAATTTAAAATTTAATTGGCTAATTTATATGTGAAGTTTAAAAAACTCTAAACTTACAGTTTTGATAGTGCATTTGTGTAGACTGCAGAGTGAAAAATTGACGGGGTGTTGCTCTGGTTGAATTTATTTTTTACCTGGTGGTACATCCAACTGAAAATGTCAATTTTAACGAGATTCCTATATCACAGCCTGCCAGTAGTATTGGAGGAACTAGATCAAATGTCTATTTGTTTAAATGTAATCAAGCAGAAATTATAGGAAAATGCATAATATCGAAAGTTTTTACTTTTACTGTGGTCAAAATCAGGCTTCTATGACGTCAAATTTGTTATAAGTGCAGGAAATTTAATTGTGGGGTGTATATATTTACTGAACCGGTTAAGTTAAATATAGCACTATGAGACCTTACCCACGGTAATCTGCTTGTCAGGAAACGTTTTTTAGAAATTCATTGAGTTTTATTTGGTTGATGTTAGAATTGGAAAGCCTAAATGTATAGATCTGCAATATTTTTTAAATACTTTAAAGCTGCCGATTGTCATTTTAGGAATTGTTAATATTGTACAAGGTACAGAATGGCAATAGTTCAATTTCTAAAATGGATAAGCTTATATTATATTAGTCCAAAATATTTCAGTATAATGAATTGAACAATTTGAAATATTCGGTGCAGACAGTATAAACAAGCTAGATTTCCCTAAAGTTTATACAAATGATCATTGGCTTTTAAAAGAAAAGTCTTGTTGAATAATTATATTAAAATAAAACATACTGCTAATTTGCTGGTCAGACCATATATTTCAGAGAAACCGGTTGAACATATTAATTCTTGAATGAAACAGGTTTGTAATTATTGCAAAATGATTACATTATTGCACACAGGTCACATTTCTATAGAATCTGATTGATAAAAGAATAGAGAATTCTAGTCAGTTGGCCTAATTGTATTCTATAGAATTGTGTAATGTGTATTTCCAGAATACCATTAAAACAACTGATTAGCTCAGTGGGGTGCCAAGCGAATTTGTTTTGCTCAGTTTTTAGTTTTACGCGAACTTGACCTAAAATTTAAAGAAAAATCCAACTGCATGAACAATGCTAAGTCATCAATGGTAAATTGTTTCAAATGCAGTTGAATTTTTTGTACAAAGATTACAAATAGCTTATACATAATTTTATTAATTTAAACATCCATGAAGACTGAATGGCACAAGGAAATACAAATTTTGACTTGCTTTGTCAAAAACCAAAATTTGATAAATTCTAATTTACAACTAAGAAAGTTCATAGGGCTAGCCCTTTCTCCTTTGAAGGGCTACAATTTTAATTTTCCCAAATCTGAAAACATGAACCATAAAATTAAGGACTTTTGTGAATTTGGTGAGATTTGCGAAATTCTGAACTGGTGTTTGAAGGTGGAAAGATGAAGAAATTTCTTCTAAAACCAGTATGGAACCAACAGAAGAAAATCTCTTGAAATGGTTTTAGAAATGCAGAGATACCTAATGTGCTGGACTTCTATACTTACACAACCTTCCAGTCTTGAACCAAAGAGAAACTTAAGGTACCCGGTCCAAGGATCCAGCACGTTTTCCGTGACCAGTGAATTAAGAGAATGGCCAATAGTTTGTTTGATAATTTAATATTTTTAAAATACTGGTACAAACCTTTTAATTCAGACCGCAGTTAATTAATTGTTTGTTTCTCATGACATGTTTGTGAAATATACATGCTACATGAGGTAATTATTAATTATTGAAACAAACAATTAATTATCCCGGCCTTATGTGTAATAGCTTTGATGAATTGGCCTTGTATATTCAGATCCATTCTTTCTGCAATTGCCAATCCTTATTTATAACATGTCAACAATGTCGACCAATATAAAGCAAAGGCAAGTATACTCTTGTTTTACATAACATTTGTAATTTAAGCTTTTTGTAATTAATGACAGTCCCAAATTAATTCAATTTGCATGAGATTCGAAATTTGTCTACATAACTTGAAAAAATGATGTTGGGTATACCTCACCACTGGTTTGCTCCTGGTGTTGGCCCGGGTTTACTGGAGTGGTTCCCCCTTGTCAGTGTTGCCGGTCGAAGGGCCTGACAAGTTAGCTGTCTAGTTAAAATGGTATGGAAAATCGAGGTCCCATGTACACATTGAGTTGATTGACATGCACGCAAAAAGGATCCTTGACAGATGAATTTGATATAACAGATTGTAGCGCAGCCTTCTGGTCAAATTTCCTTCCATAGCACTCTTCATGGAGTATACCCATCTTTATAACCTCAGATGGTGCAGGAAAGTAGGATGTTAAACCCAGTTTTATTTCATTTTTATACCTCACAAAACGGCTGGAATTACTGTACTAATACTAAATACCCGATATTCTGAACTTTGCATCTGAACTTTACATTGGGACATATTTATGAATATCACTATAATACACTTATGAAAAACAAATTTGTGCCAAACAAAACCACAAAAGCCAGAATTTTCTTTGCCTGACAATGTCTGTGATGGGTGCCTTGTTTCTAGGCTTGGTCACGTACATGTAGCCAGGCTTTGGCTGGACTTATATCAAAAATTTTGTGATCAATGTAAAGAATGATACATGTAGAAGAAATTTTTTTGAACCCAAGGAAAAAAAACATAACTAATAAGTAAGACACCCCCATGCATTCCATTGAATCTGTGTTCACCTCTGTACTGAATTGACTAGTGCCATTGTCTGACCTTTCCTGGAAATTTGATACAGACAGAATTTGGCCAGAGAGATCATAGTTTGTCCACAGGTTTATACATTATAGGTTATGTGCGCAAAAAAACATGATCCTATAACCGCCATCATTGTTGAAGTTGGATGTTCTTCTATTGGAAATATATATGTAATTAAAATCAGACCAATTTTTGTGTTAAGACATTGTGTTCAAATATTCAAATAGAAATTAATCACTTTTGAATATTAGAAATAATACTGCTTTGAAATCTTTTTCACATTGCCCTTTTGAGGGCTTGGGCATTATTCAGTCAGGATTGATGATGAAACATATCTGCCTTTTCTTTTTCTTTTTTTCTTTTTTGGGTTGTCAACATTGAAATTATTCGGTCAACTTGCAACGCTATTACTGTCCACTACTGTTAAAAAATGCAACCGACTTTATCCACTGCTGTTTCAAAATGCAACAAATATTACAGCATTGTGAACTTTTCATGCCTTAGAAAGTGTCGGCACATACAGCACTGTGCGCAACTACCATTACTTTTGGATCAATGAACTACAATGCAAAATGTTTCTAGTCAACTTCAGAGTCTGACTAGCATACACATAATTTTGACAGTTGAGAATTTAAATATAAGCTTATATCCGTCAATTAGAAAATATATTCAGACTGGTCCAGGGGATAATGTATATGTTACCAAAACATCTTCCAGGGGAAGTTTACAGGCAGCATCAATTACATACAGTGCTGGATTTACTATTGTGCTTAGGTGTGCTTAAGCAGAGGGCCTTATTGGCCAGGGTACCCCTGATAATTAAAAGAATTGCCTAAAACTTGTGGAAAATAATGATTGATTAGTGATCAAGAAACATAACATTTTAACTACTAAATTATCTGAGCATGTATGTTGGAAAGCCTGGGCGTCCTTCGGATGTAGACTATCCTTGCGACTAGTCTGAACTATCCCAACCATGCTCTAACGTATGGTATGGCTGGTCACAACTACAGGTTGAACTATAGTACGAAAATCTGTGCAAGCGAAGGTCACCCTGTGTAGGTATACCGGACCTACCTCCTTAATGGCCCAAATAAGGGACTTCGTAACTTAACTAGCACCGGGCCTCATTTGTCCCCAATCTAGCACAGTTTACATAGGATGAACCAGCTAGAAATGCAAGGGCTATAAACTAGTTGACACTTTGTAATTATTAACATACATTATGGGAGATTAGGTAAAGAACTGGCAGTTCTCACTATAATAGTTAAAGCTACATAATATAAAGGGAATTTGCT